GTTTTCTCTTCTAGACAAAAATCTTCCTTTTTCCGGCAGTTTTCACACATCTGATTCTCCATTTCAATTAGTTAATAATCTTATTCTTTCTATTTATCTACTGTATCTTTTGCATGGATTTTTTGTTTCAACTTTAAGAAGAAAAATATTTTGTTTATTTTTCCGGCGATTATTTTGTATATATCTTCTTATCTTTCACTGCTTCTCCTTCACTCCTTGTCATCGTTATGTTTGGATCGATTCTGTCTTGAAAAAGCCAGGTACGGTATATTTCTACTACGTCAATTTTGTCATTGTTTTTTTTTTGTGGTTTTGAGTTTTAATATATTTATAATTATTTTTCTAATTACTTTGATAAAAATAATGACTAAAACTTCTATCTCATCTTATTTTTTAGTCACGTTAATATGTCTTTTTTATTCGAAATGATATTTACACTTCCAGAAGAGTTTGATGGTTATTTCATGGTAAGACATTGATCAACTCATGATTCGTGATAAATCTGTTTTTTTTATAAGAAAAAAATTATTTATATTATGTATTTTGTTTTTTGAATTTCAGAGACTTCCAAGTGCAGTCTATAAGTATTTCAAAGAACCGATTCCTCCGTATCTTAAGATTTGGAGAATTTATTCTTCAACTTAGTGTAGTTGAGAATGATGAAGTTATTATCTCTGGTGATAGATTAATTGATTTTACTCTAAGTGTGCGAATTACAAAAGGGGGTAGATTGCACTTGGAATTTTTTTATGGTTACGTCATGTATGCAACTTCTTTTGGTGGTCATGGATTTCATAAAATTATGTCACATCCTTTCAATCCAGTCGGTTTGAAGGTTATTTTAACTGTTCAACGTTGGGACCTCATTTGTGGTGGATTGACTGTAAATTTTATTTTCTATAATTATAATTGTTATTTTAATCATGTAAAACATGATTAGGGTAGTGTTGTAAAATATTTGCACGTATTAATTTTGGACTGATTTGTTTTACATAGTAGTTAAAGTTATGAAATGATATAGTTTTGTTTATTATATTTAATGTAGATATGTTATCATATGATTATTTTAAGTCACTTAATTTCTCATAATTATTTTTAGGTACTTCCCGGTGTTTTTTTGGATGCAATTAAGTTCCCTAAAACTAAGAATGTCTTTGTTGAGTTAGAATATCAAATTCTGGAATTTAAGTGGTACTCTGATAAAGATCGAATAAGCGGGTTTTTTGGAAAAAAAAATGGGCCAAATTCGTGATATACTATGAGCTACACAAAACAGAACGCATAGTGTTGCTTACTTATGTTCATGGATGCACTTTTCAAGCAACTATTTTCAACAAATATGGTTTTAATATTTATAGTTTGAATGGCTCTTCAGAAGATGATGTTGATCTTCAAATGATGGTGAAGACTATTGATTGTAGTTAATAACTATTTATTAGTTTAAATATAGTGTAACATTATCGAATTTTTGGTTTAGTTTCTATTTCGATTCGAAATTAGTTTATTTTTATTATCATATTTTGTTCGAGCATTCAATCCTATCATGTTTGTTTCTACCTTCTTCTTTTACTATAATGTGAAACAAAAATCTTTAAATATTTTTTTCATAATAAAATTGGAATAACTAATCTTAGTTACACATATTGTAAATCATGGTATTTTATATAAAAATAATAATATGAATTGGTGAATTTCAAATATAATGTACCGATTACTTTTAATATATATTTATATTATTCTATACTTTTAATATTGAATCTATAAACTACAAAATTATATGAATTGGTTTCATGTTAAACGATTTATGTTGTGATTCCACATTATTCGTGTACCTTCTATCATAAGCTAATAAGGTACCTTTGTCTGTCAAACCAATTTATTTCTAATAGGACTTTTAATGGTGTAAACAGTGTTTTTGATACAGTTCATTGAGTTATACTGTTATTACATTCTATATATTGTCCTAACTAAAATTCTAGACAAGATTCCTTAAATTATTGATACAAATGAATCCCATTACTATTGATACAAATGAATACGCAAACATCTCATTAATTAAAAGTCATCATTTCTTTCCTTAAATTTTTATACTTTCACAGTAACTCTTATTTAATTTTACTTCAACTCCCTCTATTATTTTTTCTCTTTTTTTTAGTCCTCCAAATTGTTTCTTCCATTTTTTCAAGTGTCTTCCATCTTTTGCTCGGTCTCTTTGAAATTATTGGAATCAAACCACTCAATAATAAAAAAACATTTTAAAAAAACAAAAAATAAAAAATAAAAAATAAAAAAAGTGTGTAGAAAAATGTTGATTTCAAATTGGAGTTTTTGTATTTAGATACGATAATCGAGAATTTTAATTTATCATTATATTATATAAATAAATTTAAATTTAATTATAATAGAATGTGATAATTATCGTATAAGTAAAATACCTATCAAAAATATGTTTTAGTTTGATCATTAAAATATCCTCATTGCACTTTTTTCTCAATTCCAATTTGAAAAGTTATAAATATCCATTCCTTTTTACTGTACATACTACATTCCGTTTCATTGTTTTACTGCAACATAATCTAATTTAAATCAAAACACTGTACTCCGTTTAAAATAAACGGTAATGTTCAGTTCTGTTTATTTAGTATTATAGTTAATTGTTGGATGCTAATTGTTTCGAAAAGTTTTAAGTATGGACACTATAATTTTAGCACCACATGTATAATTTTTAGATTCAACTTTTGAAAATTAATTTTAAAGATATTAACTATCAAATAAAGGAAAGATAAAATTAAATTTCTATAATATGTCATGTTTTTTTATCTTAATTTTATTCAAAAGATAAAAAAGTTGTCGTTAAATTTTAAAACTTTTTATCTTGCAAATTTTATTCTGATAAGTTGTCCCAAAATTTATTGATAACAATAAAAAAAATTTCAAATCACTTTTATTAATATGATAAGATAATAGGATCTTTTAAAATTTGTGTTTACTCCAAAAAAAAAATTCCAAAATACAAGTTTATATTCTACGAGAATTCAATTCTAATCGAACAAAAATTATGTCCGTTTAAAATTAATGAAGACTCACTCTCCCACGTTTTGATTGACGGTTTAAAATTATCTTAATGTCCGTATCTTTATTTGAGGTCGCAATCCAATCGGTCAGAAAATTGTCCTACTAAAGCTCCGAAAACTATCATTGCCGATGAAATATTATATTAATAATCATGCAACAACTTAATGTATTGATTACTCATGGATTTAATAGAATTCTTGTTTAGATCAAAACTTAGAATGCCAGAAAGAGTTTCATCGGCATACTAGCTAGCAGGTTAATATCCAATTACAATTTCTTTGGGTTTCTTTCATAGTTGTTTAATCATCATTGTTTATTGCTGAAGGTTGATTTATTTTAACATTCACATTTTTAAGAAAGATAAATTATTTTTGAATTACACAATTATTCAATGATTTAATTTCAATTGGATATATCTTCATTCGCACAAGGATCTATGTTGGTGAAGAAGCTTTAAAAATTTCTGGTACCCCGAAACGACCTATTTAGAATTTTGGTGTTCGCATGATAACTATATTAATTATTTAGAAAGAGTATCTCTGTAAATTGTTCCATAGCTAATCACTATAATGGAAAATCAAGCCAAAAAAAAAAAAAAAACCAATATCCCAGTTCATGATTTGTGTCGTATTACTTTAATTATCGAACAGAAACTGCAATCTCTTATTTATGTATATAGGTATATTGTTGTGATGGAAAGCTCATGCAAAATATTGTGTTGGTGGTGATGTGGTACATGATGAAACATTTTGGTATTAGTTTCAAAAATAACTGTAGAGGTTAAGGATCAAAAGTATAATTTTGACACAAGAATTATATATCTCTCCATTTCAAAATAATTGTCACTTTTAGAACTCCTCCAATCCTGAAATTACTATATGAAAATTAATGTACTTTACATTTTATTTTTCTATTTTTTCATAAACAAAAATTTATTGAATGTTGTGCATGTCAAAAAACTAGTTTTGATTGAAGGCATTAAAAGTTACGTAATTATTAAAAGGGCATCTGCGTTATTTATATCTATTAAAATACTTTCAAACTTTTTAAATTAACAAAATGATTATTTTGCCCCTATAACATCATTGGAAAACCGATCACCTGAACTATTCCATAAAATGAACCTCTTGATTTGAGCAATTTACAACTATAACTCAATCTAATTCCTATTTTTCAGGAATTTCCATATTTTTTCTGGGTAACTTCATCCATCATAAACATATGAAATGCTATAAATTACCACATTGGGTTGTTAATGCCGGGGTGGACAGTCTGTTGATTTTAGACTCATCAATTTGATGAACATGAGAACTGCAACTGCTTTTCAAGCTAGCTTTAAGGTCAGAGTTGTCGCTGCCTAAAAGAAGGGAAAATCGGTCGTTCACAATAAAATATTAATTGTTTATATGGAATACTCAAATCCTAGTTATTTCTTCCTAAGTGGAGTTCTGCTCATAGGTTAACAATTAAAGTAATAGACGCCACTTTCTAATGCTGACTTAGTACATAGGGCCAATCTATCATGTTTTCCTAACCGTTAATGTCTCTGATATTACTAACATGGTCTATTACTAGTCGAACACTAATTACCTTCCTTATATGCATCATATATTTTCACCTTTTAAGCATTGGTCTAACAACGTTACATCAAAGATAAAATCTTTCGCGAGTAGAAGACAATGATAAACATTTATAGCTACTTAACAATTCACCACACTTGTTAAGTAGTCACGCTTGAAGTACTTAATATAAGTCCACAAGATAAACCATTAACCAAACTTCCATGTCTTACTTTAGATAATGTTTTAGTAACATAACCTTCCTACTAGAGGCAAAATGCATGGAGGTTCTTCTGCATAGCAATCGTTCCACTTCTCGAAGCGTCACTAGAGTGAGTAAAGAAAAAAGAGATTGCAGTTAAAAAGTCATTCCTCAAGATCCGTCATCTTCAAAAGGAAAGCAGCTTCTAATGCCGCCTCCTTGCAATGCAAGTATCTATTCTCCTCAACAATATCTGTCGTTAAATTGAGCATTACTGGACGTTTAGGATCATATACAGAGTACTCACGCACCAGCGCAGCCCATTTTGCTGCTTCCCAAACTCCAAACCTAGATGGGGAAAAGCATGACCACATTAGTCATTCGTTTAAACTATGAGAAACACGCCTGAAAAAGGCAGGGACAGTTGCCAGAACAATGCTAACTTAAAAATCAATCCCACTACCAATGTTATTCCAAGATACAGTTTTATGGCAATATACCGCACCACCCAGGAAGTCCCAGCAGATGAGATTGGCGATCACCATATAATCAGTCGTTATGGTGTTTATGTAAATACTAAAATTTCAAAGGACTGTATCACCTAAAAAGTGAAGCTTCAGGTGCTACAACAACGTTCAAATCGACAGTTTTCAAGCCAGTACGCTGGCGACTTCTTAAGGTTTGAAGCAATGATATACCTGCATTTCTACAACCAAAGAGCATCCTTCCGATAGTTTCACACTCAACATTTACACCACTCTAATCGTTGAAACAACAAAACAAAACCGCCTCAGGAATCCCCTGACACGGCAACAACAATTAATGGTTTATCTACAATGTGGAGATGGCTATAACATGACCCAGGAATTCAACGTGTCAGAAAGTCATTTTTAGCATGAAATAATTGTCCACTAGAATGAACTCAGTTACCAAATAGATGGAATCACAATACAAGTCTGTCCACGGAGAACTTGGAAATTTGGAATTACCTTGTATTGAATGATGAGGTTACCATAACTGAGGGGTAAAGGACACCCTTTCTTATGTTGTCATAAGGAGAATATGCACGTATAGCCTGAAAATCTTCAATGTCGCCAGGATACCCAAATTCTTCATAGTCAACAGCCAAAAGTGGTAGAATGGGAGACATGAGCGTATGAGTTGGATCCAAAAATGGAACCTAATCAAGAAGCACAACAACTAATCAATAAGACGACAATGCAGGAAAAAGGGAAACCTTTCTTCCCGTTGTATTTTGGCTAGGGTCGAGGTGGAGAAACTACATCAGCTCAATCAAAAAATGAGGGCATCACAAAGTTGATAGAAAAATAAAATGCAATAGGCAATTGAAAAGAATTTGCCAAATCTCTTCAGAGACTTAATTGTTGAAAATCAGTTGAGCCACCAAAGAGAATAATGTCAAGCCAAATGAACCAACTGAAAAACAGAAAAAGAAAAAGTAAAGGAAGTAAGCAAAGGTCGATAAAAATTTATAGTTGCACCTTTAAAACTGCAGCACGGAACAAGTCAGGACAAGAATTCATAGCAGCAGCTACCAACAATCCTCCAGCACTTTGTCCCCAGCCACAAAGCTTGTTCTCTTCAACAATCTTACTCCCCACCAAAAATTTTGCACAGTTGATATAATCATTGATCGAGTTCATCTTTTTTGTGCGCTGGCCATCTTGGTGCCATTTTCTGCCATAGCCTCCACCACCTCTGCAAATAAAAACCCATTATGACATATTCTAGAACAAGCTCAAAAAGAACAAACTGCTGAAGACTGTTCACGTGGTTTAAGATTCAATCTAATTAATTATGGTTCAAGTTGTAAATCATATGTACCTAACATCAGCATATGCAAGCACCCAACCACGATCAAGAAGGCTTTTTAACTCGCTTCGCCACCTTTTGTCAAGTATCTCTCCATATGCTCCGTGCCCATGAAGTAATCCAGGACTCTGTGACTCTTTTTTTCGATGCCGGGAATATACTATGGTCAAAGGCACCACAACCCCATCATGCGATGGAACACCATGATACTCGCAAGCATAGTATTCGATAAGCTCGTTCCACGTTTGATCATTATCAGCATTGACTTGATCAAGATCAGAATTCCTGGAAACAGTGAAGTTTTCACCCAAACTTCCGGTTGATGCACTACCATACAACACTCTTGTTCTTTCTTGAAGCAGATTCTGCTGTTGTACTATGTTCCACTTGCCGTTTGACAAATTATAATCAACTGTGGCATCAGCCATCTGTAGAAAAAGAGTAAACAATATTACAAATATGCAGAGGGCTGGATATATTACTTATTAACATAACACGATAAAACATAAAAATGAAATATGAATAATGTGAATCTAGAAACACCAACTCATTAATATATACCTTGACTTAACCAAAATGTATGGATAAGTGAATAGTCACTTACCACAGGTGAGGATATTGTAAAGCGCATCGTTGATGAAGAGAAATCATAATTTGGCCCCGGCGATATTTGTGAAACGTGAGTTGGAAGGGACAAAAATTGTGGATTAACATCCTTGAGATAAAAGGATCCCTGTTACACAGTCACAGAAAAGAAAGCAGCATGACAACATATATTGTAGGTATGTATTAGGCAGGAATGGATTAACAAACTGACTTTAAATTCTGAACTTTAGCATCAAATAATTAAGCTCCTTAAAATCTTACACCAGAAAGCTTCAGTAGGATTTAAAAGATTGAAGATAGCATGAAAAGCTCCCATAGACCACATTTAAGCTAGGGGAAGGAAATAATCACAACATTTATTTCTGAGCATCACAAAAAGTAGAAAAAATTAAACTATTATCAACTTCCATCATCAGTTGGAAATAACAGAGTGTTTTCTGATCTAATGTCTTAACAGCAACAAGGACAGCATGGTGAATAGGAGCTACATGTGTAGGATCAGGACATTTAGGTCAAATTCATTCAGCAAAGACTCGTCTCAAGTTTAACTAACCCACCACCCCCCGGAACACCCACCAATAAACATAAGAAGAAGAAGAAATAAATCAAGTCGAAGACATGCATTAGCCAGAGAAGGAGATTTAGAGCTTAAATCCAGAGGAAGTGTAATCTTAGAAGTTTTTTTGCCACAACTATAGAAGAGGTCCCGTTAAGGTTGTATTACCTTGCCTACGGGTAGAGGTAAGGAAACAGAACAGAGCTGAAGTTTTCGATCATTCCTCAAGATGAGAACGACATGTGAGTTACTGAAATCAACATCTTCAATAATCAACCCTTGCCCTTCAACAAAAACATTCTGCATCAATCAAAGAACAAATGGCATTAGTTACAAAGTGCCATGTGATGTACAACTAAAACAATGCAGAGAAACATGGACCAGAGAATAATCATCTTTGAGAAATGAACTGTTTGGAATTAAGAAATATATTCGGCACTGAAAACTTTAAAAAAAGTGGGCCTTCAATTGGAACTGATAGTATAAGTTATAATGACAAAATGTGAGCAGGAGAACTTTAAAAATGGTACTTATGTCACCTCCCATCTTCTTGGACCTGGTGGAGATTTGACAAGACTACGGAGGAGATAGTGGTTATCAACAAGTTGACCCGCTTTGGCTGCGTCAGTAAAAAGGTAAAGGTACCCTTGATGATGCTCAACTATGCAGTGGGCTTTGGCCTCACACTCCCAGACTAGCGTCATCCCAGATAGGGGATCAGCTGCATTTATCAGGAAAACCTAAAAATTGGTGACAGATAAAGAGAATTGTCCAGACAAAAGTAAGAAAATAAAGTTTAATATTGAACTATACCTTTGAGTATGTGGTTGAAAATGTATTTACAGCTACAAACTGGAAATCTTTGGTGTGTCTTATATTTACGTAAACATTTTCTTCAGGTTCCTCGTGAAGTAAAATATCATCTTCATTTGTTCCAATCATGCTACAGTATATCCTAAAAGAAAAACATACATAAGCAGGAGTTTTATGGCAGCACATAAAAAACAAATAAGGCTTTCAGGAGGATCTATGAGTTGCCAACCTGTAAGGCCTCTTATCCTGATTAGTTACAACATAAAGCAAAGCTTGTCCATGTTTAGCCCAAGCCACATTTGAAACGCATTCTGCTTGAGGTTTGTTACACAGGGAACCAAAATTCAAGTCCCTGACTGATAGTTTGAAGTAATCGTTGTCCTTATCATACATAGTATATGCAAGATAGCGATGATCAGGTGATACTTCAGACAATTCCTCATATGCATAACCTGCAAGGAGAAAAAAAAATCACCAAATCAGAAATGCAGGAGCTAAACATAAGTACTGATACTATAAAAAAGGAGCGGGTAACATGCATACCCCCAAATCTTTCAGCTTCTTGGTTATAGTCCAGCAACTTCTGCTCAATTCTTTTGCCAGAAGTGAAATCAAAACCAGCTGATGCGGACTTATGAGATATAAATTCTTCATGTAAGCTTGCTAATCTTCGGCACAGTACCGGATACTGCTTCCCCTCTTCCGCACGCCTGTAATACAACCTGTACTAAGAAAACATGCCTTTCATAAACTAAGCATAAATGATTTAGCCTCCAAAACCTATTTGCACCAGTAAGACCCCCAATATTTAAATGAATGAAGCACGATGTTGGTACTAAAAAATTGGCATCAAGACTAGTTATCTTCCATCAGATTACTTTTAAGGCAGTAAGCAAAGCAATAAATGGACCAAGATAATCAAATCAACAATGAATGAACATGAAATAAGTTCCATTTCGAATTTTTAGAAATTGATCATACACCAGAATTGCCTCATTTATATTGTTACTAAGTCAAAGTAGTGCACTTAACCGACAAATTAAGGCAATTATTCAAAGAAGTATACAAAAGGATGGAACGTTACCATGGTCCCCAGCGAACTGGAGGAGTTGAGAGTTCAAATGGAAAGCGAGAAGCCATTTCAGACTGGAGTTTGGACTGAAGGCGTTCGGTATCGGACATGACAGCCTCGGCGTACTTCTCTTCTTGCTCCATGTACACGTCCATATGCCGCATGGCCACTTTATCATTTAGTTGTGACATCCAGCCATAATTGTCCTCCCATGTCTCACCGTGGAGGGAAACCTTCGTCGGTTTCTTAGGTGGTTTTGGAGGTGATGGTGGGGCCGGCGGCGGTTGGGTCTTTTGTGGCTTGTAGTATGCCCGCTGGATGAGATAGAAGTTATTGCCGGAATGACGGTGGCGGAGAACAGTCAGGAGGTGTCGCATGGCGGAGTTACGGTGGGGTGTCCGACGGGGGGTTTTCAGTTCAAAAAGTTCAATAAAGAAATGAAGCTTATTGGTTTGGGTTGGGCCCTTCCGACCTAACAGTTCTCCATCTAATTTGCAATGGATTATGTACACATTCAGGCCCAAAATGAAACAAAGCTACTCCAGAATTGTTCTATGGTGTGTGTTCAGTTGGAGGGTAAATTATAGTCCAATGAAATAATCTTTTTGCAGAAGGACTAAAGGAGTATCCTTCATGAAATTTTTGGCTCCTTCATAATTTGAAATCGTGACATGTAAATCAGAGTAGTATTTCAGATATTATTTAAACAAACAACCTTCAAGCTCTTCGATTCCGACGACCTTCCGATCGATTCAAAGCTTCGGAGAACACCGGAGAACTCATAAGGTACCTGAGTTAGCTGCTGAGTAATTTCACCCATTCGAAGCTCATAAGGTACAATCGAGTCTAGTTAAATTTGAAGATTTAAGATCTCGTATATTCAGTCTAGTTCTTGGAAATGCTACCTACTCTTGCATGTCTTAATTAATACAGTACATGGTTTTAATATTTCAGCTTAGGACCATTTTCTCATTCATATATGGGGGTGAAGTTTTATAGTACTTCAACTTTCTGTGAATTGCCATTTGCTTCCTTTTGGCATTTGACCTTGAATTTGGCTAGCATCAAATTGGGAGTTGAAATTGACTTTGTGCAATGGGGGATGGAGGACACCTGAAACATGATTCTGGAACTTCAAAGTTCAAATTATGATCAAGCATATACGGAACCTGGCTTTTTAGGGCTGAATAATTGGGGAATAATATTGGAAAACAAATGATGTAGCTAAGAAGCTAATATAGATTAGCTGCAAAATAATGCTCTATCTCCAGAATGGAATGTAGTTGTTTGCTTCAGAGGAACAGGAAAGTTCTTGGCATCTTCGCTTATGATTTTACAGAGAAGTTCTCGGCATAGTCTATGTTCATTTTACAGTGCAAGTTGAGTGTGTGTGTGTGTGTGTGTGTGTGTGTGTGTGTGTGTGCGTGCTCGGGCGCGCAAGTAATATATGTAGTCTGTCACCTTTTTCTCATTTGAGATTTGTATCATTGTATCATATGCCTTGTTTCTGCATCTTTACCAGGATTTTGCATTGCCTTCGGACAATTTGACGAAAATCATCAATCACCTAAGTGGCAGCTGAGGATGCCATTTACTGTAGACTATAATTTTATTCTCTGGAATCAAGTTAGTATTATGACAAAAATAGAAGAGGACTAGCCAGAAGATTCAGTAGTAGAGGAAAAAACTAGAAGGAGAGCGAGTAAAGCCAAGGTCCTTCAAATGTTGGTTAAGTTTCCACTCCAGTGGAATCCTTTCCTCTTTCTTTGTAGAATGATGGAGATACTCCTTCAGCAAAAAATTGCACACAGGAAAGACTTACAAAAATTCTACCCGAATAGAATTCTTGGAGATTCATCTAGACTTCTTTAGAATAAGCTAGTAGGTTGTATAAGTAATGAAACTCATCGAGACTACTTCTCATTTGAGCATTTGCTGCAACTGCCACACTTGATTACTTTGCTCCAGAAACAGCTGGTAAAATTTGTTCTGGCTTGAGGTTCATAACATGATGTAGGATAGCCCTTTTTACCTCGGCGTGAACAGAGGCCGAGCAGGATGATTGCCAGGTCCCAAATAGCCAGGGAATTGTGGAAAGCCGGGAATGAGTCCTCCACCACCACTACTCTCTTGGAGACCTGGTAGGCCTAAATGATGACCTCTGACCTGATAAGGTGGCTGGAGCAGGGACGGATATTTGAAGGCTTCCAGAAAGTAAAAGATGGTGCCCACCCAGAAGTAGAAGATAGTGGTAGCATTTGCTGCCAATGCAACCCTTGATTCCTTTGCTCCAAAGACTGCAGGTTAATTTGCTCCGTCTTGGCATTTTCCGTCTCGGGCATTAACAAAGGTCGAGCAGGCTGATTGCCATGTCCCATATGGCCAGGGAATTGTGGAGGGCAGGGAACGTGTTTTCCACCCCCACCACTCTCTTGGAGAACTGGTGGCAAGAAGATCCTCTATAATCTTGATTAGAGCTTCCAATTCGATTATATTCTGGGCGTAAATGATGACCTCCAACCTGATAATTTGGCTGGAGAGGGGCCTGCATTGAATGTGATGGATATGATGGAGGCTGAGTTTTTTTGAAGGCAGCTTAGAAGTAGGAGATAGTGCACTTCCAGGTTCGGTCTCATGCTGATTTATTGTCTGCTCCAGCACAGTAATTTGACCAGGCGATGATGAAGCAGTTTGCATATTTGACTGAAGTTTTGACGAGTCTGATCGCTCTCTATTTTCTGGTGCCACAGGCTGGACATTTGGAGCCGTTTGCGGCTGCACTATTTTCTGGTGCCTGATTGCTCTCAATTTTCCAGTTTCGTGCTCATGCTGATTTCTTGTCTGCTCTGGCACAGTAATTTGACCAGGGGATGATGAAGCAGTTTGAATAGTTGACTGAAATTTCAATGATTCCGACAGCGGGTGGACATTTGGAGCCGTTTGCGGCAGCACTATTTTCCGGTGCCTGATTGCTTTAAATTTTCCAGGTTCGTTCTCATGCCGATTTCTTGTCTGCTCCGGCACAGTAATTTGACCAGGCGATGATGAATCAGTTTGAATAAATGACTTAAGTTTTGATTTCTGTTGGTTTTCCGGAGCCAAAGGGTGGACTTTTGGAGCAGTTTGCCGCTGCACGATTTTCCTGTGCTTCATTGTTCTTGATTCTCCAGGTTCGTTCTCGGGGTGATTTCTCACAGTAATTTGACCAGGTGACGATGAAGCAGTTTGAGTAATTTGATTAATTTTCGAAGAGTATGATTGCTTTTGATTCTCCAGTGCCACTGGCTGGACATTTGGAGCCGTTTGCGGCTCCACGATTTTCCGGTCCTGATTGCTCTCCATGTTCCAGGTTTATTCTCATGCTAATTTCTTGACTGCTCCGGCACACTAGTCTTACCAGGCGACAACGAATCAGGTTGAATATATGACTTACGTTTGAATGAGACCGATTGCCCTTGATTTTCCGGTGCCACAGGCTGGACATTTGGAGCCATTTGCGGCTGCACGACTTTCCGGTGACTGATTTCTCTCGATTTGCCAGGTTCGTTCTCATGCTGATTTCTTGTCTGCTCCGGCACAGTAATTTGTCCAGGTGAAGATGAAGCAGTTTGAATAATTGACTCACGTTTCAATAAGTTTGAATTCTCTCGATTTTCTGGTGCCACGGGCTGGACATTTGAAGCCGTTTGCGGCCGCGCAATTCCCAGCATTGTTTGTGCCTGGTACAGGGCTCGGGTCAAATCAGGATCTTTTGAATTAGGATTTCTCTGGCTTGCTGCTGGTTCTGTTCATCCAATTGCTTCATCTGAACATTATTTCAGAAAGTTGAGTTTTCCACATCCCAGGGAGACTCGGCGACGGGCAGTTGTTGGGAATTTTCTTTCCCGCCATAGGCTTCTGCAAGTGAGTAGCTTGTTCATCTTCGTTCAACGCTTGTTCATCTTTTAGCCTGTAATTTAAAAAAGCACCAAATTATGAAACCTAATAGCAATCCATCCTTTGTCAAGTTGACGATTTCAAACAAAGTGTATTGTAAGTTGTCATTTCTCCTTTCTTTCAACTCTAGATAGCTACTTTTAACTCAGTCTCAAAGAAAAATCTTACTTGTTGAAGTGTTCTAGTACAACAAACATGACTCTAATTTAGGTACGATCCGAGAGAGTACAATTTGTATCATATTATCTCAATGTCGTGTATGCAAATTGATATTCAGATGCTTTTTTTTTTCCAATAAAATATCAATTCGTTTGTTCATTTTTGACCAGCTTATATACCGGGCGCTCTCATTGAAACTCATGAAATGAGTGTACTTGAATGCCCAAGACTTCCTACGTTGAGGAAAGGTTAAAAGTTCGAATGCACAATCATGTATAAATGCTTCTGACGACGCTTTAGAACATGTTCTCTTTCTCATCATTATTATATAATCAATATTGCACTTGTGAGATTTGAAAGATTGTCGTGTGATGAAACCGATTGATGAAAATAAAACTCTATTCTATTCATAAACATAGAGTATTTACATTTTATTTTAAAAATAAAACTCTATCTATTCATAAATGATCTATATTTTCAAATTTAATTTTCGAAATTGGACTTCTTTTTTGGGATAAAAGAAGGATTTGTAGCTGGGTTTTTACTATGTGTGTTTCGTTTCTTCATTTTTGTCATCAGTTTATAAGAAAATTTCTTTTACTTGGATTTTCAACTGGAAAACTTAAAAAAAAAAAAGAAAAGAAGAAAAGAAGAGAACATAGCACGAGAACATTCATCCTGGTAAAGCTCAAAAGAATTTGATGTCTTCTCTAGATCATCATCAACAAAGGCAATAATTACCGGATTCACAAGAATCTCATCCTCAGATCATTGACATTCCCATCTTTAACGTTACTAATAAGTAAAATGATGGCCGTTTCCAAAAAAAAAAAAAAAGTAAAATAACGGCCAATGATAATTCCTCAAAAAATACATCTTATCACTTCCAAAAAAAATTCCAATGATTATTAAGAGTTGAAAAAAAATTTAAAAAGATACATAATACTTTATCAATTAGGCGGGATAATAGCACAATTTGCACAACAATATGGAAATTCCTTTTCTAAACACTAATTGGATCGCGTAAATTCTATCATCACATTAGTGAACCCTAAATATATACAGTATAATAATAGCCAATAACTTCGTCCTTGCGCGTTACTTTATATTGCCGAAATTTTTCACTTGCTTTTCCGCCATTATCATCCCTGTCAAGTAATTGTACATTGATTTCCAAAGTACAATTTGTTCAATCCAACAAAATTCTTGTTCGGCAAACCCAATATGTATACCGACGATGATGATGATGCTAGAGGAAGCAAGGGATCAAGACGATCCAAGATTCCGGACAAGAAGCCACACTTCTTCAAAGTCGTTTTCAACCCTGTTAGCCAAGGCCTTGTGAGTATCAAAACAACTTTCTCTTCTTTAATTTAGTTTCTGTAATACAGCCAAAAAAAAAAAAAAAAAGTACTTATTGTATTGACCCCAAATTTCCTCTGTTTTTCTTTTTTTTTTTCTTTATGACAGAGGATTCCGACGTCATTCATGGAAGACTATGCAGACGCTTTCAAGAACAACAAAAAGGTGGTTTTGAAAATCCCGAATGGAGAAACATGGCCGATTGAACTTCGTGAAACCGAAATCGGAACTTGGTTCAAAAAGGGATGGAAAGAATTCGCTTCCTACTACGAAATTGAACCCCGGCAATTTTTGGTGTTCCGGTACGAGGGCAATTACCAGTTTTATGTCTTAATCTTCGACTCAAGCGGTTCAGAGATTGAATATCCAGTCGAAATGGATAATACCGAACCTGAGAAAGACCAAACAACCAGTAAGAATGAAACCAAGAAGCCTTCCCGCCGATCGGCTGGTAGGAAGAGAAAAACAACAGGGGTGAAGGAAAAAGGAGTTGAAGGAAAGCGGAGAAAATCAGGGAACCAGGTGAAAGAAGGTGTCAATGTAGTTGAAATCTCGAAGCGGAAATCGAGATCATCACAACAACGATCTGGCAAGGGAAGAAAAACAGAGAATGTGAAGAAAGAACCTTCGGAAGAATGCAATACATATCAAAAGCGTTTAAGACAGGGTGTTAGGGACTTGAACCAACAGAGGAATTTGAATTACTCTGCAACTCACGTCTTTAGCCTTTAAGAGACACATTGGTGCTCGAAAGAAAGAAGTTAAAGGAGGAGGAAGAAGAAGAAGAATTACAGAAGTCCTGGAATTAATGGTTAGATTGTGGGAATGTCTTCTGTTTTATGGATTGATTTTTGTCTTTGTAAAATTGAGATACTCTGATTTTGCTGATTTTTTGTTTCGGGTGTTTACATTACATCTGCTTGTTTGAATTTGGTCTCGTGATCTCTAATTTACAAAAAAAAATCACAACCATAGAGAGGAACAATCGAAGAAAATGAATTAAGGCAAATGGAATGAGCCCTTTGTTTTTTTTTTTTTTTAGATAGGTAATAATACTATTGCATCTGCAACAAAGTTCCTTAATGTTAATTTACTTCCACTGCCTACACAAGGGGAAGTTCAGTTTTCCAGACTCCTTTAGGGATCGGGGGGTGATTGAGTCAGTTTCAGTGGATAATCATTAATCCTAATTTTTATTTTTAATCTTTTATTAAACATTATTTCAGACTATAGAAAGCTGATTTGATGGAAAGGATGATGGCAAAGTCGTAAAGAAGAGTGGAAGTTTAGAATTTGGACATGTTAATTGCTTGTATTTGATTAGAGATATCATGTGTTTGTTGAAGACCACGGATCAAAACTATTTCTCTGCCTTATGGTTGGCAATTTCTGTGCTCAATGTTGTGAAGAACTTGATTAACACACACCCCACTCAATCCAGAACTACAGTACTTGTGGTTTCAACACTAATACTTTTCATTCCTAAATTATAATGTCATAAAAGTTAACAATGTTTTAAGCACGAAAAAGTATTTTAGTAGCTATACAAAGATAATTGAATGAATATACACAATTATAAATTTGAGTGATCCACTGGTCTAATGTTACTGTTGTACTTGATTGATCATTATTGTCCTTAATTATGAGAACTCTTATCCAGAAGCAGAGCTCTTATTCCTCAATGATATATATTCTTATTATTTTTTATTCACTTTATTCTATTTTATTTTTATCATTCATTTACTTTTCATAACCTAGATTTCCTTAACGGTAAATTGCCGGACCTATAATAATAATAATAATATATATATATATATATATATTTAGTTGACATACTTTAGGCATAACATAAGTCCTTACATATTATGTCTTTCTTATTTATATTCAATGTAAGCAACTAACCTACTAAATAGATTTATACAAGTCTAAGCATGTCTAAATTTTGCTATCATTACAAAAAGTGCAATCCTGTGCAAGTGCAACGACTACGTCGAACGAAAATGGTCCTGTAGTATCTGAGCTTTCCACTTTATATAAGGACTAGGTTTTCTCTGTCTGCGAGTAATGTGTTTTTTCAGTTTAATAAATCTAATATATACTTCATCCGTACCATAATTATTGTCCAGTTTAGATTTTTATTTCTAGTTCAAATTGTACTAAAAATAAAATCTCAAACTAGGCAATAATTTTGGGACAGAGGGAGTATTAAAATTATAATTTGGCTTATTTTTTTATTCAGTTATTTAAACATAATTGTTAAATTATGATATCTTCATAATAATATTTCATACTTATCCCCCATTATTTTTGTCATATATGTACAATTTTGTATTGCGTGTTGACATATTCTATGAACAAAATTATAATTTAAACTTTTGTCACGCTTACTCCATATAGAATATTTTTTTTATTTATCTTACCATTTTCTTACCACGTCGATCAACTAATTAATATTTCTCTCTTTTTTTAAAAATACAATATATTATTTTTTTTTTTTGGATAACAACATTATCCAAAAAACAGATATGAAGGTTAATTATTTTTATTTAATCATATTTTATCCATAGATCTATAATCTATAATCTATCGATAACCTTCATTATAATAAAAATTATTTTTTACCAAAATTCCAAGTGTCAAACTTTCGTAAAAAATCTCTCACCCAAACCCAAAGAACAATAATCCGGTTTAACTTATCCAAAAAAAGGACTACAAAATAATTTGTAAAACTTTTTTTAATTAAAAAGAAAAAAAAAACTCGTAACTAACCCCAAAAAAATGTATTTAACCCTCATATCCATGATTTCAACAGTTAAATTTTCAACTAAACCATGATTTTGTTCTAAATAAACTTCTCAAATAAATCATAAGATCTCTGAAATTTTTCACCATGATTTCTTTCATCCAAATTTCGGCAACAGAATAAGAATATTGTATGGAACTTATAAGCACTACAAGTGATCCAACGGTATATTGGGGTTAATTAAAGTTAATTTGGAAGGTTTTCAGGAAAGCAAATGACAAAAAAAAGAATAAGAAAGGATGATACATGACAGCCCTTGAAGGCCATGATGGACTTCCATTGCCGTAGGACCAGAGCGGTATAGCCCCCAAAACTCCGAAAACCTCTTTGGTTTGGTTTGTAATAATTAGAACATATTCTATTATGTTATACTTTTTTTAATTCTCCCTTTTTTTCATATTTTAATTGTTCCAACTTCAATTGGAAGCTAATTTGGTCTCAAAATAGTAGTTGCAAATTTTCTATCCGGAGGTTTTGTTGTTTATTTGTTTTTTTTTTTTTCCTTTTGATCACCTAATCATGTTACAAAAAGGATGTTTGCATATTTAATAAGTATTTTATTTGTTGATAATTTGGTATTGTTTAACAGCCCTACTGTAATGAAGAAATTTGATTAATTTTCTTTCACATGTTGCTGCACTTTGCAGTGTACCATTCTTTGCTCTGGATTTTGGCATGGCTTATCTATATAATCTATCCTGGAATTTTTGTCAAATGAGAGTAACTATAGCCTTTATTGAATTTGTGTAAGCCGAAACGTCAGAGGTATGTGGATTCTGAATCCTAAAGACTTTAAATGAGAACGTAGCTAAAAACAACGACCTGTTATGAGATTAAAAAAATTAGTGTCCAACAAAGTTTCACTATCACATTGTAAGGTATTTATTGTTTTTTCATTTTGATTCTTACGTAGCTAATATTTTTTCTTAATTGGACAAGCAACTGCATGCTTGCTTTATTTATTTGTTTGCAGAACTGGAAGTCCAGTTCTTAATTTGAAGCCTGTTGAATACAATTCCAAAGATGATTGAAGCTTAAGTCCAAGTGAAAAAAGAAGCCGCAATCAGAGATTTAGATGAGTGACAAGTTCAGCAACATTATTTCCGTGAACAAAGCATTGTTTTGACACAAACACGTTCAAGAGCTCAGAGGACATAGTTGAGTTTAAAGCTACTGAGATGAATAGTATCAGAAAATTAAACTGACTCTGATCATTTTATGTTATCTACTATTATGTATAATGTGTTACACGTTAAAACTTTTTTTTATACTATAATGAAATAAAGTTATGATTCACAAATTTGAATTTTTTATATGTTATAACTTAGTTAAGATTAATGAGTGATATAAAGTTACAATTTGAAATCACAGAAACAAAAGAAATTAGTCTTTTAAGTACTCGTGTGAATGTACGGGTCCATAACCTAGTTAGTTATTAAAAAAAAAAACAAAAAAAATAGAAAGTTTTAAAAGGGGGGAATAGAGAAAATGAGATTTATTGAAGCCCAAAAGTTGAGGTTAGAAAATGAGATTTAAAGGCCAACGCTTTTTGTCCAGACTTGAAAAGATTTACCATCATCTGTGCATAATTTAAATGTAAAATTACAAAAATATCCTCGTTTTAGTAGTAGATGTTCCAACGACGAAGGTGTAGTTTTTTGGGTTCTTGCTTTTATATATATATATATATATATATATATATATATATATATACTAGATGGATAAAATGCGCTTCGCGCGTACTGCAATATAAAACAACTTAAGTATGATTATATATGTTAATTCTAAGTATGTAATTATAAAATATTTAAATATGAAGAAAGAAACAATAAAAGAATGCTCTATTTATTTTATATTCGTAATCTATTTTATTACAATAACATAAATTATTAAATAGAACAAACAGAGGTGTATAAATGTAATCTCACTTAAACTTAATTTGACATTCACAATAATAAATTCAATAACTCGAAATATTTTTGTAAAAGAGAATCATAGTTTGAAAGTGTTTAGTGAAAAAAACATGGATTAAAATCTATTGCTCACGAATTGTAAATTATTAAACGCTTCAAATTTACCTGAGATCGAGAAGACATCTATGTTTGAAAAAGAAATTTCAAATTTTTTTTTTACAATCTTCATCTACTGCTTTTAGATCTTGCAACTCAACTTTCTGTTATATGATTAGCCAAACATGAGCATCTTTATTTCTGTTTGAATTGAACTTGAACATTTAATAAAATTGTAAAAAGAAATATAAAAAAAAACTGGAAAAAGAAGAGAGAAAGGAGAGAAAACTAAGACAAAAGATAAATACAAAAGAGGAGAAGAGAGAAAACCAACATAAAAGATCAACTAGAAATGCGGTGTTTAAATAGTTTTAGTCAAACTATTGTAATAGATGTTAAAAGTAAATAAAAGAACACCAAATTGATGAAGAAGTTGTTATCGGAAATAAGGGGAGATTAAAAGTCTAATACTATTAAAGAATAGAAGAAAAATGAATAGAAAATTTAACACCGATAGTAAAGAACAGAAGATGAAGGGATATGAAACATATATCACATAAGTAAACAATAAAGATAAAAGAGGTTAAAAAATTTAATTCTTGTGATAAAAGATCATAATAAATGTTAAAAAATTAATATGAAAAAGAAAACGAAAAGATAAAAACAATGTTTATTTAAAGAAGAAAAAGAAACTAAAAACTAAAGTTTTTGTTAAAATAATGTGAGAGAACTACCAAAAACTATATCACATTCCCCAATTATAATATATATTGAATACATAGATATTAATTTGATAATTTCAGTATTGAGGATAGGGTCAAACTGTTGAACGCCCTTATTTTTTCATTTGAGCGCCCGCAAAACACCGATACGCCCCTGCAAAATGGAGATAATTTTTTTTTTTTCGAAAAGGGGGGGCGAGGGAGAACCGCGCCAGCCATTAACGGCTAGCGCAGGAGAAGCACGCCACCCCTATGGGGGTGGCATGCAATAAACTCGCCTCCCTTTACAGGGAGGCGAGACAGCCTTCACCATCGGCGAAGGCGGTGGCGCCAGATTTGGCGCCACCTTTGTCCGGGTTGGCACCACCTTTGTCTGTGACAGCCTTCACCATTTTTTTTAATTTTTTTTAATTTTTTAATATATTTAATATTTATTAGTTTAATAATTATTATTATTAGTTTAATAAATTTAATTAATTCATGTATTTATTTTATTTGAGTATTTGTTTGGTAGTTTAATATTTGTTTAGAAAATTAGGGTTTATGCTAATTAGGTTTATGATATTTAGAGAATATTTTTTTAATTACGTATACTGTTATATTAACTGAGTTAATGGGTATAGCTGTTAGGGATTAGGATTTTTATTAAAATAATGAGTTTTTATTAATAGTATTTTTAATTTGTCATTAGTATATATTAATTATCTTTAAAGTATAAAATCATTATATCGGATTATATAACAATGTTTACTCATAGCAAATTATTAGTGGTTTAACAATGTTAGAGTTAATTTAAGTTATGATATAATTTGTTTTTAGTGTGTGCCGGATAGGTTTGATCAGGGGGATGGAATCGATTATAGTCCGGCTTTTGCTACAGACGAGACTTTTGTGACGAAGAAGGAAGCTGTTGCATATGCGAAGGGTATTGCGAACATCTACAATATGGAGTTAAGTGTATCCTCGCACAAGGATAATAGTACTATACTCCTTTGTCATAAAGGAGGGCGGTACCAAGGTCAACAGGTGGATGAAAACGTGCGCGCCCGAGCCAATACAAAGACACAGATGACCGGATGCCAGTTTCGTGTTACTATTTACAAGATATATGATAGGTGGGCGATCCGTGTATATCCAGGTCCGTTGGGAATGCACAACCATTCATTGAAAGATCCACCTCGAGTCAGGAGGCCATTGAGTGCAGAAGTAAAAGAGCTTATTAAGGAGTACTCCAAAGCTGGGACTAAGGCAGTCCACATTTTACGGGCGATATGGACACAATTTCCCAATGAAAAGGTAACCTCCAAACAAGTCTACAACTACAAAAATTTTTTGCGTAAGGCGGGGTTTCCAATTCTAGATGATCTGGCTGCCATGGACGTAGTGGGAAAGGTGTTAGAGGTCGCAGAACAACAGAAATACATCATCTTCACGAAGTGCGATGAAGAGACACAGAGGTTATCCCACGTGTTTTTCGCACATCCGGATTCTTTGTTGCAGTTACGGACGTATCCTTGGATTGTTTGTGTAGATTCCACATACAACACAAACAAATATAAACTGCCTCTTGTGGAGTTTGTTGGAATGACCCCTTACAATCAGACATTCCTTATAGCATATGCTATTCTGAGTGATGAGATAGGAGACAGCTACCATTGGGCGCTGTGGCAGCTCCGTAACTTGTATGGCGATGATCTGCATCCGAGTGTCATCGTGACTGATCGGGAGCCTGGACTGATGAGGCCTCTTGATGATGTATTTCCATCCTCACATCACTTGTTGTGTACGTGGCATGTTTACAGGGATGTTGAAAGAAATGTGAAAAGAATTTTGAACGGAAATGCCCATGTAGCAAAAAGCTTATAATGCCTTCAAAGCAGTGATCGAAGCTGCAAATCGGGAAGTATACGAAGAAAAAGTACAGTTTCTGGAGCATAATTGGTCTCAATTTCAACCCGTTCTAGAGTATGTTAGGAAGACATGGTTAGTGGTGGCGCACAAGTTTGTGCATGCATGGACCAACACTTATTTGCATTTTGGCAACACCACTACTTGTAGAGTGGAGAGCGCACACAAGTTGTTAAAGGAATGGCTCGGCACTCCAAATGCTTCTTTTGAAACGGTGTGGCACAGGGTTCACATGTTATTGGAGACACAGCTTACGCAAATAAGGTATTGGATTTTGATCCCTTTTTTAGTTAATTTGTGTATTTAGGTTGTTTAATTAATTTGTTAGAATTCCTCCACAGGGAGAAATTGCAAGAATCAAGGCAGAAAATAGGGAGGCAACACAACAAGTACCCTTTCTACCAATTAAGATGCAATGTTTCACACTACTGCTTGGATCTATTGAACAATGTGTTGGAAAGGATGCAACAACTCGGAGATGATGTGTATTGAGAATGCAATCATTACCTGAAACAAACTCATTCCCTCCCTTGTGCATATATACTTAAGCGTATAATGGAGGCCATCGAGATTTTGACTCCAAAATACTTACACCAATTTTGGAGCACACTTGACATCGGTGAGGTTACAGAGAAGGATGGTTCGGATGATGTTCCCCCTCACAGATTGTTGTTTAGGCAGTTAGTGGAAGAATTGGACGCTGCCGAGGAGCCAATACAGCGCGAGATCACCAGATTGATGTACAACAAACTTCACCCAGGCCAAGCCGGATTAAATGAACCGCGGGTTGGAAAGAGAGACAAGGGCAGGCCGAAGAAGAGGGGCATCTCTAAAAAAAAGCAAGACAAACCAAATGTGTGGGCATACAGAGACGGCAATCAGGGTGGCACCAATATCAGTGGTTCCAGTAAAGCGGGTACGAGCCAAGGTACCTCTGGTAAAGGTGGGACGAACACCCACAGTTCCAGTAGAGGCCATACATCGGGAGCTGAAGATCAGAGCAGAGGTCCGATATTACTTTCTCTTTTTAAATGGGCGAAATATTATTTTACTTGGTTTACTGGAAGCACTTTTGTTACTGACCCATGCGAGAGCAGGTTCATGGACTAGGCAAGGTGAGACGAACACCAGCAGTTCCAGTAGAGGCCACAGGTCGGGTTCCGAACCCATGTCAGAGGTACGTTTATAATTTATATTGTTCTTAAATACTGATATATAATTCAGAAATAATGATATTATTTTACGTGGTTAAAGATGTGATGCAGACAGACTTTTTCCAGTTTAGGCACAATAATAAGATTCCGCATGTACTCCACAATCATGTTCAGTCATATCTTGATGTCGAGGCTGACGGCAATTGTGGTTTCTGCGTCTTTGCGAGTTGCATGTTGGGAGGGCAGAATAATCATGTTTTGTGCAGACAGATATGTTATGATGAGGTTATAAATAACCCTGGCATGTACGGGAACCTTTACGGGTATGAAGCCAGTTTAATTTTGGGAAACGGTTTTAATACACTTGCATCAATGTTGTTTTATTTAAAACCTTCATTTACTTGTCTTTGTATGTGGGAAAAATTACCTGCAAGCCTAGAGCGTATACGGTGGACTGGTACCTCCGTAGGTCACTGGATGTCGATAGAGGACTTTTATCCCCTTGCTACATATTTCAATGCTGTTGTGTACTACTTCAGAACCAACGGTGCTGAAAATCTAAACGACACATGTTGGACTGTGCTACCACTGAGCGCACGGGGCGGGGCAATAAGGTCAGAGTTCCAGATGGTTATTTGCCATCTTGAGCCTTACCCGCACTTCATTCGACTCAATCTGCAGGGTGATTTTCCGATTCCTCCCATTCACCCCATTTGGCTGCATGATCGTGATAGTAGTGTTATTGGTTGGGAAGAACCTTTTGAACCCAGACTGCAGCTATGGCGTACTTTGGTACCTCGGATAAGACCCACACAGAAATTTTGTGATCTCGGGTGATATGTTGTGTATATATATATATATATTTATGAAATTGGTGAAATTTTAACGTAAATTAAAATTTAAATTGCAAATCAACATAAGTACATATTGTTCACAAGAACAGAATCGGTACATAATTTTTAAAGAAAAAAACACTGAGTAGAATGTTATGGGGCCTGACTGTGCCGGAAGATGACATCATCCAGGCGAGTATCCCACTCCTCGCCAAGACCCAGATCGAGTAGAATTTTATTAGGGTTTATTTATTACTACTAATTACTAGTAGAATATAAAAGAACTGTTTGATAGGAATACCAAAAAATAATAATAGTATAATATGGAAATAATCGCGCCTATATTATCTGCTGGACAAAAATTTCGTCTTGTCAAATCAAAGTCATTCCTCTTTAATGACTCTAAACAGACTATTCTCCTTTTTTAAATTTTTTTGGTTTACAAACAGCCTATTCTTCTGATTCTCCGCGTATCTGCTTTCCTGAAAACAGCCTCGTCTCTCTGATTGTTTGCACTTTAACTTCATCTCTGACTTTCTTTTCTCACGTCATTGAGTTGTAGTACTATGGGCGGATCATCGGTCGCCGGAAAACCTGAACCATCGAGCCCGGAAAGCAAATCCCAGCCACATTTCTTCAAAGTTATTGTGCACCCTCTTGATCAAGGCTTGGTAAAAATCGCACAAACTGTTTTTTTTTTTTTTTTTGTTTCAATAATTTATTGTTTCAACTTTGATTGTACATTTTGGGTTCCTTTCATCCCTTCATCTTCTCATTAATTTCATGTATTTCATCAATCTGGGAACAGGGTCTACCCGATTCGTTTTTGCAGAGGTATGGTCATACCCTGCAGAAGCTCGCTACTTTGAAGCTCCCAAATGGAACTCAATGGGAAGTAGAGCTTTGTTATGACAATGGTGGGATTCTGATACGAAACGGATTAAAAGAATTTGGAGAATTTTACTCCATAGAGAAAAATCATTTCTTGGTTTTCAGGTATGAGGGCAAATCTCAGTTTCACGTTATCATTTTCGACTCATCCGCTTTGGAGATCAATTACCCGGTGAGAAGCATCCACCATTATGATGGCGACGGAGAAATTGATGCTCCGGCCAGGAGGCAAGTTAACTGCAGAAACGGTAGTACTTCGGGGGAAATTGCCGAAAATATGATCAAGGGGAAGTGGATTGAAGTTGGTGATTCTGCTGTTCAAATGCTGGAAGGAGATTGTGATGAACAGATTGACAAAAATGAAAATCCAGATCTGGGTTTGTCATCGGGTTTGATTAATCGTCGCCGTCGGTTAAGACAGAGAATCTCCGGTGAAGGAACGTCAAAATTTCCTCTTCAATCTTCAAGGTCCTACTCAAAGGCTGTGACGAAAGCAGCTAAAATTGCGGTTAATCGAAAAGCAACTAATCCGAACTATCCATCCTTTTCTTTATCGGTGGTTCCATCTCAAATTGTTCATCCTCACGTTGTTGTAAGCTCTTTGACTGATGGATTTTATCCTCTTTCACTATCCAAATGATGCTCTGTTTTATCTAATGTTATGAATTTAACTCTCTGTTTCGTTTTCTTTCCTTTTATTGGCAGTGTGTGCCAATTAACTTTGCGAAAGAGAACTTTGGTGGAGACTGTAAAAGAAAGTATAAGATTCGTCTACCAAATAGTGGAAAAACGTGGCCAGTGCGGCTTTCTGTGAAAGGAAGGCGTGCTCATATCCACGGAACTGGCTGGAGGAGCTTCGCAATGGAGAATCGGCTCAAGGTTGGGGAGTTCTGTACCTTCGAATTGGTGAAGAAACGAAGATTCTTCAACTTCGAACGAAGGGATTAAAAAATTGTGGGCGAATAGTGAGTCCTTTTGATTGTCCCCTGCTATGTGTAAAAGTCCAATGATCGGCCGTTTGCATGATTCCAGTTTAGAATGCAGTTGGGGTTTCTAGTTAGGACTAAATATGGTCTTTTTTGGCAAAATCTGACGTAGCTATTGTTGTAATTTGGTCAGATTTTGAATATGAAGTAACATGGGAAATGCAGTAAGTTACTATGGTGTGTTTCAGAGAGAAAATGCTTTAGCCTTGCCTCATTTTCAAAATCTGTGTTGGTGAAGGAAGTAGCATCTCTGTTGTTGGTAGATAAACTCGGACTTCCGGAGTTGTTGCAGACCCAAAAAGAAAATGTTGTCTCATTTCTTCGTGCTGATTGCTTGTTCTCTTTCAGTTTGTTTCAGTAATTCAGTTGACTTCTTCACACAGAATATACGAGATAATATTTGCCCTTGATGTCTGGAAGCATGTTCATTTTGAACATGAGAATAACGTCACCAAAGAATGATTCGCAAACAAAATTCCCAACACAATATGTTGGGAAATATATAACCCAAAAGTTATGATCTGGAAATGTGCATTACATGTACATCTGTCTTGTGAACTATGTATAATCTCACCCCCCTCAGTTACATATAGTAGTAGTTCATTGGCTCTTAAATATGGACTTCACTCTGTGGATTTGTTCCACTTTGCCTTGTACTGAATCCATCTAAAGATGCAACGCAGTTCACTTCTTGATCCGCTTTCTAGAGCTCCATGAACCAATCTCCTGAATAACTAACTGGAACTAGGCCATCATTAACATCAAATTTCTCATTCACACGGCTCATTATGGTGACAACTGACAACACTCTGAATATTTACTTTCAGACTGCAATCACATGGCACCTCCAAGATCACATAATTTTTGTAATAAATTTTACAGTTGTGTTCAAATTTAATCCTTTTCCTTTGACATGAATATGAACAATATTCTTAGCAAGACTCAAGCTTGGAACTTCCCACAACTGTGGTGAGATACTACTAAATCAGTAGAGAAGTACGATACTAACTCATTAAAAGTTGTTATTTTAAATACTTAACCTTGTTAAGATTTTAGAATTAATCTTCATTTTAGTTCTCCAAAAATTCAATTGTAACTCTTTTTTAGATATGATAGTAACAAGTCATATTAAAGCCACATGGTGTTTTCACTATTCAGCGCAACTTATTTGATGGCTTTAAGGAATAAAGTCCAGAGTCTATAGAGAAATCAAATCAGCAACGGAGTAAATTCGCTGTCCTTTGTTACTGAACCAGTACCACCCCCATGCATTGATTAAAGCTACCGTCATTTTTCCTCCTTCCTCCTACACACACCACACCAAGAACACGCACTCACTCCTCTCCTCCTACAAACACTCTCAGTATCATCTGATCATCTCCGTCTCTTCTCAAACAAGACTGAACCCGCACTGTTGCCTACGATTCTTCCTCCGTCTTTCATCAATTCAGCTCTCCCCTGTTTCTCAGGTACTTATTGGAATCTTGGAACTTCAATTTTTCTTCATTTTTGTTGGAAGGAGCTGGAAAGTTGAAAAGCTGAAATCATAGTTTAAATTTATCAGATTTACTTCTGTATCTGACATTTTAACTTGGATTTTTATACTTGTTTGTTACTAGCAACATGGCTACTACTAGGAAGAGAAATATGGCTACAAAATCTGCTAGGAAACTTAAGCTGGGTTCGCCACGCTTTTTCAAACCTGTTGTTAGGCCTCTGGTTCAAGGCCTGGTAAGATAGTTCCATCCCATCTTTGTTAACATCATTTCAAAGTTACATGGCATACAAATGGAAGTCCTGTTGATTGTCAATTTCTTTTTTTTCCCTGTTTTCAGAAAATCCCGGTTGTGTTTATGCAGAGGTACGGAGATAGCTTGCACAAAGATGTAGTCTTGAAAGTTCCAAACGGAGCTAAATGGCGAGTAGCACTCCGTAAGATTGATGGTGAGACATGGTTAGGGGAAGGTTTGAAACAATTTGGAGAGTTCTATTCCATAAAGGCAGGACATGTTATTGCTTTCCGGTACAAAGGCAACTCCCGATTCAATGTCCTAATCTTTGACGACACCACTTCAGAAATTGTTTACACTAGCTATGAGGAAGACATGAATGGCTTGCCAGTGAGACCGAGAGTTGACAGTGAGTACTCTTTTATCTTCTCATGAATTGGAGTTTCTTTCGTTTTGTAATCTCAACTTGTTAAGCTTGCTGTGACGGAACTACTCTGCTTGTTGTTCAGGTAACACTAGTGAAATCTTTAAAGATGTCAGGATTAAAAGGGAAGATGATGACAATTTTGATCATTATGAAAATCCAAATCAGGGATTTTCATCTGGACTAGTGACTGGTCGCCGATTGAGACAGAGGATCGCCAGTGAGTACTCTTTACTTCCTCCATAATCAAACCATGGATTCTGTTTTTTGAGAATTAATTAGCTGCTGTTTTCGATAGGCGCCGGGTGCCGCGAGGGAACAACAGAAGCTCCTCATCAATCTTCCATGGAGGAAGAACAGATGGCAGAGGATGAAAGTGCTCCTAAATTTGAATATCCATCATTTTCATTTGAAGTTCGACGGTTTCATCTTACTCACCTCATTGTAAGCTGCCACAAAATGATTCTTCTTTCTTATCCAGATGATGCTCTAATTCACATTAATAGTACCATTTAACAACTAATATCTCTGATTTGGCAGAATGTCCCAATTAGTTTTGCAAGAAACAACTTTGGTAGAGAATTTAAAAAGAGATATAAGCTTCGTGTACCTGAGAGTACTGGAAACAAAACATGGAAAGCGCTAATCTCTCTGACTGGAAGGCGTGCAACGATATACGGCGGTGGTTGGATTCGATTCGCCAAGGAAAATCGACTCAGGCTTGGAGAGATATGCATCTTGGAATTGGTCAAGAGAAAGAAGCTCTTCAATGTGTACCGAAGATAGAAATGCTATGTGAAATGAAAAAAATTCCTCGGCTTTCTCTTGGTTATGTTTATTAGGTGTAGAAGTTAGAACCCTGATTTGGTTGACTAATCCTTTGTTATGCTTCGTTCTTAGGATCCAAATATAGTTTCTACTTGTTAGTTACTAGATCTTTCAAGTTTCAATATGGCCTACGAAATGCTATCTAGCTTTGTGTTGTAATAAAAATGACACAAAATGGCTCGTCTTTGGAAACAATTTGTGTAAATCAGGGGAGATGAACTGCTTAGAACTGGTTTCTGATGTTGTTGTATCATGTCAGTTTGTCATCATGAGTGATATGGGAAATCAAAATGAAAAATAAAATCGTAGAGTCGGGTAATCAATTTACTGAGAACCGAAGTTGATTAGCAGATATTTACTGAACCCTAAACCCTAAACTCTAAACACCATTGAGATTTGGAACACCGAACGTGATTTATTTTTGCAATCTTTATGTGTATATAGATAACTCAGAAACCTTACCTTTTTATTTTTATTTTTTTGACAATACAGAAACCCCACATGAACATGAATCTTTAAGGATGATGGTTTCACTGAAATCCTGGAAGACAGAGTCAAAATAGCCAACAAGGTGAAGAAATCTGAAAAGGCAAAATTGGTGACTGGCCGGCGATTAAGACAAAGATTCACCGGTGAGTACTCTTTCTTTTAATTGATCTCATCAGATTCAAAGTTGGTTTGTTTTTTACTAATGAAGTGATGTCTGAAAATGGAGCTGTTTTGTTCTGTAGATGGGAGCTCTGAAGGAACAACATCAAAATCCCATGATCCATCTTCTTCCATCCCAGCTTCAAATCTGGTGAAGAAGGAAAATATTTCAGAGGATCAAAGTGCTTTAAAATCTAAAACTACAACTAAAAAATCCAGCATTTTCCTTCGGGGTTCTACGTTCTCACCTGTTTCATCCAAACCGCGTTGTAAGGCTTTCTTTTCATATCCAAAATAATGCTCTGTGAACGTTATGTTCTTTTTGGTGTTCTGTGTAAGGTTATTGATTCAACTTATGGGATTTATCCCTGGTTTTTGCAGTATGTTCCGATTGATTTTACAAGGAACAACATTGGTAAGCAAGACTGTAGGATGAGTGTTAAGCTTCGGGTAGCTGCTGAGAGCGGAGACAAGACATGGTCAATGCGTTTCTCTATACATGGAATGCGTTCACAGATATATATGGTAATGGATGGATCCGTTTTGCTAAGGAAAATGGACTGAAGCTGGGAGATATCTGTACCTTTGAATGGGTGAAGACGGACAACAATCTCTTCAATGTCTCCATCAGTGGTTGATGAAAAAACTAAGAAAAAGCAGTGCAAATGAGAAATTCCTCTCTTGATTTTAGATTAGAACCTGATGTGGTGGCTTAAGTTATCAGTTATTTTTACCGTTTGCTCTGATTAGGATGATCAGAATGTGGTTAATTGATACTCCCTCCTCTCCTTAATATTAGGGATTTTGATTGATCCTAAATTTAACCTAGTACGTATTTTTAATTGATAAAAAAAATTAAAAATATTTCCTAATAAGTAAGAGAATATAACTAATGTGAAAATATATTTTTAATATTTTTTGGTCAATTAAAAATGTGTACATAGTGAAACCTAAGACAAATCAAAATACATTATATTGAGAACCGAAGGAGTAGATCTCAATTATGTTGTCCTAATGTAAGGTAACATCGACTTATTATATTTGGTATTGTTGGTAGTTTGCATCAACTATTAACCAAGAAAATCAACCCTTTAGAAAGGCTTTTCGAGGAGAATTTTATTGTATGATATACACACCCAAGTAGTCATTTTTTGGAAGATAAAACTTACCAAACAATAAGAACATTTAACAACTCCTTCAAATATCCATATCGGGTCGCGCTAATCGGTTGCATTCATCTTTATAGAATGATCATTAAGGCAGTATTCCTCCATTTCAAAATATAATTCTTTTTAACTTCTACACGTAAACTAAGGAGACAATCATTTAATAATGAATTTGTGTGTTGGATGTTTATTTTGTCCTTCATTAATTATTTTGGAACTATAACCAAAACTAGATAAAAAGTTGTTAGCATTATTTATTGGAGGCAAAGTTGTAAAGTTGTTTTTAATTTGCCTTGAAATCTTAAAAACGATCTATATTTTGAAATATTTTTCCAAATCTAAAACGTCTTACATTTTGAAATGGAGGAAGTAGGATTCAAATTCCTAACCTTTCACTTGGTAGTTTGTTGCTCTTACAACTAAATTAATGAATTTACAAGAGAAATATGCTGTGACTCTAATAGCTATAATTCTTTCCTGTCATAAACCCTTCTACTGACTTTAAAATCGAACACTAATTTTCATGTGTTTTCTTTTCAGTAGATTTGGAAAATGAATTCATTGTAATTAATTATTTGATCCATTCCCACAACTTTTTTCGTTATCACTTTTTGGGCAAATTATGAAAGGTTTTTACTGCAGAAAGTTGATTTACTGTTATCATTTTATCATTAGTTCACTCTTGGGAAATTTCAGAAGCAGTGATGTATAATAACTGAGCTGAGCTACGCATTACTTGCATGGAAATGGTTATCTTGTAATTCAGCTTTCGCTACATGCCATTAGTTTCTACCTCTTTCCATTTCTTTTCTCTGATTCTGATCTCTTATGGTACACACACCACACCACGAAACACGCACTCATTCGGTAAATGTTGTGTAAATGCGTAATGTGAATAGTTTCCAGATGTATGTTAGAAACCAGTACCCAATTTTTTTTATATATATATTACTACAATTAACTACTTGGTCAAAAAAAAAAAATAATAAAGAAGAAAGAAATCAGTTGAACCTCTGATAATTTACATAATGAATATATATGTTCATCTCTTTTACCCTCCGTCCTAATTAATTGTCCAATTTGATATTTCATTTTTAACAGAAATTATACTAGAAAAAAATAATAAAATAAAATTCGATAATCATTTTGGGACTAAGAAATAATATTTTGGGATGACTTTGCTACGTAGCACATCAACTATCTAAAGGCGAATGAAGTGAGCGGAACACCTTTTAACAAAATTTCAGTAATGTAATTCTTTTTGTGATTGCAAATCTGTATGAGATTATGAGTTTACTTTATCACCATAAATGAAAACTCCAACCAACCAGACAAACATTATTAATCAATCAAAATATTCATTTGACAGACCACCGTACGGACTGCAGAAGCTGCCATCTCCAGAGCTCCAAAGCTTAATAACAAACATATGCCTCGTCAAAGATCAGGAACTGAACCCTATCCTTAATCTTGTGACAATAACTTGAATGAGATCATAGTTGTGCTTTCATTTTCACACCATTAATTTTTCCCACCGGCAACCCACCATTTCTCTGCTTTCTTGAGTTCTTCTCTTACACACACCACACCAAGAACACACACTCACTACAGAAACTCACCTCCATTTTCTTCCAAACGACCACACAAAGAAACCATTTTTTTTTGTTCAACTTGAACATCGTTGCATACACTTCTTTGTTACTAGCAAGATGGCTACTCGGAAGAGAATTTTGGCTACATCATTTCCTAAAAAACTCCAATTAGCGCACTCGAGGAAGCTGGCATCGCCGCATTTTTTCAAAGCTGTCATTCGGCCACTGGTTGAAGGCATGGTAAGACTGCATTCCTTACATCATTTAGGAGTTCACTGTAAAGTGTGAACATTGAAAATCTTGTTGATTAATTGACATTCTCTCTTTCTCAGAAAATCCCAGTTGTGTTTATGCGAAGGTACGGAGATAGCTTGCAGAAAGTTGTAGTCTTGGAAGTTCCAAACGGAGCTAAATGGCGAGTTGCAGTCCGCAAAGTCGATGGAGAAACCTGGTTAAGGGAAGGCCTACAAGAATTCGGAGAATTCTATTCCATTAAGGAAGGACATGTTTTGGTGTTCAGATACAAAGGCAACTCAAGATTCAAAATCCTTATCTGTGACACTACCACCTCTGAAATTGACTACCCTGTCAAATCCGGCCACAAGGAAGCCATAAATGGCCAGAGTCAGTATTCTTAATGTTTTAATCTCATTGTGAATTAATGTTTTCTTTTCGGGTTGTAATGATTTGGTGATGTAAACTGTTTTTGTAGATATTAGTATCAAAAGGGAAACTGTCAAGCCAAATCATGGTCGCCGATCAAGGCAGGGGAGGGTCACCGGCGGCAGTGAGTACTCTTTATTCTTCTCAATAATAGATTCATTTGGTTTTTGTAACGTTGATAATTTTTAATTAGTTGCTTGTTCTGTAGATGGGAGGGACGAAGGAATTACATCGTCTAAAGCCCCTCATCAATCTTCCAAGGCCACAAGAAATCTGGTGATGAAGAAAAAAGACGTAACAGAGGAAAACAGAGCTCGTGAATCTAACCCTGAAAATCCAAGCTTTTCGTTCACGGTTCAATCTTCTCAACTTAACCGTCCACACCGTGTTGTAAGTTTTTTTTTTTTTTTTAATTTGTTCTGTCTGACGTTGTTAATTAACTTCACATGTGTGGGAATGACTCTGCTTTCTTGTTAAATTTGCAGTATGTTCCAATTGAGTTTGCAAAAACCAACTTTGGGGAAGAAAACTGTAGGATGAGTTTGGAGATTCGGAGTGGAAAGAAGTCGTGGCCAGTTCGGTTTTCGATTTATGGAAGGCGTGCTCAGGTCTATGGTAGTGGTTGGATTCGTTTTGCAGAGGAAAATCAGCTGAAGCTGGGAGATGTCTTTAGCTTGGAATTGATCAAGGAGAAGAAGGTCTTCAATGTCTACAGAAGAGGTTGAACAGGCAATGAAATAATCCAGTTGTTCTCCTATGTTTATCGCTTAATTTAGGACCTTATGGGAAAAATGACTTGTTATATTATTAGCTAAGTTTTGTATAAAGAAGCAGAAATTCAAACTGATGGTTTAATCTGCAAAGTAAAAAAAGTTCCCTAACAGAGAACCAGAGGGTGATTTTCATGATCATTTTATCTGTTGACGTTAGACTAAATCAATTCAGGGAAAAAGTGATCTGGGAAAAAGTTGACAGTGAAATCAATTCAGGGAGCCAGTGATTTCTACAAAACTGAGCGCTGCTGTAACTTGCATGGAAATAGGTTGGCCTGTTGCCTGTGTGTAATTCAGCTTTATCTCAATGGCCTGCTGTAACTTCCATTTCTTTCTCTTTCTCTTTAATAATTAATACCACGCCAGAAACACTAGCCCAATCAACTAAATGGCCATGAAAAAACGAGCATTTGTCCAAAACCCTGTTTACCTTGGAGTTTGCAGCTGACAAAGAACCGAAGGACAAATAGAAGAACCCCTAGTAAACCCAGTGCTAAATAAGATATGAACAAGACTCTAGTCATCAACTTTAAACTTTGCAGTTATACAGTGCTAAATAAGTACTGAGTTAATGATACCATTTTAGACCTTCTATGTTACAGTACCTTCAAAATTCCTATTTTGTGTAAGTATGTATTCATAGTTTATGACTCGGTAATAACTTCTTGCAGATGCCAAAGTAATTTTAGTCATGTAGTCATACTACAAATTCAGCACATTTACTTTTTTTTTTTTTAACTTTTTGGCGTCAGATTCTGCAAGCCAGAAGAAGATCCTCCACAGTGAAAAAAAATCCAGGAACAGATATGAGTATTCATTAGTCCTTCTTCTAGACAGTAACTTTGCATGGGAATGGAAATTGTTTTCCTCCCAGCTTCCTCCGGTTCGTCTTTTTCTTGTTCGAGCACACACACACACACACACAACACACCAAGAAACACACACTATATCTTGTGTCTCACCCAATAGTGGTGTTTTTTTGTATCCCTGAGAAGGTACTGCTTCTTAATTATTAGTAGATAAATGAATCGATCTTTTTGATTGCTTGTTCTGAAGTAACTTCTGTTCCCTCTTTCCCCTTTTAATCTGCCTGATTTTCTTGTTTTTTGTTTTTGGGTCGGATGGAATCAGATTACTGACTTGATTATCATTTATCAAAACAACATCAAGTAGAAGTTTTTGTATATTCTGGCGGTTATTTCTCTTTCTCAGCTGTGCTGTTTCTATGATGATTTTCTCCTCATTTCTCTGGATGTAATTTACAGAACAATTCGCTTCTTGAATGTGTTGCATTAAGGATGAATTATATTCATGTTCATGTTCAACTAATAGAGTGCTTTTTTTTTTCTTTTTTCTTTTTCTTTTTTTTTTTCTGTTGCTCTGCATCTTGAAGGAAACAGTACTAGAGCTTCACAAGTCTTATCATACTACTTCATTCTGGTTTTTAAGTATTCTGACTATTTACCCGGGATTCATGCCTTTGTTACTAGGAATATGGCAACAAAATCAACTAGGAACAGCGAGAAAAACGGACAGCTTCAGTCAAATAAATTGGAGTCGCCCCATTTTTACATTATTGTCTTTAACCCTCTGGATCAAGGGCTGGTAAGTCTCTAGTCTCTACCATTTTTCTTTGTTAACGTTCAAGTAATGGTATATTTTGGAAGGTCTTGCTTGAATGATGATTATGATTTTTCTCTTGTCAGAAACTTCCAAAGGCGTTTATGCAGAGGTATGGAGATAGCCTGAAGAAAGTCGTGACCTTGAAAGCTTCAGCCGGAACTCAGTGGGAAGTTCCAGTTCAACAGAGTAATTCCGGGACTTGGTTATCAGGGAAAGGGTTGAAAGAGTTTGGTGAGTTCTTTTCTATTCAGAAAGAGCATTTTCTGTTGTTCCAATACAAAGGTAACTCCCGATTCCATGTCGTAATCTTCGACAACACCGCTTCGGAAATCGACTATCCTAAGAACAAGCAAAGAGTTGCCAGTGAGTATGCTGTTTAAAGTGATCCTCTTTTTGGTGTTTTTTTAATTTCAATGTATTAAGAATGCTTTGATTCATCAGGCTTTTGCTTATTTTTCAGATGGAAGCCAAAGAGGAACTTCATCAAAAGCCCCTCATTCTCATCAAGATTCCAAGGCTCGCTCAACTAAGTTGAACAAACAAAAAGTGGCCTTCAAATCTCAATATCCATCCTTTGTATGCACGGTGACAAAGTCCACCATATCTAATCCAAACATAGTTGTAAGTTTGTCTCCTCGATTTGTTTCTGTCTTTTCATTCAAAAAACCGTTTCTTTTTGGATTTCAGCTGACTTCTTTATCACTACAAACTCAATGTCTCTGTTTTTGCAGCATCTTCCGATTAGTTTCGTGAGGGAAAACTTCAACAAAAGGAACTTCAGGAAGAAATTTAAGGTTCGTCTACCTGAGACTGGAAAGACATGGCCAGTGTTGCTTGATGTCGCTGGAACTGGAGGAAGGTTTTCCAAGATATTTGGTCTCCCTGGTTTCAGACGATTCGTCAGGGAGAATAAGTTAGAGCTGGGAGAGAAATGCGCCTTTGAAATGGTGAAGGAGGAAAGGATCTTCAATTTCTACAAATTGGGTTGAAAAAGCCAATGCAAGAATCCTCCTTTTTTTTTTTTTTGTTTATCAGTTTATGGAACTCAGATGTAGTGACTAAATATCATTTACCTATGTTATCAGATAACTGGGTCCGTAATGTCTCTATATTTTGTCATTTGGTTGTACCCATATCCTCCAAAAAAAAAATGAATAGAAATAATTCCAGCTCCTTTGATGAAGGAGCAGCTTGTATCCATTGGATGTACATTCCACCAATGATGACATATTGCCATTATTAAAGATCCTCAGGAATTAAGGATATGCAAAGCTCTATATTGCTTGGGATATTAGGCCATCATTTCAGCCTTTAAACTTTCTGCAAGCAATGAAAAGTCATATCAGGAACAGTAGTATCAAGCATGAGAAGATCATTTGAGCTTTTGCGTTGTTTTAATTTCACAGCATTACTTCCCTCCATCCACCTCCACTCCTCTCTTCTTCTACACACTACACACATGACACACCACACCAAGAACACCCACTCACTCCCTGGTACACACCAAAAAAACAAAAATGAAAACTAACAAAATGGCTACCAGGAAGAGCAAAATGGCGGCAAAACCCACTAGGAAAATCAAACATGCAAACTCCAATAAGCTGGACTCCCCACATTTTTACATAATCGTCAGTCAGCCTCTCGAAGAAGGGATAGTAAGTCTCTATCCTTGCTTTAGTTTGTTAACATCATGAAATATAGGGAAGTCTTGATTGAATGATTAATGTTTTTGTTCTCTTTGTCAGAAAATTCCCAAATCGTTTATGCAGAGGTACGGAGATAGCTTGCAGAAATTTGCATCCTTGAAAGCTCCAACCGGATCTAAATGGATAGTTTCACTTTGCAACATGGATGGGGGGACTTGGTTGTCAGGGAAAGGGTTGAAAGAATTTGGAGAATCTTTTTCTATACAGAAACAAGATTTACTGTTGTTCCAATACAAAGGTAACTCTAGATTCAACGTCTTCATCTTTGACAACTCCGCTTCGGAAATTGATTACCCTGTTAACGATCAGAGGGTAGACAAGGGTGAGTGCTAGCTATTATCTTAATCGTGAATTAATTAGTTTTTTCTGTCTTTAATGTCAACCCTGTAAAGAATGCTTGATTCATAATAAGGATTTTTTGCATGTTATTTTAGATGGAAGCTATGCAAAAGCCCCTCCTCCTCTGTTGAAGAAAGGAAAGATTCCGAATGATGAAAGAGCCTTTGAATCTGCATTTCCATCCTTTCTTATCACATTGAAAAAGACTAGCATAAGTCATCCGTACGTAGTTGTAAGTTTGCTGTTCAACAATCGATTCTTTGTTTTTCGTTCGAATGATTTTTCTCTTTAGTATTTTCTCTGGGTTTTGCAGCATCTCCCGGTTTCCTTTGTGAGGGACAACTTCGTTGCTGGAGACTCCCGGAAGAAATTTAAAGTTTGTGTACCTGAGACGGGAAAGAAATGGCCTGTGATTCTCGATATCACTGGAATTGGTGGAAGGTTCTCCAAGATATATGGTCAGCCTGGTTGGAGAGATTTTGTGAATGACAATGGACTGAAGCTGGGAGAGACTTGTGTCTTTGAAATGGTGAAGAAGAAAAAGATCTTCAACTTCTACAGAATACGTTGAAAAAAGATTCCTCTGTTTTCTCCTCTGCTATGTTTTGATCAGTCTAGAAGTTGATCAAGTGACTAGTCTCATCTTTTGACAGGTTATGTTTTACGCAGACATGAATGCAGTAACTCGATCTCAATGTTGTTTTGTTGAATTGAAATGTTAGTTGGTGGATGAATTCTGTTTTGCTTCCAAATGGTAGAATGAGAATTTGACTGTGTTTTGGTTGAGAAGTACTCAGTAGCAATCAGGTAAGTGAACTAAAAAATGACACGGTTTTCTTAACAATGACAATGCAAGAAGGAAATCATCATTTTCATATGTAGATAAGTATGTAGCAAAATTCTCTTTACAGTTTGAAACAATTTCAGCCATCGCTGGCATTGGGTGCAATACACAATAAAATGAATGCGTAGTAACCATGCTTCCTTTAATGATCACCAACATATCACATAAGATCTTACTTCTCCCATTCTTCAATGGCCTAAGGTTATGACGAAAATGCAATTCTGTAACCTGATGAATTTTTCTTCTGGACATAGATGATTGATCGGCTTTAAAATGTGGACTTTACCCAACCATTTTGATCAATTTTGCTATCGAGAACCCATCTCAGCCCCAATACGGGCAAGGCGCTGGGCACATTGTCAGCTAGCTACAAAACTATATCTAACTTGTTCTTGTGCAGTCAGTAGGATGTGTTTACAGGCCCAACCCAAAGCACACATTTCATCCACTAGCAGTTTCACATTCACTTGTGCTAATTGCTTGCTATCCTCGATTAATTTAAACCATTCTTGAAGAGCTGGATAAGGGCAGCCTAAAGGTTCACTATTCTCACACTGGATCCCATTCATTAGAAGATCTCTACGGATATAACATGCCTAAATACACAGGAAGAACTGAGCTATTATATTGATCACATTAGCTTAAAGAAACCATTTTCATCACCCAAAAGAAGATGATCAACAAGAAAAGGGAAGAGAAATTCTTTTCACCTGCAATAGACCCATCATTACATCTAAAGCAGATGCTCCTTCTCGTACACAGAGAACGATCCCATGCATGGGTTTCTCCTTCAAAGATAACAAATAAAAAAGAGCATAATTAGAGCAGAGCTCAAGCCATTGAACTGAAAAAACATTTATATCAATTCAACAACCCATGCATACTTGACCGATTCTTGTCATTCCATTGTTGAAATTCTCCATGCAGAGGAAGTAGAAGTCCTCATTGGTTAAAGCTTGCATTGTCAAGCTGGCTAACTCTGGCAGTTGACCTCTTAGATTTAAGCAACCAATTCTAATAGGCCAAAGTTCCCTGCCTAACCCAAAAGCAAGCTCAGAATGATGTGTACAAGATAGATTTATAAATCTAAGACACCGGAACTCTTGAATAGGAAAGTGTTGGTTGGACTCACCTTTAGTCCAGAAGAAGTCGATGCCTTCGTCTTTACTTACTTCAGCGGGTGATGGTACATATCCTTGCTGAAACCAGGCATTTATTATGATCTCAAGCCTATCCTGTACAATGAAATTCAAAAGGTAAGATGCCAATACCAAACCAAGGTAATATGAAAGCGAACCTTCTCACCTAATTCAGAAGTCAATTGTAAAAATGGACAGTTTCCTGAATAACCAAACAGGATTGACTAAAGAATAAACTGAAATGGCCATTTCCTAAGTGTTGTCACAAACTTGGAGACATCCATACCCTCAAAATCGGTAGACATCAAGAAGGCTTACAATAATGCTAACGAACAAATGCATACAAATCAACAACTCTGATATTCTGGCTGAACAATCATATGTTAACCTTGGTTAGTGTTTGGAGATGGACATGTTTCAGCCCTTGATAAATCCCGAAAAGATCAATCGCCGAGAATATTGGGTACACCACAAATGGAAGAGCTGCCTGCAACCTGTCCCACAATTTAGATTGGGGTACAAGAAAAGCAAGTCCATTATCAGAATAATACAGACAAATTCTCTAAATATTATCCATCTCTGATATTGACAATAAAAGATTAGTATCAACACCTTTGGTTATTTCTCAGTGCAATATTCAACAGTGCAGCTAGCAAAAGGCCAAGGTTATCAAAGCAAACTGTTTGAATCTGAAATTTAAGAAAATCCAGATATTACTATGGGAACAAGCACCAATGATAATAAGCTACAACTAGCTTAAACCTGCAATTGACCTGTGACTTTGCCGACACTTCACCAAGGTTATCAGCAATGGCAAAGCTTCTGTGCACAGTTGTCTGGCAATAATTCCAAACAACAACTATCATTCGGAGAAATATATAATTATTTGTTACAGAAACTGCCAAAGAACAGAAAAAGGTTATCTAAAACTTCAAATATTTTAGATGCTCAAAGTGCCCTGGTGGAAGAGTTATCAAATGTTAAGTGGTATACTAAGAATGCCCAAAACTTCACATAATCAGATATAATTAAAGCCAAACTTCTTTTAGTTTTTCAAAGGCTCAGCCGTTCAGAGTGTGGAAAATAGCAAATATTAGTATGCTGGTAATCTTCCTTCATTTGCATTGTTTAAGATAGTCCCCATACCAACTTCAACCCATTACTAGGGAACAACACCATTTTGACAAAGATTAGATAGTTCTAAAAGGATGCAAGGAAAGAATTTTAATAACTACAGATTAAGAGTAACAGTTAAAATCGGGAGCTTACACCAGTTGCCAAGTAGCAGGCCAGACTTATTTGCTTAGCAATGTTGGCAACAGTAGCAAGCAGCAAGAAGTAATTGGGAAATACAGGCGTCAGCAACTCAACTCCAATGCTCAAACTAAAAAGGACAGATGTTGAAAACCTGACTCTCTTCATTTTGGAAGAGAAATTGAGAAAAATAAGCTAACATCAGAATTTCATTCCATTTATATATTACGCAGTCATTTAGCAGTTAATTTTACACACAAATCTATGCTGACCAATGCTATAAAGAAATAATTAACACCGACAACTTCTCATCCCCTCATTCAACACTCCGTAAATCAAAATGTCAGGCTTATATTGCAAATAAAATTTGGTACCTTCAGATTTGTGTCAAAGGCAGATGCTAGGCTAGCAGTGTAAATGCACCTACTCAACCGTCCAAGACCATCCTTCAATACCCAATTCAAGGCTGCAGCTGATGGAAGAGAACGTTTGTAACCTATTCCAATAGCCCGGAACATTGCCTACAGAAATATGCTAAGATTAAACCAGAATTGAAGTGCTTTCTATTGAAAACTTATATAGCTAGATTGTTTAAAAAGCATCAAAATCCAAAAAAGGGATGTCATGAAAACCAACTCAACACCAATTATTTAATAGATACACTCTAAACAATCACCTGAGTAGCAAGGACTTGAAGGGCAGAGCTGAAAACTCGGTGCAAGAACTTCCATTTCACATACTGCTTATAATTCTCACTAACTTCTCTAGGTAAAAAGAAATCCCTCAAAGCAGAGCCGCATATCCGAACCAACTTCCTTGCCGCATCCTCAAAATCAACAACAAAGTCCCATAAAGAAAAAGACTTCCCATCAAGAGACACCAATTTCAAGCTCCTCCCATCCCACGAGTACCTCAAAACTGTTCCCGACTCGCGAATAACAATTGGGAGGTGATAAGAGTTCCCTGGTTGACCTTTATCTGGTTCTTCAAATTTGAGGTTCTGATTTTCTCCCTCAAAGTCGAAGTCTTTTTGAAAGTTGAACGAGGTTCTGACAGAGTTTGACACTGACAAAGGTTTAAGAAGGGTTTTTGGACAAACGAGTTTTGCGGGTTTGGGTGAAGGAAATTTGTAAGGGCTTGAAGCCCACAACAGGTGGAAGTTTGCAGAATTACTAGAAACTGAATACAACAAGCTGGATTGCATGAGAAAGTCTCTGAAATTTCTTAATTTGAGTAAGCTAAAATATGAACAACTAAATTGAAAGTACACAGGTACAGCACTTGAAATGGTTATGAAGGTTTTGACTCCACTTGTATTATAGGGTACGATAACAGTTATATCCAGGAGGTCTTTTGCTCACCCAACAAGCTGTGAGCTAAACTTAACAAGACTGTTCCAACTTCCAAAGGTTTTTGAAGCGAGAACAAGAGAAAAAAGATACTACTACTTCTTCGGAATCAAAATATGATATACTACTTCAGTTGGTTCTTAAGATTTTAATTATTAGAAAAGATTTTAAATTTAATGTAATTGATTAGGGGTCTGTTAATGTAAAATGTGTAATAATATAAGCTAATTTTGTATCACTCCTTCATTATGTTGCGTGAAAGGTAAAATTACAATTCTTCATAATATAACATTTACTCTGTCCAGGTTGAATTTTTATTTAATACGATTTGTACCAAAACAAAATCTCAAACTAGATAATGCCTTCGGGAAGAAAGTAATATAGTAATATTGTATTTGAGATTGAAATGGAGAGGGTAACTCTTATTTTTGGATGGAAGGGATATTTAACTATTTAAGTAACTTTGAATACGTTTAAAGACCTGTTATGATTAATTGAATTGGCCGCAAAATGGATTAGAATTTTGTCTTGTTGATGGTGATCGTTTCCTTTGTTTGCCAGACGACTGCAAATGCAGTTCTTCCTTTTTGCCGTACTTGACTATATCATGGCATTGCTTCTAAAAGGGTAAGCCACATCTTAACAAAACAGGACAAAATTCAGTTCTATTAGGCCTTCTTCACCAATGTAAGAGTCATTTAACATGAACGAGAGGAAAATTTTCTTCATGAATATTAACATAAATACACAATCATTTCTAGATTCAGGCCGATTTTGTAATCAATTTTGCAGACTGTTTACATACACAAACTATAAACAAAGAGAACTAAGCTCAGCAACTTCCATTTTGTATCATCGAGTAACACTATAACACACTAGTCAATGTCTCGGAACAAATTAGACTACACAAAGGATGTCAAAGCATGACTACAAGATCGATGACACCATCCAAAAGAAAACGGATCCCATCACACGTGCTGGCCATCGGAACCTTAATTCTCTTGTCGTTGTCATGCCATTTATGTACAATGGTGACGTATAATGATGAATCTCTGCAGCAAAATACTACCTACATAACCTGTCCTCGTTTCAGGGAGAGAAAGAACTTGCCTCGGTGCTATAAACTGAATACTCGCTTGCGCTAAAATGGGGTCTTTCTTCATCCCACTTGACAATCTCCCTTGCGTACCTGAGAGCTTGATCTACTCCATTTGGCTCCAAACCATTCAACACCGAAACATACAACTTCCGTCCAGTGAGTGAAGAAAACAATCTCTTAAATTTGACAGCAACAAAATGGGAAGCCAGCTGTCCCAGAGAGGGTGCATTGGCATGGTGCTGACTCATTACTGGTTGAAATTCGTCAAACCATTCGCATGCGGTCAGAGAAACACTTCTTAACTTTTGCTCAAACATATCAAACTTATTAAGCAGTAGAAGAAAGTCCATCTGCTCAAAAGTTGGATGAGTAACAATGCTCTCAAAGAACTTCTTGCTCATTGTCATCTTATTTACTAAGTTGCCATCTTCATCAACAAGAAATTGGTCATAATCACTCAAGGCAACAGCAAAAATCACAATTCGAACATCATCCAACATCTCAAACCACTTGCAGCTTTCCCCAAATCCTCTTGACTGTACTCTGATGAGCTGAAAACTACAAAACAAGAAAAGGGATCCGTATTATCCCCAGAGATCTTTCATACCAAGTTTTACATTATCCCAACGAATAAATTAGGGACCACCTTGGTCCTCTAATATGAAAATCTCAAATCCTAAACGATTTCAGTAGCATGACACACCATCCAACTTAGAAAATGACAGTGTGAGCCATTGAATTGGCCATGATTCAGTTACATGATACAGGAAAAACATTAGTTCATCTAACTGCTTAAATTGGTGAAATTCCAAAAACATTTCAGTGTAAAAAGGTATCAGTTGCTACAGAGCATTTTATCATAAGCATTAAAAATGTACAGATGGAACCCATATATGGGAATGAAATCAGCTAGATACAAATCAAATGGAAGGTTGGAATCAATCACAGGCAATTCGCAAGTTTTAAAGCATCTAACGGTTGCTAACCTTAGTAGAGAATCAAGCTGATCACCACTCTCAGGATCTGCCTCATATGCCGGTTCTGGAAATAAGAAGTCTACACAAGCCAGTCCATTGGCTGACGTAACACCCTCAGCATAGAGGATATCTACATCAGTAGGTTCATAATCCAATCGCAGTATATCAACCATCTGTAACAAAGCACCAAACCAATCAATGCCACAGACCTGGAAAACAAATTTATACCTGATTCCTGTCCTTTAAGTATAACTTCTAAAAGAATAGAAAGGCAGACAGCTTTTAGTTACCATCAAAATAAGCCAACTATACTTAAAGGTGATAATTTATTAATTGCTAGAGATAAAAGCTTAAATTTGGACAATATGTTATATCTATCTACAGCTAACTAAGTGTACAAGTTGGAGGCAAAATCTTACCCGGTCCAAGAAATAACTGGCAACACTAGGTAGCATTTCCAATTCACTTCTTCGTTTATAGGTAGCCTGGATAGCTGCAGTACTCCACATTTCCTCGACCAGAGGAGCATATTCTCGAACAGACGCGGGAAAAATGGCGTCCAAATTACCTGACACCATAACCTTGAGAAGCCAATCAGAGAAATCTTTTAGCCTTGGACCAATTGAGTAGATAGTCTGTTTCTCTGAATCATCAGAATGCCCTGTCATTGGACAAAAAAATTTCAACTCAAGATGCTAGTCATGCAGAAATTGGTGAAGATCAACCAACCGAAGTACTTTCCATGTAATGTGTCAAACAATGTTAGAGGTTATGAGGTTGATTATACCTTCTCGAACTAAGAACTGAAAATAAATTAATTCAAACCTAAGCTTACTGAAGTATGATTTAGTAAGTGGTACAAATTTCCATAGAAAATTTGAAAATAGGTGCAGAGATCTGAAATCATATTATAGGATCAACTTCGTGACATAATTGCTTTTGTTGTTTAAATGAAAGGCGATGCGCACCAGGGACAAGGGATTAGGCACCCGTCCTTAGACATGATTGAGATTTGAGAGTAAGAAGTTGATGACCGATCATGGAGACACATTCAAGTGAAAGGAGAAGAACAAATTAAAAAAATGTTCCATACCTTCCAGCTCATCATCATTTAGAAGATGCTTTGCCCTTAAATCAGTCAAATACTCCTCTTCAAAACGCTCTCGCCCTTCGAGAAGTATTCCAAGATATCTAAACACATTGCTCTGGATCAGTAACTTTATATTTTCACGCTCCTCCTCTGAGAAAGGGACTTCTTTGTAAAGAATTTTAGCCTGATACATCAATCACCAGATATTTTAGGTATAATCACAAGAGATTAGAAGCCAGCTTGAAAGGGGTTGAAGAACAATATTCTAAGGGGAAAATAAGACACCGCAACCATTGAGAGAATGCACTGAAGTATTTTATGCATCGAACAAAGATTGAAATAAAAAACGAACACACGCAATCAAGTAAAGCCATGTAATAATATTATAATTTCTCAATCAGCACGGAGGAACTCCAGGAAAAATTCTTTCATTCCCAGATTTTCAACAGAGGAATTAATTCATTCAAAAATTAAAATTAAAAAAAAAAACAAAAAAAAAAACCCGACAAGTTTGAGCTCAAGATGCCCAGTAGACCGCCAACAAACCAATATCCCAAATAAGAAAGAAAATTCTTAACCATTACACGCAAATTATCTCTCATACAGCAGAAAAGGGGTATAAAGACCCATAATGAGTGCGAGTAATCAGTATGATCATTAATGGAAGTTCAATCCAAGTAAATGAGAAATCAATGATACATGCAAGACCAATATATCCTCAGAACTAGTTCAGAAGAGTCCAAAATCACCTGCTTGAATATGGTGCTTGTTCCTGATCCACTGTATCCTATTAAAAGAATCTTTTGAAGTGTCCTTTGCTCAAAGTAGTCAGGGGCAGTTTGACTGAATACATTATTCACTTGATCTCCAGAAGTGCAAGGGGATTTTGAAGGCACCGGAAGGGAGAGTACAGCACAAACTAGCTTCGTTCCAGCCTAAATAAAGAGCATGAAAAGGGAATTTAGAGAAAGAGTTTTTTCAATAAACTAACTAGAAAGAAAGCAGAACTTATGTTTATTCATCCCACCTTGCCCCAGATATAACCTTTGGTATTTTTCTGTCCTTCTTCCTGGTAAGAGCCATCTTCGTTCACCCAAAAGTGAGGGTTTCCGGCACACTGGACACCGGCCAGCTGTATCCAAAGAAATTCGCAGTCAAGAGCTATGTTGCACAGAATTCACAAAAAGAATTCAGAATACAAGTAAAACAAGTACCTGCAACATACGCAGCTCCACTTTTGTAATTTCACGACCATTTATGTAAACCTGTGTGTTTCCACCGCTAGCATCTGGCTTGACAGGGCCCCCAACATTCAAATGGGGACTAATGATTTGAGAAGGCTTGTGTCCTTCCTGTTAAAAGAAGCAACACACTCAATAGAAAGTTCCAAGTCATAAAAATTGTCTAGATTTAGATGCCTTATGAAGTATAGATCACCTTGCCCCAAAGACCAGATACTTTGTCATACCAATAATTCCCAGGTTTTAATTTCTTTGGAGGATTTGAACAGCTTTGCAGAACCACCAGTTCTTCATGACATAGAGGCCGACCATTTACAGCAATATATTCTGGTGGTAATTGATTAACTTCGCAGGCTTTCTCAGCTTTCATAATATGACGAATCTCCAAATCATTAAGCAACCGCTTCAGCATTCTGGAGCATTTTCCCAAGCTACCCCGCTTTGACTCCTCAATTGAAAAACCGATGCAGGAGACACACTTTCTTCCCTCAGGCATTGAGCCCATTGCTCTAAGTACACAATTAGAGCAATACTTAGCATCACAAACTAAACAGACCTCCTTTTCAGTAAACCTATTTCCTTTCAAGCAACGATAGCAAGCCCCCTTCTTCACCTTGACAGGAGGTTCCTTCTTTACCCGAACTGCCTCAGGATCAGCGGGGGGAAAGTTTCCATGACTGTCCTCGTTCTCTGACTCAATATCACAGAAAGTCACAACTGGACCTCGCTTAGCATCACAACTAGGTTCGTTAAGACCATCCCCAGTCCTACGTGAAGAAACTCGAGAAGATGGGTATTCAAGACTTAACACAGATTCATTTGAAGCCCAATCTGGCTGGTTACCACTAGAAATCCTTGATTTATGCGAGATTCCTGACAATTCCCTTGATTTATCAAAGCTATCTGAGAAACCCAATGTACCAGAACTCCCCACCCCATTCAGCAGCTCCTGTGAATGATCATGACTTATGGAGGAAGATCCCAACCCAATGGACATGTCAACCATACCAGAAATTTCCCCTGATTCATAATCCCCACAAGGAGGTAGCATATCATGAGAACTACACAATTCTCCAGATATATCACAGGCGCCATTACTAGGCCCTCTCTCCTCAAACGCATTAACTGAGCTGGGAGAAACAGTAATTTCAGAACCTGATGCTAGTTCTTTACTTATAGACTCATCCCTAACAACAGCCCCATTTTGAGATTCAAATACAATAACAGAGGTAGGCGAGACATTCGATTCAGAACTTTGTAATTTCAACTCTTTGGAAAACTTTTTACTTATATTAGCAGCTAATATAGGCTGTACAACAGGTAAAGACAACTTATCACGCAACGGCACCTGAGAAACCACCGCAGCCACCGGAATCCGATCCACATTTATAGGCAACGCCCGCGGAATCTCGCCGGTAATTGGCGGGCCCAGATACTCCATGGCAAAAGCATACTCCACTCCATCCTCCACCACCACACTTGCCGCCTCCGGCGACATCTTCCCTCCACGGCAAGAGACCTTCAAAGATTCCAAAAGGCGAGCAACATTCTTTACTGTGAAATAATATTGGCCCTAAAAAGGGCTGATTGAAGATAACCACAGCCCTAGAACCAACAGTAATTCCCGAAAGAAAAAACGAAAATCTGACCAATTTGAGCTTCTGAAGCTGGGTTTCGGAGGGCTAACAAAAGTTTTTCAACAGGGTTTTTTGAGTCTTTGAGACTAATAGTAGGAACGAAACTTTCCGAGTGAAAGAAATAAATGTTGGTGAGGATAAAAGTAGTAATACAGGGTGGAGACTAGTAGCAGAAATGAGAAAAGGGGGAAAAAGAACAGAGGAAGCAGAGAGGTGAGACAAGGGAAGACAAAGAACAACCGTACGAAAGAAGATACAAGAACAAGAGAGGATCTTTTGTTGTTTAGCAATGGAGGAAAGGGCGCATCGGGAAAGTGATGAATTTAGGCCCTTTGTATTTGGAATTGTGGGGAAACCAAACCAAAAAAAAAAATGAAGTAGAGAAAAAGAAAAGATTGCAAAAGAGGAAGGGAACAACAACCAACCCAGTAGTGGTGGGCAATGCAAAGAGGCACTGTGTGACTGTGTGGACTGGCAGCTCATCTCTTTCACCTTTTCTTCCCCTTTTTCTGTCTTTTTTAATTGTAATTACATTATTGTTACCGTAATCCTAATCTTTTTTTGTTTTCTTTTTCCTTTTCCGGCCTTTTCGTTACATGCAAATATATAATACTGTAGAGTAATTTTAAGCAATTACATTTCATACTCAAATAAATTCTCATTTAACGAAATCAACATAAGTCACGGTTGGAACTAATTCTTTACCGGTATCAAATCCATTTGAAAAAATCGATTTATGATCATAATTAAATCCAAGTTTTATCACTTAAACCAAACAATGTCAGTGTTTTCATCACTATAACCAAATCTTACGTTCTTTTGCAAGAAGAAATGTATTGGCTAATGGGTTGTTTTAGTAGCAGCGGTGGGATCAAAATAGAAGTAACAAAGGCTCTGGGTTTATATGATTTGTCACTTAATACCTCGTGATTGGCATCCAAATAGTTTGCTTTTAGGCGACCGTGGTCCTTCGGGACCTGGGTTTTTTTCTTTTTTTTTTTTTTGTTTAATATTTTCTGGTTGAAGCTTTTCTTGGAAATTTAAAAGGTTAAACAGTGTTGCTTGGTGTAACTTTTGTTTTGATCACCGGCAGATGCGCATGGAATGTTTTCCCCGGTGGAACCTCATCAAGTCACGAGACCAATCTCTGATTAATCAAATATTTTGTCTGAAATTACGTATCCATTTTCGAATACTACTAGTACATTTTAAAGCAGGAAACTATGAAATGAAAAGAATTCCTTTGTGGTTTGTTTTCTCTTTTCGAAAAGCATACGAACAAACGGAATTTGAATTTCTAGTACAATTTATTATTGAAGGTTTGAACCTATCAATCTCGTGGTAATAAAAATCTCTTGACGTATTAATTAATACTATTACTTATATAACGAATCCTATCAATAAATATCTAATTTTGTAAAATGACGAATGACTCTCTCAAGGTAGAATTAGTCGGGTTGCTTTGATTTTCAGCACTCGAATCATAATTTGATTTTTGTTAACTTTGCCAGAAAAAGGTATGTGCAAATCAGCTCTAAAACAAAATTATCCTTGCAATTTATCATACTGAACCAAAAGCAGGCTTCAATTTCAAGTTTGGCGAGACCGATGTTGTACAACAACATAAGCGTCCATCACTCCACATCTCGTTTGCCTACGATTTGCCTGGTGGTTTATGTTAATAAGTCTCGATTAATCCTTGTTCACTTTACGCCTTAAATCAACAAGTACTTGATTCAAATACTAAATATATTAATATGAGAATTTAGATATATTATAATGATACTTTTATTTTTTAAAAGAAATCTATCTGACTTGATTTTATAGAAATTTAGGATTTCTAGACTTGAGAGAAAAAAATTGGCCGATCTACTCTAAACTTTACTTACGTTATCAATTTTACCCTAATCTTTTTCGATTAGCTTATTTTACTATCACAACTTTCGTCAATTGGTTATTTTTTACTAATTTCTGTCCAAATTAATGGTATTCACATCTTTCCGTCAAGTGGGTCATTATTTTATTCTAAAAAATTAAACTGGACCCTTTCAATCAGATTTAATCCTAAATCACTTTTGGACTTAATCCTAATTCTGCTGGGTCAAAGTAAAGGGAAATTTTTCCCCAAAAAAATTTGTGGGCTCCACATGACCCAAAAAAATTTTCAAAATTCAATGTTTGAATTCTGGAATTTTTTATTTTTTTTTTTGAAGTGGAATTTTGGAAGACCGAACGAAACTAAGAAAAGGGGGATTCGTCACTTTCAAAGCAAAAACTAGAAAACAGTAGATAAGAAGAAGTTGTCGGCGAGAGGGGAGGCATTTCCGGCCATTTCAATAGCATAGATGCTGGATCCACGGTCAAAAGAGAAGAACAATCAGCCTCCACCTAAGTTTGGTGAGTATCTTTTTAAAAAAAGTTGTGACTTTCACGTGTCAATTTGCATAAAGTTTTTTTTTTTTTTTTGGTTTCTTTCCTGCTACGAAAAGGGGAATCGGGACCGGGAAAGAATGTCCCTTTATTATGATACATGTGGGTTCCAATTTGTAAAATAATTGTTGTAATTATTTGTTAATCAATTTTTTTAGGGCTTAACCTCGATTTTGATTTTCGTGGGCTTAATATGTATGTATTTCTAGTTAAATTTCTGTCCCTCGATTGCGGTGTTTGTATTGTGCGTGCTTGTATTGTGCATAATTTCAGTTTTCAGTTCATCTGTTTTAGGGTTTAGAGTCCTCATTGTTGTCCCTTACCTTACCTTACTACAGATCCTGTTACGCCTATGGGAAACATTCAGCTGCAGTATAGTGGTGAAATGATATATACACCATCCCCTATTTATTGTGGAGGAGAATATGGGTTTTTTGATAATGTTGATTTGGAAAACCTATACTTTGAAGACCTGGTTATGATGGCAAACAGGATAGGATTGGCGAAAAAAGTCAAGTTCTTTTATATAAGTGAAGAAAATGAGGTGAAGGGTTTATTGGATGATTTTGAACTCACGGAAGTGTGTAGAGAGGCACTTGCAGAAGATAGAAGGATGGAGTTGTACGCTTTAGAAATTCAGGTTGAAGAGGAACATGGTACCGAGGGCGATGAAGGTAATGACTTGAACGATGATGGTCATATAAGCCACACTGAGGATAACGATGATGAAGATAATGATGCTGATGTTGATGAGAGTGATGAAGATAACAAAGATTGGAGTGATAAGGATTCTGAATACAATTCAGAGTATGATGATCAAGATTATGAAGAGAATGTTGATGAAAGTGAAGTAACCTGGAGTGGTGAAAATGGTTATAGTGAAGGTCCTGCAAGTGTGGTACAATCTACAATCAAGAAAACACTTGTTGCAAAGTACCAAAAATCAGCAGCATGGTCCAAGGATATGTCTTGAAACTGGGCATATAGAGTTCACACACACAAGGGCTGGGGATATAAAGGAAAGTGAAGATGAAGTTGTTAGTGGTAGACTAAGAGATGTGAATACTATAGTACCAGATTCTGATGATGATTTTGAACCATTGCATGAGTCTGATGAAGAAGCCGAGCCTGCTCTATAACAATTTGATCCAGTGAAAGACATGTAGGATCCACCTTGAAGTGTGAACTTGCTTTCAGTAGCTTGGAACAAGCAACACATGTTATCAAGGCATGGAACATTATAAGGGGTTTTAAGTGGAGGTTTAATAAAATTGAAAAAGAAAGGGTTAGTCCCAAGTCTCCTGATCCAAAATGCAGATGGAAGATTTATGTAAGAAAATGTTTGGATGGGACTATTAGGGTTACTAGGTTTGCTCCGAAACACACTTGCACTTGGGTGAAGAACAACCCGTGTATGACTAGTAGTTGGATAGCACTAAGGACAACAGAGCTCATTAAGGAAAACCCCAATATAATACCTCGGGAATTCAAAAAGAGTGTGAAGGAACGATACAGTATCGACATGTCAAAGGATCAATCATATAAAGCCAGAAAGAAAGCATTCCAACTGGTGTTTGGTAGTGTAGAAGACCAGTTCAATAAGCTAAGAGGTTACTGTCATGAGCTCCTTCGAAGTAACCCTGGAAGTTCCGTGGTTCTTAAACCCTTGGATGGCTGGACACACACCTCAACAGGTTAACAAAGATTTCAGAGACTGTACATTTATTTTGCAGCGGTCAAAGATGGCTTTTTAGCTGGTTGTAGGAAGTTTATTGGATTGGATGGAATATTCTTGAAGGGTCCTCAGAAAGGAGTTTTGCTCACTGCTATTAGTGTTGATCCCAACAATGGAATTTATCCAATAACATGGGTTGTAGTTGAAGTCGAGGACAAGTCATCTTGGGGAAGGTTTATGGATCTCTTAAGATGTGATCTTCGAATCGAGAAAGAAGACACTGATCAGTAGACCTTAATGAGTGACAAACAAAAAGGCCTGATCAAAGTCGCAGAACTTGAATTTTTTCGAGCCGACCATCGATTTTGTGTGAAGCATTTATGCAAATTTTGTAGATCATGGGCATGGGGGACATGCACTCAGGAAAGCACTTTACGCAGCTGCAAAGGTAACCACCGAGGGGCAGTGGAAGAAACAAATAGAGGAGATGAGGACAATATCCAAGGATGCATATACCTGGTTAAGCAACATGCCTGGTAATCAGTGATGCAGGGCATTTTTTCCATTCAAATGTAACTGTGATATTCTGCTCAACAATAAATGTGAGTCTTTGAATGGCAAAATTCTCGAGGCAAGATCAGAACCTATTATTGGACTTATGGAGGGAATGAGGAAGTACACCACCATAAAGATGTATGAGAACAAAACAATGGCAAATGAGAAATGGAACAACAAGGTGGTTTGTCCAAGAATTTTCAGGAGGCTTTTAGCATACCAAAAGTTAGCAACTGAATGCACCACAGCCCCCTCATGAACCACTCACGTGGAGGTTGATTGTCCAGATAATGGCAAGTATGCAGTTGATCTGGCCATAAGAGAATGTAGCTGTAGAAAGTGACAGCTCATAGGTATTCTATGTATACATGGAATTTCTGCTATATGGTCTATAAAACAAGACCCTGTTGTTTTTATTGATAACTGCTATTCTGTTGAAGTATATAAAAGGTGTTATGAACCTTTTATCTATCCTTTGAGAGATGAAGCAGATTGGGAATGGGACAAGGTGGTAGAGCCTCCTATATTAGCTCCTATTAAACGAAAGGTGAAAGGAAGGCCTACTACAAGAAGGAGAAGATCTACTGCTGAAATAACGGTCATTCAGGAAAATAAAGTATAAAAACTATCTAGAAAATGTCAAAGAAATTATTGCAGCAGATGCGACACAAAGGGCCACAATGTCAGGTCATGCAAAGCGAAGCCTAAAGGTGATCTGCATGCTGCTTCTAAAAATGGTGCAGGGGAGAATTTGTCAACAGAAATGCATGTTAGTGATGGACTCCACTGTACTGAGGTCCATTTGGATGCGCATGTGAGTTCAAGGGAGGGTTGTCTAGATAGCCTTGCAGATGTTCATGTTGAGGTGTGTGAGGACATTGGCTTAGAAAAAGAAACTGAGGTACTGTATAGTTGATACAATCATTTAATTACTAAAATTGTACACAATCCTACTAACATGATGATGTTTGTAGGTTGGATTTAATAAGCACGTAGCTGATATATTGCGTGACAACATTGAGCAACTTAAACCAGAGGTATGATGACTTAAGTTTCATTTAGCTTAAGTATTGGTTTATTGAGAAGCCTGCAAATGACTGTATTTGAAAAATGTTACAGGTAAAAAAATAGATGTTAGAACATGATATTGTGGTATTGCAGTATTCTGATGAGCAGCATAGACCGATGATACATATGAGATGTAATCCACCAAAGAGATCTAACAAGGCTACAAGAGAAAAAGTCCCGGTATTTGTAATTCAAAGGGAAACAGGTAACCTACCTGGACAGAGTGATGTTGAGAAAAATCCTCCACTGAAAACAAAAAAGAGAAAATTCAAGGTTTGTTAAGAATTTCGATTTTTTCCTTTTTTATTTTTTTTCTGGTGAAGATATATACTAGTTCTGTTACTTTATTTCAGTAGAATTGGAATAAGATAGTTTGAATATTTATTTTGTTAAGGCTCATAATATTGACAGGCTGCTAGTTCATCTCAACCTGAAAAAAAGGTTTGCAAATCTGAAAAAGGACGAATTCAACGGACATCAAGTTCACAACCTCCCTTCAAACTAGTTGATGAGAATATTGATAAAGACCCAACCACAAACAACATTCACAGTAAATCGAGTTTTGTGGAAGCTTTTGGACATGTGGCTGCACCTTCTTCAACCCCTAAACCACCAGAAAGTGTCAATGATAAGAAGATTGTTGCGGATGCATTGGCCACATTTGAGCAACTAATGTCAACAATGGATAATTTAATGCCTGATGTTCTACAGGTGAAAAGTTCAAAAGCTCTTTATGACTTCTATCAAGGCTCTTATCATGACACTGTCAAAAGTAGCCGTTTTGATGGAAATTTCATTACCAAGCTGTTAAGGGATCTTCTTCAAATAATTCAGCAAAGAAGGATGGGAAGAAGTCACATGTCAAGTGACATGTAATTCAATAATTTGATTGTCTTCCTATTTTCTAGAATATTTACTACTGTAAGGTTGCATTGAAAGTAGTAGTTTTGTTTAGACCTTGGCACCTTTTGCTTTTGACTTCATTTTTTTTTTGTTGCACAACATGTCTTGAACTGTGTAAGGTATTCATATGTGCTTGATAGCCAAGATTATTAATATATGAAACTATTTTCATCTTGCATTCAAATGCTTCTTTAAGTTATCAAAAAAAAAAAAAAAGCTTCTTCAAGGTTTCTTTATATTTTACACCAACAATGAAGATTAGAAGATGTGAAGTGATGCTTGGTATAACCAATTATTTGGCTAATGTTGTCTAAAATGTTTCACAAATTTCGCTAATTATACCTAACAGTTTGATATTTTGGCCAATTTTGTCCTAAATGTTTCACCAATATGGCAATATTGTCCATGAACTGGCCTTTTAACATATTTCCAACACAATCAAATTCAAATGATTCCAAAAGTTTATATGGAAACGCTTTCCATTCCAGAATTCAAAAACAACAAGAGTGTACAAGGGAAAACCAAGTGCTAACTTTTTACCTAAACTAACTAAGACCTAAATCACCCAACATAATGAAAAATATTACTACCTAGATAAACTACTGAAGATACAGTACTGGTCTTGATTTTTTAAAAAAAAACAAAGTACTGGTCTTGATAATTGCTATGAAGAACCTAGTTCCTCATCATACACATACACACCACCACAATCGCAGCAGCAATAACATAAAACCAAATTCGCCACTCACGCCTTTGCAATCTCATATTTTCGGCTTCTAAGATGTTCACCCTGTCCCTACTGTCATTTATCCTCTTAAGCAGACCTTGGATGATCACCCGTCCTCTGACCTCCAACTAGGGATCTAGCCACAAAAAAAAAAAAAAATTGCACACCCTAAGATCTAGCCAACGAGGACATGCCAAAAAACTTCTGCCCAAGTTGTTGCCTCTCCAGCAAGTGTGAAGTGCTGCAGGGCTTCCACAATTGCACAATTGTGTCATGCCCTTGATTTTGAAATGTTCATGATAGAGAGAAAAAAAGTGGAGAAAGAGGAAAAAATTTTCCAGTTGAAATCAGTATGGAATTAAGCTGGAAATAAGGGGGTTTGACCTTTTATGATGAAGATTTTTTTTGGGCCATGTGGGACCCACAAATTTCTTAGGGAGAAATTTTTCTCCACTTTGAACCAACATAATTAGGGTTAAGTCCAAAAGTAATTTAGGATTAAATCTGATCGAAAGGGCCCACTTTAATTTTTTTATAATAAAATAATAGTCCACTTGACGGAAAGATGTGAATACCGTTAATTTAGACGGAAATTGGCCAACAAGAACCAATTGGCGAAAGTTGTGATAGATAATGGTAAAATAAGCTAATTGAAAAAGATTAGGGTAAAATTGACAACGTAGGTAAAATTTAGAGTAGATCGACTAATTTTTCCAGACTTTAGACATCAAAATTTCAAGCATCAAGTTTGACGTTTATATGATGCGAGCATAACACCAAACACTTACATTAAAATTATGCATGGATCGAATATTGGTCTTCGAATTCCAACCACGATGGGAAAAAGGAGTACAAGATACAGTTCCAATTTTGAGCCTTTTACACACATAATCCATACTACCTAACAATTTTCCTGGGTTTCAAAGAAAATAACAACTGCCAGACTAATTAGGTGAACTGCAAAAGGTGGCAATATACATATATATGTGTATATATATATATATATATATATATATTAAGGTACATCATTGCATCGATCTTCATTTCCACCCTATTACAGTGTCATGCAATTTGCCTCCAAATTAACTCTCACATCTTCGTTGATGCTGCGGTTTGTCATACTTCCGGTATTCTACCGAAATGTTTCAAAGATTCAGACTATTATTCTGTCAAGTTGTACTGGATGGAAATCGGAAGAATGTTTTCAGGTTTAATTCGAAAACTAACCTATATATTTCAGTGATTAAAACACTTATTGACAAAAATTATTTTTTAGAAAAGATATGTTTAACTTAATTTTAAATTAATCGAAGCAATGACTTTTGGTCGTGTATGTAAAAAAAATAATTAGAAGAATGAAAGTTCCTTCCACTTATTGACTGAATGGTTTCTTTTACATAATTGATTGATTAGTTATCCAAATTGAAACTACGTTCAACGCAGAGATAAGATGATGTCCTAAAGGTCAAAGTTTCAGAAGTCTTGAATTAGGTCTTCTCTTACTTTTTTTTTTTTTTTCTGTATATTGTCTCTGTTTAAATATCTCAACCGAAATTTTCACATCTATTTTTCACACTAATTATAACTTATGCATGCCGTATATCGTCAAAAAGTTGTACTTCCTTCGATCTAATTAAATCGTAAACTTTAAGGAATTCTACACTGATATAGTCGAAAGGTATATCAAAAGCAAGACAAATACGTTCAAAATCATGTTATGCACAAAACAATAAAATAATACTTCCTCCGTCTCAGAAAAATAGTCCATTTTGAAAATGTACAATTTTTTTAATTTGATCAACACACCAAATGTACAACTCATTTTATGCCCATAACTTTTACTAATGCCCCTTCTAGTTATTTCTATAAAAGTTAACTACATATGCATTTATTTTACAACTTAAATTGGATCAAAATTTTTATCTCAAAAAATATTGACAATGGATCTTGATGGAAAGAACTGGTTAAGTAAATTAATTTGATATATAACACATTTTTTAATTACTCATGTATTAAAAAATATAATCATTTGAAAAAATAGAAGAAAATTAAAAAAAAAATTAAAGGAAATGAACCTTCTTTTCTTTATCACTACTCTTTTTTATATTTAAGGTATTTTAATTCAATTAATTTTAACTTTTGTAAAACTTGATTATTTTTGTAGGACGAAAGAATAATAACAAAATAAACAATCACTAAGGCTTTTTAGGATTGATGAGGACCCATTTAGAAAAAAGAGAGAGAGAGAAAGAAAAAGTTAATGAACTTAGAACAATAACGGAATAACCAAGAGCGCCGCCAGCTCCTCGTCCCAAACTACCAAGAAATCTTTGACCACACTGCATCACCACCAATTTTAAAAAAATACCTTTCCCTTTCGCTTTCACATTATTGAACTAATCTTCCACATTTGCAGGTTAAAAGTACAAAGTACGAGCCTCAATTGGCTAAAGTAATTGACATTAATTACATATGGAAAGTTATTAAATATGATTTTTTAAATATCTTCAGTTTTTTCATCTGTCCAAATGAAGGTAAAAGTTATGAAAATTGTTTATTTTTATTTTTTGGTACAATAAGAAAGGCCAATGCCTTATTACAGAAGATTAGAACATTTTGCGGATAAGAAATGCTGATAGTATTGTACTCTATCTGTTTTTTTTATATACGAGAACAATATATGACGGCCATAAACTCATACTGCATTTACAAGAGCCAAAATCGATTTTGCAGGTAGATAAGTTATTATATTAAAATCCTAACCCTTAGGGTTTCTACGTGTATGTGTATATATTCAATTAGTCTTAATTCGACCGGCATGTGAAATATTATGACTCATTAGTAATCGCATTAGTACATCAGATTAATTACTACCTCCATTCCTATATATAAGATAGAGTTAACTAACTTTACACAAACTAATAAAACTAAGAAAAATTAATTTTTTGTCTCAAAAATATTGTAAATTCTCCAAATTGTCCTTGATAACATTAATGAAATGGTTAAATTAATTTTGAATTAGTTAGTTTCGAGGGTAAAGAGAGGAAAAAAAATCATTAAATACTTTTTTGGAAATATAAAACTTCTTATAAAAAGTAATGGAAAAAGTATGTATAAAACCTCTTACAAAAGTAATGGAGATAGTACCTCGTAATTATAGTATAATCAACACTTATGACTTAACACCATCGGGTGAATCATCGAAGTTGCAAACCCAATGGTCCTCCAATAGCAAAATTAGCCAATTTACTCAACTACACTCTTTAGACGCAAGACGTCCTTCCAATCTACCATTGCATATATATAAGCGAAAAGATACCGAACTTCATGGATATAGCCCGACATAGTAACAAGTACTAGGTCCCACGTACGTAATATGTTTTAATCTCGAACCAAAGTTTATGAAGGCCTGCGAGGCTTTGAAGCTTAGACCTCTAATTGCATGTAAACTTTCGTTATGAATATAACTGTTTGGAAAATTGAATGGACAATTCTAAACGCTTTCAATAATAAGTGTCGTTTTAACAAAATGGAGAAATTCTAAAATGAGTGTCGTTTTCGGATTTCAATACATTTTTGTCAAGAATTTCCAAACATACCCTCAAAAGAAATAATATTATTGGTGAACATTTATTTCAATGGAGTTGGTTAAGGATATTCTAATAATTTAGCTATCATATTTAATATTTTCTTAAATCATGTGCAAACTCTATAATGACACTTATTTTGTAACGGATTGAGTAATTTTATATGGCTGTAATACGATTTAGTCGAAAATACTGATGTAAGTATTTAAGTTGTGGACTCCGTTAGTTTGTTGTACTAAATAAAGAAACAATTTTGTGGCTCCTACAATTAATTGTGCAATGACTCAAATCTTCAAACGCAACTGTATGTAATACACCGTTTCAATATAGACTTGCAAAATATAACTACACAAATTCACAACTCCAATATTTACAGAGATGAAAGATCGCAAACAAAACCTTCAATTTTCATGTGCTGTCATTTGCATGGCTCAACATGCAAATGTATTGTACTGAATGGACAGGGAAATATAAATGGTGATCGATGTTGTCTCCTAATTAGCACATGTTTTTTGCTATAAATGTCTCCTTTCACTCACTCTACTATTCTGAGACGAGAAGCTATGAATTGATGGAAAATTATTGGTTGCTGTCAAGTCTTCCGTCTGTTCTTGCGGCGATAGTTGTTGTTCACCACGCGCCGCCACCTGTGGGGACACCCTCCATATCTTCACCGACTTATCTAAGCTTCCGCTGTACAAAATACAAGGCCGACCACGATCATCGCCTCCCACCACCGCCGCCCTATCTTCTTCCACGGCCAAGCATTTCACCGGGCCGGAATGCCCGTTCAAAACGGACAAACAAATATGCTCACTTTCATCCCTTTTCCATATACAAATATTCGTATCAGCTGATCCACTGAATATCAAATTCCCCGCCGTAGCTAAGCACAACACCGCCAGTTTGTGCCCCCGCAGAATTCCGCCGTGCGTTAGCTTCTTCCGGTGCCAGAAATTGACTAGCCCATCGGATGAACCGCAGTAGAGGAAACTCGCGGACGGATCAACGGTCAATGCTGTGACCGCGCATTCTTGCTTTAGCAAATTCTGCGAAAAGAAATGCTTCGTTCCTTTCCCCTGTAATTCCCTTCTCCAAACTTTCACACTTCCGTCCGCCGAGCCGGTGAAGACTAACCCGTCGAACCCTGAAACGACGGCGTTGACTGCATCGTCGTGGGCTTTAATCGATTCCAAGCATTTGAAATCCGATACTCTCCAAACCTTGATTGTTCTATCCCAAGAAGCAGAGTACAGAAAATTGTGGTCTTCGCTCAAGCTCAGAGACGAAATAGCGTCGAAATGCTTAATCCAAACCACATTCCGGTTTCTCCTGACTTCAACGTAATTGCTCGGTTTCATTGAGCTCTTGATGCAAGCTTTCAACGTGGGTAACGTCCCAATTCGTTTATGCGTGCTGGGATCTTTAGGAGAGGTCTTCCAGACTCTGATTTTCCCGTCTTGATGCCCTGTAAATATTTTCTCGCCGGCAATTATGATTGCCTTTACCAACCCACTATTCGATTTGAACCCGGAAAATTCCGTTTGATTCTTCCAAACCCGTATGTTCTTGCTATCTGATCCCGTATACAATAAATCCCGTTTAGCAGCCAATGAATAAATGTGGCCTTCTTCTCGCATAAGGGATCCCATTAGACCCGTGTAGGAGTAATTGTCATGATCCATTTCGACCCGAGATGACCACGGCGATCTTGCCAATGGAGATGATTGCTCGGTTGTGTATGGAGATGCTTGGCTGTTGTCCCAAGATAAATTGTCTAACGACGGCGTGCCGTGCGGCGGAGTTCCGTTTTCGGAACTCAATCGATGATCGTTTGCGGGAGTTGCTTCCGAGATGTTGCTGATTCGTACAGAGTAATCTTCTTCGTTTGGATGATGTTGATTATGATGATGATGATCTGAATGCAACATTTCCCTGAATTTTGGTTTCCGTGGTTGGCTTTTGTCGTCCATGAACAATTGGACTCCTCTTGAGCTTTTCATCTTTGCTATGAATCTATTGATCAATCTGGTAATTATGGATCAAATAAGTATGCAATACATATTCAAACGCCAAAAAGAAAAAGGGGATGGAAAAAAAAAAAGTGGAAGATTGGTCCCTAAAGGAAACCGAAAGAGGAAGGACGGAAGGAAAAACAAAAGAAAAGAGAAACAAACAGAGGGAGGAAGATTCGGGTTCAGGAAGTTAGGATTTTTGGACGACGGAGACTTTTTCACGGGTGAACAGAGATTTGTGGAGCTGAAAAAAAAAAAAGAAAAACAACTTGAATGCAAAGCAAAGTACAATTTGTCAAACCTAAGAACTTTGATATCTGAACCAACCATATATATGAGCGGTTATTTTCATGGGGAAATTTTTTTGGTTGCTCTTGCTTTCTGAGCAGGGAGTTCTGGATGTGGTGCTCCCTTATTTTCTAATTCTTGCAAATCAAATTCTGTGGTGATGTTAACTTTATGTATGGTCAGAAACAGGAAGAGGGGTATTAATATGGAAAAGGCACTGATTTTAATGAAAATTTAGACAATTTAGACATAAGTCGCAACATTTGACTTGATTCCAATGTCGATAGGGGAAGTTCCCTCTGCTCCTAATAGCGGTATTAGTGGATAATTACTGGTTTTAAAAATATGCCTAAACATAGTCCAGACAGCATATTATCCTTTGTTTGCTTATGTTTTTAATTACGTTAAAAGAAATAAATAGAGAGAAACTGCGTCCCCGCACATTAAGTAGTTACATATTTGAACAATTTTGGATTGTGCAGCTCTTTTACTTGAACTTAGGTGCCTCTAATTAGCTTGGTAAAGTTTGACTATGAGAATCGAGTGACCGTCAAGTTACTAGGCGTTTTTTTCTTTTTTTCTTCTCATAAGGCCTAAAATCAATTTAGTACATTACGAGAATATATTACTCTAATCACATCATATTCTAATTATAGTTTTAACTCACGGTGAAGGATCAAGACATTGTAGTCCATTGGACCTTGCAAATACATTTCAGGTCAATTCTCACTAGAAAATGAGAGAGTTTGAGGAAAGGTTACAAGTTATTGATAAAGAGTGACCGTCAAGTTACTAGGCGTTTTTTTCTTTTTTTCTTCTCATAAGGCCTAAAATCAATTTAGTACATTACGAGAATATATTACTCTAATCACATCATATTCTAATTATAGTTTTAACTCACGGTGAAGGATCAAGACATTGTAGTCCATTGGACCTTGCAAATACATTTCAGGTCAATTCTCACTAGAAAATGAGAGAGTTTGAGGAAAGGTTACAAGTTATTGATAAAGAGTGTGAGAAAAAGAATAACTAAGTTCAAACAAAACTGTAATGTATGATTAACAAAAAAAAAAAAAAAGCTATAACTACTTGAAGATGAACTCTGCGCTCTGTTGATTAGTTTACACCTTGTCTTTAAGAACATTTCTTTTTTCTTTTGAAAGATTAGCCTTTTGATTATTGGAGAGATTATGCTTACACTCAAAGGAAAATGAGGAAACAAATTAATTGTGTGGGTAATAGTGTGCTTGTTGGTATCATTCATAAATGAATATCATAATCCATACTTTACACACGTTGAGAGTTTGGCTTTTGTTTAAGGGTTGGTGGTTGAGGAGATTGATCTTATTGATTGTCTTTGTTTCTTTCTCGCAATGCCTTTTGTTTGGTTGATCATAAGTCATTTCTGCAATAAAAACGTAATTGGGACGCCTTTACGTTTATTATATTAGGTCAAGTTTCACTAACCTCTCTTCTATACAGAGGTGCTTACACTTGGAGCAATCAAGAAGTTATTCCTGTTCCATTATACTACAGTTCTTTCTTTACCTGCTTATTGTATTGCACAAATCAATATACATTCTTTTTGGTCGGTAATTTGCGATTCCAATATTTTAGTAGCTAGTGTGATTTATGCTCCTACTTCTTACAATTATTAATTTGATTAGCTTTTGATTAATCAACCAACGGAGTTGAATCATTGTAATGTACTATGGTTTTTGCCTACTTTTTCTCGGTTTTCGAAAAGATTTTGATACTTGTCTCCCATTTTTGTTGTACGGAAAGAGAATAAGTCTCAAAAAATATACTCATACTTTACTTGGTTAGATTAAAATAGTCTCAGAAGATAATATACCACATCTATGTGTATCCTCCGTCACAAATTCTTATGCAATGATTGTATTGCGATAGCATTCGTTAACATATATCTTATCATGGGTACTGTGTAGTGATACAGTTGAACAATAATATAAATACCTTGTACGACAAAAAGAAGAAGAGAAGAAAGGATCTGATTAATGTTTTTACTTGTCATGTCTTTCGGGTAGAACAAGGACAAGCGTGCATGGCCACACTTAAGCACCCCAAACTTTGTTAATATCTCGGTTTTATCAACTTCTCACAAATATTTTGATTCATGGTGACTCCTTAATTTCTTATTTAAACGATCTTGTTAATTTGCAAATGATTAATGGTGCACATTTTCTCCATGTTTGAATGTTCAGGGAGACTGTTTGTTTACAAGTAAATGTTGCATGACGAGAATAGAAGAGATAGCTCAATGGCTAGGAACTTCGGATTTGCCATTTTGGAACATGCTGCTGCAGGTTCAGTGTTCAATCATCGGTGTGGAGGGTAAGAATCTGCTGTAATTAGGGGATAATGGGGGCGGTAATATTTTGAAACAAATCCAAATATCACAAACTCAAAAAAAAATTAAAAAAATCAGAATATCCAAAATTTGTCGAAGCAGTAAAGTTAATAATAATTGAAATGTTGCATGAACTTTGTCATCGGCATAGTTGCAAAAACACCTTCATCACATATGGTAGAGTCCATACAAGTACTTGACGTCGACAAAAATGTTTTACAAATTACTCTTTCTGTTCCAAAATGTTTTCATGTTTGTATTTTTATTTTCAGCTCATTTTGTATTAAAATAAAAATCTAATTTGGACAATAATTTCATGACGGATGAAGTACAACTGAATATTACGTAACATTTTTTTTTAAATTAAAAGTGAAAATCCAAACATGACAATAATATCGGGATGAAGAAAGTACAAATGAATATTATGTAACATAAATCTTTTTTTTTTTTTTTTGTCGATATAGTAAATGCAATTAAAAAGTTGACGCAAGTCTTTTACACCTAAATATTTCATGCGTCAATTATGTGGTCGAAATTTTAAAGTTGCCTAACAAATCGACATTAGGTTTTACGAAATTTGATTTGATGGAGCTTTTTTAAGAAAATCCACATTTTAGGATCAAAACCCCCACAAAACTTTGATGAATAAGAAGATTGTTCTCTTTCCAAAGCTTTTTCTTACATATTCAAATGATTGAAGGCAAATAAACATGAGGCGGTTCCCAATTTTGAGGATATTATTTGAGTTTAATCCTCAAGTCCAACAATATGACATAAACTAAATAATTTAAGGCTTGTTTGACTAATATTTTATTTTAATTTTTTATTTGGGTTTGAGATGTGATTTAAAATATAGTTTGAGAGAAAATTAAAAAGTTGTTTGAGTAATATTTTAAATAAAATAATAATATTTTTAGACCACCATCGGCCGGCCGGTCGCCGGCCAGCAACGGTCTGGTAGCTGCGGTGGATGGTCTGGCAGCGAAGTGGTCCAGTGGTGGTATTAAAAAATGGTGTAAAAATAATGTTTGAAATAAATTTTAAAAAGTAAATTAAAAAATTATTTAGATAGTATTGAGTTTTGTGTTTGAGATGTGTTTTAAGAGGTAAAATGAGACAAAATGCAAAAAATGGTGTTGGCCAAACAAGACCTTACTATCTCAAGTGCAACTACAATTGTTCATACTCGAACTTGGACACAAATAATTAAAATATTTGTTTGAAAAGTTTTACTTTCTACAAGAGTTATAACCAGTTCAAATATGGATTAATTGAAATAATAATTTATGCACTAGGCGCATAATATACCATAAAGAAGTAATTGCTTCTTTTCTTTTCTAATGCATACTAGAGCCATGTAAATGAAGGCTTTATTGAATTTTCAGATCGAGGTAATGACATGTTTGAATTTTCAGATCGAGGTAATGACATGTAAATGAAGGCTCTAAGAAAAATAATGTACTTTGGTAATATACAAGTTCAAATACCAGAGAGACAGTGAGATTTAACAAGACTATAAATCCATCCACGATAGTCAAAGGTGGAAATGCAGGAAGTTTTAATTGCTTTACGAAGATTCATAAGTACTCCCATCCTCCTAAAATTATTGTCTAATTTGAATTTTTAGTTTTAGTTTAAATCGTACTAAAAATAAAATTCAAACTGGATAATAATTTTGGAACAGATAGAGTACTTTTCATGTTGTTTTATTAAGTAGGAAAGATGTTGAGGATATGCATACTATGACATAATTTTATGTGTTGTCGCATTGGTTCTAAGAGTTGAATATACCCTTTTATTTATTTTTTTAAAAGAAAAACCAGAATATTTAATGCGTCGACTTATTCGTCGGGATAAAGAAGTCGACGAACTTATCGACTCAGGACCGAAATATATAAGCGGTGTCGTTTAATGCAAGAAAAACGATCTTCTCAAGTATCCAGATTCCACTGTTATCCGTAAAGAGCACTTGTTAAAAAAAAAAATACAACGAAAATCATTCACAGAGTTCCATCGTCGCTCTTTGTTAGTATTTGGCGATGGTGATGCAACTGATAATAGCTAAAGATCATCCCTAACAAAACAATGGAGAATATTAGATCAATTTCTTGAAGAGAAGGAAAGAGAATCGAGAAGATGTTCTTCAACGATTACGTTCGAGGGAGACTGACTTCTCTCTTGCAGCCATGGCTGATAGATGAACCGGACCTCGAATTGAAGCTAGGGCTCTTACGTTCTGATGCTACGCTCAAGAACATTAACTTCCGCACTTCCGCGCTCAACCAATTGCTCGACGATTCCTCTTGCTACCGCTTCACAGAAGTGACTGTTCGAGAATTGAGCCTTCGGTTTTCGTACTGGTCTTTTCCCGCCATCAGTCTTCTAGTCCATGGTTTTCACTTCAAGATATCCTTGGGGTAGGGGCTGCATGTTTAAGCACATGCGTTTTTGCATTTTTGTATTCTGTATGTCTATTCTTTCCTTTTTTTGCTTTATTTGATCGTGCTTGTAACCTTGAGAATTTGTGCATGTCCTGAAGGGAAGACGAGGCGGAGGATAGATCAGGAAATGTTAGCTTAAAGAGGAAGACTAGGGATCCTTCTGTGGAGGAAAAGAGGAGAGTTCTCGCTGAGATTGATCCTGAGGTACTTGTATTTTGAACTCGTTTGTGTTTTTGTTTGCTTGGTGAGGCTTATCTCTGGTATAATGCTTTCGCGCAATTTTGATGGTAGTAGTAAATCAATGACATGTTTGTTTAGCTGGTCGAAGACTTGAGAGTTGAGACTACCTTATATAATCTGTTTATGTTTTTTGCAAAACTCTATTAATGCTAGTTTTAAGGCCACTACTGTCACTTAAAACTAGCCACTACCGTCACTTGCTTGATCGCTCTTACGAATAATTATTTGTTAGATATATACTTTGTGAAACCTTATAGTGCTCATTTTTGCCATCCTATTGTGTAATATGTGTGACTGAAGTTATATACTAATTATCTTTTAAAGTATTTTAAGCAATATATTGCCCCTGAGGAAGGGAAGCGAAGCAGTGGGTTTGACCTGTGTAGGAGTTGTTAGGAACAAGGATGCCATTTGGGCGATGACTGTGCCCCCGTTATTTTTTTTTTTCCGAGAAACCTTCCTGTTGAAGTTGTTCAGGAAATGCTTCCTATGCTTACTTAATGATGTAAGATGTATGGTTTCGTCATTCGTGTGCATATTGGATAGTTCTGCTGTGTTTCTGGCATTTTTTTTGAATGTATTATCTGATCAGAATTGTAGTATTCTTTATTTCTGTGCTCGCTTCATTTGTGATGGGTTTTTGAATCCAGGGTAGTGCTTTACATGATGCTGTTGAGAAGATCTCGAAGGTTAATGTCGGAAATTGGAGAGACAATTTACTCTCTACGGTTTTTAGATATAGTCAGTTGCAGATGGATGACATTCATGTTACCCTGGCTCCTCCTAGTCCTTATGATTCTGTTTCATGCTTACTGGAGATCAAGGAAGTTGGTGTGAAGTCTGACTATATTCAACAGGCTTGTTTTCTTGGAGGGTTGATTAGTTCATTTTTAGCAACTTCTCAAGCTTTCTCTCTTAACCTTCACACTAGAGATTTTACAATAGTTTTTTTGAGAGAGAGCCACATCAATTATGTTGTTTCTCCCATAAATCTGTTTGTTTCAATCAAAATGGAAAATCTTCAGTTCTCAAATTCTATTTTTAACCTTCCATCACTGTACTTTTCCTTTACTCCAGAAGATCTTTCTTTGATATCGCTATTCTTGTCATTTGCAAGCAAGGAATCCAAGTGTGCTAGAAGTGGTAGGCATCTTTGGAGAATTGCTGCAAGCAGAATCAGCTATTTGACTCATAGTCCTAAACTTTCATGGAACAGAGTTGCAAGCTCTATAACACTTTGGCAAAATTATTTGCACACTTACGAGAAAATGCTTTTGATCATTGGATACCCTGCAGGGGACATAGTTAAAGAATCTTTCACTAAGATGTTCTCTGACAGAAAGTTTTCGAGGTCCGTTAAGCACCATTGGTATGTACTCTCTGAATGCGAGGTGGAGCTGCCTTCCGAAGCTATTGCACAAGCACGGCGAATAACACGCCATAGAGTATCAAAAAGGAGTCCATTGGAAAAGCAGGCTGATCCATTTAAAGGAAATTTATGGAAGGTTTTTCATGTCTTTTCCCTTTGTTGGGTGGTGATTTTGAAGGTCTTGCAACATTTAATAAAAGGAATGCTTTATTTGCTTCGTTTTGTTGCCCGTTTGCATGGTCCGCCAAAGAATATTGAACAGCTCTGGGGTTTATGTGATGCTTCTTTTCCAAAAAGCTGCTTCTATCTGAATGTAGGAATAATCTCAATTTCACTCTTTCCAGAGAAGGAAATTTTGCCTAATATTGCTGGGATATCGCCCTCAGCGTTTAAAGTTTTGTATGATGGTTTAGTTTCTTTTCACATTTCATTTGATGCTTTTCTGCTACAATCTCATCAGAATTTTTCTGATCGCCATATGATATTTTCCTGCGCATGTATAAAGGTCGCTACTTCTGTTATGGAGGATGAGAATGATCCTAGTCACCAGAAGTTAAGGGGACAGCAGAAGAAGATAAACCCTGAGGCACAGGTTATTTTATGGTGTGAACCTGCTCAACGAGTTGAATTAGTAAACGATGGTTATGGTACTGGACTAGATTCGATCCCACTTCTGGAATTGCTGGTCCGACAAATGTGGTTGAATTGGAAAAAATCTTGCACTAAATTAGAAAGAAATGATTTCAGAATTTCAGAAGCACCCTGCATTCTTTTTGAGAGTAACTTTCATTTGATCGATGAGAAAGCCGAGAGTCCTAAGTCTGGATTTCATGAAGCGGCGGTGGTGGTTGGAAGATTGAACTTCGTTATAGGTAACACAGCAATATTGTCACTTGCTGTACTTTATAGACAGATACAGCGGGCTCTTTGGGGATCAGATTACGGAAAGGATACCAATTTGGTTTGGCCCACTTCTACTTCCCACGAAAACCTAATCGTGGTTGATTCAGAAGGAGAATGGAAATCTGTTTTTAGCACAATTGAAACAAGAATTTGTAAAATGATTCCAGAAAAGAACATTCAGATTGGGGTAATGATTTCTGGCCCCAGATTTAGATTATTGGTTAGAAAGGAGAAGTCAGTTGGGGGAGATGGGGACTTGTATCCTGAAAGCAGGAAGGACGAATTGGAGCTTTCATCTGATCTTGAGGATACTATGTTTGTTATCTCGCCAAATTCAATTACTAGATTATCAGAACCAAGTTGGGATACTAAATCTTGTGATGAGCAATTTAGTAGCCTTAGAGTAGAGGAGCCTGATAATATTGAGATGTCTAAACCAACTAATGAAATTTACAGCTGTCATGGATGTCTTTTACTCAATGCATACCTGAAATTTAATGGAATGAAAGCTTACCTTGGTGGATTATCTGGTGTACCAGGCAAAGAACTTTTGATTCTAAGTGCAATAACCAGTTGCTCATCATTTTCAAGGTAACTAATCTTTCCTTCCACATTGCAGCTTCACACTAGCCTGAAGTTTTGTGATTATTCGTGGTCTTGAGTCTACTATATTCTGATTGTGCTCAATTATACTCGTGATAGGAAGGATCATCATTCATTTGGTTCAACTTCTGTAGCAACCTCTGCAACTGTGAATTGGATAGCATCTGGATTCACTACTGTTCTGTTTCTGGATGAATTATCTGCTTTGGTTGAGGTAGTTTTGCTAGTTCCTTGGTTGAAACAGTTTCAGTGATTCGTTTGAATCCCTTAATGTGTTATTTCATAAATCATATACATGTCAGTTGTGTTCATCTAGATTCATATAAGCAGTACAAAGTTTCAGTACCTTAGAAACAGATGGATGGCATATAATGCACCATTTTATGTTAGCTTTCTGTCTGTTTAACTGACCAACTTCTCTCAAAGTTGTTTGTAGTTTCCTGTGTTTGTGATGGTGGCTCATGCAATACAAGTGTGCATGTGTGTGTGAGTAAGAGCGAGTGTGTATGTAGTTCTGAGGCCATTAAATCTGGTTACGCGAGATTCTTGGAGGTTTCAGTTCCGGAAATTTGGTTTAAAACTCCAGTCTTGTCTCTTTGATCTCACTATGTTCTTCTTCTTTTTTTTTTTTGTGGTTAATACACTATGTGTTGTCAGATAATGAGGGAGCAGAAAGTTTTTTTCTTAGGCTATCCTTCTAATATTTGTAATGGACAAATAGTTTTGCGTTTGCTTTGACGTATTCAGTAATTTATATATGTCAATGGTGCAAGTTGTTCTTTGCATCTTTCTCTGATTATCTGCGGCAAGATGGTGTGGCTTCTCTGATTTTGCTTGCACTTATTTCATGCAGGTGGTCTCAAATTTATATAACCTCGTCTTACAAGTATTCACCTTCTTTGGCTCAAATGACCTAAGGTTTCTAGAACTACCAAGAGAAAACTGTACAGTATCCTCATCAAGAAGTGGTGAAATATGTGAAAATGGTGGAAAATGGATATGTCCTGTTCCTATACAGTCCTCATTTGGTTTGGAAATTATCTTTGAGCTTAATTCTATAGATGTAGTTCTCGATCATTCCAGGAAAAACCATAATGGGGACAACTACATGATACAAGCTCATGAGTTGACTAGCCAGAAGCTAACAGCCACCACTGTGCTTAATTGTGGTATTCATTTTTCCATTCAGCTGGCACGTGGACGATTTTGTTTTGGTGATGGAGTTGTGGAACATCTGATAGACTTGTCTGTTATTCGATGTGTCATAGTCAGACATCCGATTAAGACTGCAGTGACAGCCAATCAAATGTCCATTAAAAATCTGCTGCATAGTATGAAATGTTTGTGCGAAGCATCCTTGTCCAGTTGCAAATTTTATTTGTCTGTGAGGACTTCTGAGCAACCCTCAGGTCGCGGTTGTTGGGGAAGTGAAGCTGATGCTTCTACTTCATGTGATAGCCCATGCTTGTCAGAAAATTTCTATGCTGCGATGAAAATAAAAGGATCCAGGAATGATTCTCTTAATTGGCTCATTGCAAATATTGATTTAGGTGAAATATATTTGGCTGAAGCGACAGTAAAGAAAATGATAGTCAAAAGGCACAAAACTAACAATCTGAATGCATCTGTCTCCGCTGGTGAAAAATTTCAGACTGTGTGTTGCAAATCTGAGGTTCTTTTCTTGCAAATAGTTTGTACTTCTTTTTTCCTGTCTCTTTTACTTGGATTTGATGAGCACTAGAACATTGCAGGGGGGAGCAATTTTTCTTGAGACAGAAGCATTGCTGATATTTGTTCAGTGCCTGACTCTGTATTCCCGTCTTACACAAGCTATGCTACCATCTGCACCACCTGCAGAGAAACCCTTAGTTCCCAAACATGATGACACTGTGGAAACTTCTGAAAACAAGTCTACACAAGATTTTCAGCAACTCGTAAAGAACAACTGGCGACATGTGGAAACATTTTGCATAAATCTTACACAATTTACGCTCGCTGTTGTTTCTAGAGATGAATTTGGTAATAGTATTTCCTAGTACCTTCTTAAGTTCTGATTGTTAGAGTCTTGGTGTTGATGTGATTGTTCATATGCAGGAAGGTCTCAGGAACTTCTGTTTGAGGCAAATGCTCAATTAGATCTTGAAGTCTCAAATATGCTAAGAAAAGTTTCCTTTGGGATTCCAAAGTTCTCCATTCTTTCACGGGTTCTGCATGAAACAGCAGAACAAAAATATGCGGAAATTCAAGTGTCTCATTTTTCTTCTGCCACATGCAATGAAGATTCTCCTTCCAATGTGGTTGGAGGTCTTTCACTTGTTGTAGAGAATGAGAATGACATACATCATCTACCTCATGGTTCAAGTTCTACAAGAGTTTTGGCTCCTCAAAATGAACCTTTTGGTGGTGAATTGGAGGATCTACACATCAATGGTAGCCGATCCACTGTTGTGCAGTTAAGTCCTCAAAGCTATATATTGAAAGAGCTATGTGTAGCCGTAGTAGCTGAGTGGTCCACAGAAATGGATGGAGGGCAACCTTGGTATTTAAATCAACTTTGGCTGGGTGATGGTTCTATTACTGGTCTTGAAATGAATCTTTCTCTGACACAGTTACAGGTGATGAATCTCATAACTAATGTTTTATTATATTGATGTAACCTTTTTATAACAGATGTTATTTTTCTTTTTTATTGTTATATATGTACAACCTACTGAGGATTCTGAATAATAAGAAAGAAGTATCTTTATGAAACTACTGACAACTCACAGATCAACCTTAAGACATCTGTAAAAGTGAGATCCCTCCTACTCAACAATGTTGGTTACGAGGGCTCATGTATTTACTTCCTTTTCATGGTGTATCATGTGAGAATGAAGTTTGCTACTATTTTTATACATCTTCCAAAATAAATGACCTCTTTGACAGAAATTCGACATTGGCTATCTTCATGTGGCCTGTATAACTTGTGGAATGGAAAATGATTGTTGGTATAGGATCACCTAACAAGTTTGTTTCACTGATTAGAATGTTCGTGAAGTTTTAAGTATTTTAAGTTTGTTTGATCACTTGGAGTACATTTGCATAAAAATAGCTTAGCCCATGTCCACTATGTGGGTCAGGTGGAGTAACTTCTATAATGGGTGATGATTTTTTGAATATTGATCATGTTTGTTCCCTTGTTCTAACTTTGTTACATATATCAGGTGATTCTCTCAGTTGTTGAATCTTTATCGACCGCTTTTACTGCTGAGAAAAGGAGTAATTCCATACGGCCGCAAATTTCCAAAAACCAAGAATCTGAAGAAAATGCGCGGGGGCAAGTTCCTGATGGTATTGCTTATTTTAGCAGTTTCAGAAAGTTCTGTTGTTTCGTTCTGCTTAATGGTATTTGTTTTAGCTCTACCGAACTCTGCTCTGTTTACAGGAATAGTTGTAGCAATTGAAGATGTCTATCAACATACATTTATTGCAACTGAAGCTGCAGGAACTGGCTATGAGTTAGTTGGAACAGTTCATTATTCGCTTGTTGGGGAAAAAGCTCTTTTCAGGGTATGATGTACATCCAATTTGTGTGATCATTCAGTGTGTAAGTTAATCATTTCAAGTTTACTTCTTGATCTATCACTGCATGATCACATGTTGTGTCACATATGTTATTCTTGGGCTATAACCAAGTTGGGCAACTGTATACACATTATTTAAATTTGAAGAGTTTTAGTATTTGCCTGTTGTTGTACTCTGGCTGCCAGCCTTTCCTTAACGTGATAACTTTTGTGGTGGGTGATTCTAGTGACAAATGAAGAACTGTGTGAATGGATATCTGACCAGTAATAATTAATTTCCTCTAATTGAGAAGATTGTGGTATTAGATTGACTTCTTTTATGATAATGGCTAACAGGAGATACATTCTACTGACCTTAGTTGTATAAATGAATGCACTAAATGCTTATGTTAATATTTCTGGGTTTTTTCTTTTATTTTTATTTCCAGAAACATTGCTGCTGACTTTTAGAATTCCACCCGTGTGAAATCGAGAGCTTGACATGTTTGATGAATACAATAGTATTACTGAATGTTTGGCCTTCTCTTCTCATTTAGCTGAAGTGACATGAAATTGCAGTAGCCATCCTGGCTGTTTCTTTTTCCTACATATTTATCCCCTGTGAAAAGGAAATTATATTTCTTTTTTCCACCATGTTTATTTGGAAACTTGACCTTCATTGAAACTTGTATAGAAGCTCTTTTGCAACTTACTACATTGTAGTTCATCACTCAAATCATCTTTCCAGATAAAGTATTCTGTTAATTGCGGTGCCTTTTAGGTGCCAAATGAGCCATTCTTTTAGCAGTTGAGAGAAAATGAGAACCTAATGAGATAGAGGTTTTAGCATGTTTCTTTAGGCATTCTCATGAATGTTGTATCGAATGGCTAGGGTAGCAGCTATTTTTACCTTTTCTCTTCTTCCTAGAAAAGAAAAAATGGTTGGAAAGAGACAGCTATTTATCTTTTATTGTTTTTTTCCTGATCTCTTTGAATGCTGATCATAATACTTTTTCTTTCCCCATCGATATTACCACTGAATGACCTCTTCCTGTAAATCGAATTAATCAGTCCTCAAGCTGTCTTTGTAATCCTATTTCATGATGTCGGCATCTCAGGTGAAGCATCATAACACAGGAAGATGGAAGCCACGAATTCAATATTTCTCTTTGATCTCGTTGTATGCTAAAGATGCCTCTGGGGAGCCATTAAGATTGAGTAGCCAATCGAGATCCGACTTTGTTGGTGTTTCGGTCTCAACTGACACTCCACGGGCACTTTGGAGTACAATACCTTACAGACCTGAGACTTACAGTGGCCATTCTGATTGGGAATCGGATTCCTTTTCCATTAAAAATACGTTTTACCTAGTGAACAAAAAGAATGATCAATCAGTAGCTTTCCATGATGGTGTCCTGGAATTTGTCAGCAAGCCTGGAAATCTCTTTAAATGGAAATTTTTCCATGAGATGCTTCCACCCGGTAATAGTTTGCCGTTAACTAGCAGTTTACTGGGAACTGCAGGGCCAGCTATTCGGAATGATTTGCAGGTAAATGATAATAGAGAGTTGAGAAATGGTTCGAGCAAGCGCGGAATTACAATTGTAGTAAACAAGGCTACACTGACCATTGTTCATGAACTCTCGGACACAACAGAAAAGTTTCCACTCCTCCAAGTATCTATTAATTCTACTGAATTCATCATACAGATATCCGAGAGAAAAGCCAGGTTTATGACCTGGCTAGAGATGATGTTGCTTTACTTCGATTCCCAGAGAAACCTGTGGTGAGTATCTGTGTAAGGAAACTGTATATGTTTATCTTACTCCATTGTTTCATGCAAATAAATCTTGATGATGGAAATATATTGCAGGAGAGAACTTGTCAGTCCACTTGAAATTTGCATTTTTTTCCGCTATCGGTTCCTCATCCAGGGTCCAGAAAATGTATTTTGTGGAGTGCCTGGTCATTTTTTTGCTAAAATCAAAGAGGTGGTGTATCTGATTGTCCTAATATTATTGCTTACATTCTACTATTTTTTTCCCCGATGATTTACTGTTGTTGATTTGGCAGTTAAACATATCGCTGAGTGAGCTGTCACTGGATGTCCTCCTTTTTGTGATTGGGAAACTGAAACTCGCAGGCCCTTTTGCAGTAAGGAGTAATGTTATCTTCGCCAATTGCTGCAAGGTTTGGAATTTTTCCTAATAGATATGTAAAGGATATAGCTACCTAAGTTGTCCATTCCACGGATCTAGTTCTGTATTTCCTTGTGCATTGAGGGTGCGTTTCTGGATTAATATGCCTGATGCAGCACAAAGCGTGTGTCATTTATAACACTGTCTAGGCTCATTATCTTTAAATCTGTGTTTATATCCTTCTGGTCTATTTGATTGGATCTTGTCATTTCTTAGGGTTTAGTCATAATTTCCAAAGTAGATGAAATTTGCAATTATTAATTTTAAGCATCCTATTTACAACCCTGTTTTTGCTAAGGGCAATTTGCTCTGTCGTAAGTACGGACTTCTTTTAAGTTTTGATAGACCAATTTGCCTTCATATTTTAGTGCATGGTTTAGATATTTCATTACAACTTTTTCGTGTGCCAGTTAGCTATACTATTAATGTACATGGCTATAGTATAATTATTTAATGAAATATGGGTTCTAGTTGTGGCATCCCCCTTTATCATTTATATTTGAAATAGGTCACTGTGCATCTCATTAAGGTGCTGATCTTTTGAAAGTTTTATGCCTGTGATATCTTATGTAAATTTTATTAATGCAGATTGAGAACAAGTCTGGCTTAACATTGTTATGTCAGTTCTACGATGGCCAGCATGTTACAGTAGCTGGAAGACAAACTAATGTGATTTGTCTCAGGTGCTTCTCTGAAACTGTCTCTGCAAATTCAGTGTGTTTGGCGTATCTGATATTAGGTGTATAATTTGGGAGGGAGTTTGTTACTCCCTGAAATTGAATTAATGGCATTTGTCGCGTTGTAAGTTTTGTATAGAGAAAACCCACATGTGGCGTAAAGGCTTAGTTGCTGTAAAAGTAAATTATTTTTCATGCATCTATTGGTTCAGAAGATTCTACAGACACTCTATAATATGTTGGTTTACTATTGTTATTTCAGCTTTTTTTGGCTCTTACAATGGTACTTTTTGTAGGCATGTAGCTTTACCAACTCGACCTCCTGAAGCATCATTCTTTTCAATCCAGCTTGCAGACAAAGGGCTATCTACTTATCTAATTCATCTTTCACTTCTTGAAGCTGCAGCATTTACTTGGAGAGCACGACTAGTCTCACCACAAGGTACGTAACACGGCTACTTTTGCTGCCAATAGAGAGTAATAACTGGCGCATGGGTGTTAGTTTATTGCTAGCGAGTTCAAAGACGATTGCAGAATCTTGTCCTGTCAAGAAATATGTCATTTAGGTGATCAAAATTTTACACTTTAACCAGTAGGAAGACTGTATTAGATTTTGTTTGTTGACATACTCATTGCTTAAGAGAAGAAACACTAGAACTTTTAAATATGTAGTGTAGCCTTCCAGTAATCTAGAAGTACACATGTGAGAGATGGAGTTTTATCAGTACACAATTCCAATTCATGGAGTCCGGTATCAATTTTATGGGGAAAATTATAATTTGTCTGCGCAAGTTGTGTTACATGAAACAATATATATAGTGCTTTGTGTTTTCATAAACTCTTTTGGTATAAGTTTAAACTGATTTATCTTCTTTCTCCATTAATGATGGTCAGAATCAAAAACCTTCCCAGGGCCATTTGTTGTTGTTGAAGTTTCGCAAAAGAACGAGGTATATGTTTCTAATGCCTTTAGCATAATCATTATGGTTCAAACCTACAGAAATTCTGTTCAAGACTTCAATTGTTTATTTCCACTCCCTGGTACATGTAGGATGGTTTGTCAATTGTTGTCTCTCCTTTGTTGAGAATACACAATGAAACCGATTTTTCGCTGGAGCTTCGTTTTCAGAGACCACAGGGAAAGGAAACCGAGTTTGCGTCCTTAGTTTTGAAAGCAGGGGAATCTATTGACGATTCTATGGCTACATTTGGGGGAACTACTTCAACAGGTGGAATCAAAAAAGCATTCACGTCCCTTAGTATTGGTATGAAACCGAGCATGCTCTTTCTTCTCTTACTAGTCAAACCATTTTCATTTAAATGAATTAATACTCCTAATTTGTTCTCTCTCTCCTCCTTTCTTCCAATTGTCTTATCTGAACTGTTATTCAGAAATTCATTGTAGATTTCTCAAGTTTTATTTTATTTTATTTTATTATTACTATTATTTTTTTCTCTCAGCTCTTTCTTCCCCTAATTTAAGACAATGTTTAAACTATTACCCAGATTTGGGTGTACAATCAAGCTCATAACGGACTATTAACTTAAGACAATAAAATACCAGCTTCATGTTTTTTCATTTTTTTTAATGATATGCACTTGTAGATGTGAAGTTGGACGCTCAAAAGGTGTAGGAAGCTTTGAGCCTTTTTATATGGCTTGAAAAAGGCCTTCTTCGGTCATTTCTTGACTTATAAGATTTTTGCCTATTGAGGTCACTGTTGACCTCTACTAAAACTCTTTCCTCTATGCCACTCAAATAACAAAGTTCCTTAACACTTGTGACTGTTCCCTGGCAGCTTTTGGTAGGCTTTACATAATTTCAATAGCCTTCTTGCTTGCTGTTTATTTCCTTCTTCCTTTGGGCAGTGAATTCGGCCTCTTAAAGAATTAAATAGATGAAATGGCCCATTAACCAACCTTGTGCCAGTACGTTGGACATTCTGGTGACAGTCCCTTACTAGTTCACCTGTGCATATATAATACCATCCTTGATGCCATTTTTCATAGGGAAGTAAATTTTAGAGGGGAATGAGCAAAAATGGCTTCTTGTTGTTGTTGTTTTTTTTTTTTTTTTCGTTTCTTTCTTCGTTCTTTTTTTATTTTTAATAGTTCGGAAGGAATTAAGGAATTAAGTTTACCTTTGTCTGAGATAAATTTAGAAATTTGACAGCTTTGAATTTATTTGCAGGCAATTTCCTGTTCTCTTTTAGGCCTACAATTGCAGATAACTTGCTGCATGTTAATGCTTCTTCTGTGGAGTGGTCTGATGAACTTAAAGGTGGAAAACCTGTGCCTTTGTCGGGTATATTTGAAAAATTAAGTTACCAAGTCCGGGCAGCATTGGCTGTTGAATCAGTGAAGAATTCGTTTAGTACTGCACATTGTTCAGTGAGATTAGAAGGTGGACGAATTGGTGACATATATTTTCTCATCCAAAGCATTGGAAAAGATGTTCCAGTCATCAAACCGGATAACATGGGATATGTCTCAGCTGACAAAAATCCTCCCATTGCTCTGCAAGAACAGAAAGAAATATTTCTCTGTCCTACTGTTCATGTCACTAACTCATTGGAAATGGATATACATGTCAATTTAACGGATTCAGGTTATAACTTAATCTTTCTAATCATTTATTCGTTTGATGATAAGTTATGAATCATGATCATTGACTTTATTGGCAGTTCCACAAGGCACGACAAATCATGACAACCTATACAGAGAAGCTAACATTCCATGTGGATCAGATGTAAACTTTTATGCCAATCCTTCCAATATATTCTTTACGGTTACTCTGACTGCCTTTGATTCAAGTTGCAAACCAGTCAGTAGTAGTCTCTGGGCTAAAAAGTTGCAGAAGCAAAAAAAGAATGCTGATCATCTAGACATTGAGTTGGATTTTGGTGGTGGAAAATATTTCGCATATTTAAGATTATCTCGGGGACAAAGAGGAATTTTGGAGGTAGTTATTGAAAAAATGCATTTTTTGAAATCCATTTCAATCTTTATATCCTTTCCTTTGTTTCTTAGTATGCTGCCACCAGTTATTGTTATTTGTTTTTGTGTAGGCTGCCATCTACACCCCTTACACATTGAGAAATGATACTGAAAATGCTCTCTACTGCTTTGGAGGCAACCAGAAGCCTCCATCCAGGTAGTCATGGAACTGATCACTGTATTTGGCAATTCTTTTTTCATAATTGGTGTATGTTAACCTTGGGTTGCTTGTGTATGGATTTAGAGATGAAGTTACAAAGTTTGGTTCAAGATTTCCTCCAGAGCTAGGTGTTTATTTGCCCCCAAACTCTAGAAGATCATGGCTGATAAAGTAACTCTTTCTCTCTCTCGCTGAGTGTTATTTTCTTTCCTTCAGATGGGTAAAGTGTGTTTGTGTGTGTATTGGTACCCTGATCTCCTTTGTTATTTGTTCACTAACTACAGATACCCCAAGGTCTGGGTTAAACTTGTGGAAGAGCAAGCATTTGAGGCACTTCTGAACTTGGATTCTTTGTCACGCTTTGCACAGATAGATCTTGAAGCTGAAGAAAAAGGCTCTAAAGAGGTCACAAAGCTGGGAATCTCCTTAAAACCATCTTCAGTTGAAACAGTCCCATCGCTGATAGTATCTATCAGCCCTCGGCATGTTGTTTTGAATAAATCAGAAGAACTGATCTTTGTCCGTCAATGTTATCTGGAGGTTCGCTCTTGGCTTTTTTATTTTGTATAGTTAATATATCGTGAAAAATTTCATGGAAATACAGTTTATGAATTTGTTTGACTCTTTTCCACTTCTTTTTTTTTTTTTTCCCTTTTGGAGAAGGATGACAGGGTAATTACAGTTAACAGCAAACAGAGAACAGCCCTTAAGTTGCAGAACAGACCAAGAAAAAATGGAGAAACTACTGTTTTTGAGAATCTTCTCAGAAAGCATTCAAAACCTCTTGATGATCATAATTTGTTCATTCAATTTCGTTTAAATGATTCCAACTCTTGTTGGTCGGGACCAGTGTGCGTTGCCTCCCTTGGACGGTTTTTCTTGAAATTTAGAGGATACTTGTTGGACACTGCAAGCGAATTAAATGGCTTGATGCCTGATCATCCAAATTTATGTAAATTTGCCTTGGTTCATGTGGTAGAAGAAGATTCTACCCTTGTATTGCAATTTCAGAGGTCACCTAATGTGGAGATGCCTTATCGGATTGAGAATTGCTTACGGAATACTCCTGTGACATATTACCAAAAGGTAGAGTGGAGAACACCTTGATCTTGCATATTAGAAATATCATTTTCAGAGAAGAATACCGAAACATTCTTTTCTGCTGTTGAAAATTCCCAGGGTTCATCGCAGCCAGATATTTTGGGATCTTGTTGCAGTGTTGATTATGTATGGGATGACCTGACTCTTCCGCATAAGCTGGTTGTGCAATTAGATGGTACCTCTTCCCCATTCATAATATTGGACGTTTAGTTGATATGTTGCTGTGCATATCTTTACATTCCTATTAATCCATATTCTGATATCTGACTGTTGATATGTTTTTGCATTCCTATTAGGATGACCTGACTGTTGATATGTTTTTGCATTCCTATTAATCCATATTCTGATATCTTTACAAAGGCTGTTATATCTAAATCATTATATATAATGGAAAGAAGTTCTTGTTGTCGACTTGAAACATGTTTCACAAAAGGTAATAAGTTTAGTTGCTGCGCATGTTTGTTTTTCAAGCGCTGAGCGTTGGCTAAGTTAATTGAAAAATTAATGAAATGAATCACATGAATTTAACCGACCTTATCACTTGGCTAATCTTCTATAGAGAGACATTTGACAAATTTATGCTAAGCCTGCGAAGCAGTTTCACTGGCTTAGGGAGAAATTGGAGAATTTATATCAATTTTGAGGCTGCTGTGTAATCAATTTTATGGTTGATTTGGATTTGCTGAATTAAATCAGCGGTGTTGCAGTTTTTGATTGGAATAGTACAAATGTTGTGACGTGGAGTGGAACTGATTGTTAACAGTGGCGATGTTTAGTGCTTTTGCAGATTTTATTGAAGTTAGCCAGGAGCCAATGTGTACAATACTTTTCGCGAGCTTTTTATAATTACAATACTTTTCATGAGCTTTAAATTATGATACTTTAGACAGTGTTCCCCACAGTCAAGTCGTAGATGTACATGACTAGAGCTCCTATTTTGGCAAAGTCGGGTACCTTGTGTGGAGCTTGTGTGCATCCAATACGTATATCTTCTGCATTCAGTAACATTCTTGCTGTGGCTTTGGAAACCAGTTGAATGTAATAGCTTTTGGTGGAAAATCACTTATGTTGTCATGTGTGAGTGCCAATTTATCTCACTTCTTGCAGATATCCATCTATTGCGGGAAATCAATTTGGATAAAGTGCATGCCTGGAAACCATTTTACAGAGCCTACCAACGAAGAGGAATGGGATTGCAGTTCCCAGTGGAAGTTAAATCTGGAGAGAACAAGAAGAATGGTTATGTTCAGTTAATTAGCACAGAGACAATGAAGTTGGGTTATGAAGTATATGCAGAAGGACTTACCCGAGTTCTGAGAATATGTGAATTTTCTGATAGACATCAGGGCAGTACCGTGTTATACTCCAGCACTAAACTACGATTTGGAATTTCTTACTTTGCACTGCAATTGTTGGAATTTGCAAAAAAGGTCAGTTTCTTACATATTTTTGTATTTAGGCGTATTCTCGATGTTGTAATCTTCAGCTTCATTATCATCTTCGCATATTCCTGGAACTCTTTAATCCTTATAGCTTTAGCAGAGTTATAACTTTACAACAACAACAACAACCCAGTATATTCCCAACTCGGTTGGGGTCTGGGGGGTCAAGATGTACGCAGCATTACCCCTGTACATCAATATAGAGGGGCTGTTTAAGTAGTACGACCCAAGATGCATTGGTGCATTTATGTATAGATTTCCGGAAACTTCACCAAATTAAGAAGCGCCGGAATTTAGATGAGCCATTTTGATCTAATCCATTATTAGCACAAAGCTGAAAGAATTGTCAATGATGACTCTTCCAGCTCCATTTGCAATGGATATAAGCAGAGTTAAAATACTTGATAATCTTGTCTCTTGAGATTTTTCTTTGAGGATATTCATGCAATACCACAACAGAAATTTTGGTTCATAAAGCAGAGTTATAACTTTATGAACCAAAATTTCTGTTGTGGTATTGCATGAATATCCACAAAGAAAAATCTCAAGAGACAAGATTATCATGAATTTTATGACTTTTGTTTACTATCAATTAGGGGTGAATTAGTTAGAAATGGCATGTTCTAGTAAGGCTACCGCAAAGTTTGGCGTATGAGACGGAGCTGATAGCGATTCTCTCGAAGGGGCCTGGTAGCTAAATACTTCCATGTCCCCAAAAGAGCATGTTTCTTTTTCTTTACGTTTAATACCCTTATATATGTGTTAATCAAATTAAGGTTTTCAGGGTTCTTTTGTTTGGAGTTAATGTTTTCAAGGATTTGTTTTTTGTGAAATGAAGCGATATCAGTATTTTATGTGGCATAATGAAAAATATTCTCTTGGTATAGATGTAGACACACTCCATTCTCTGGACATGTTAGGGTCTGATAGACTTATGTGCTCGCAATAACATATAGCAGTATCTTGGATTCTATTGTGGGATCCTTTAGTGGTGTTGGCCATTCTGTATACAATGGGAAATTGTATTCTTTTCGTTGCTAGACCGTGTTTGTTCACTGGAACTTGATTGCCATTTTTCCTTAAAAAAAAGAGGCTGAGATAGATAATCATTGTGCTATCTGCCTTGCCTGAATACACAGAAGTTTATAGTTCTCTTGACTTTGTAGGCCATAATATAGTGTGTGGGAAATGTTACCTGTAACACAAACCATTTTCTTTTGCTTAACCATGCTTTCAAACTGCTGAAGGACGAAGATGTTGGTGATGCTCTGATTTACCAACCCATCATTATCATCCGGCTTGAAAACATTCATATGTATTCCATGGTTACCGACCAGCACAATGTCAATGACTTCACTGTGAAGGTAAATCATACTTATCTGATGTTTCTTTATGATTGCTTGTCTGCCTCTAAAGTCTACTTTTTCCTGATGGACTGTTGTCAGCTGATGCCTTGATTTTCGTAATGGTTTAGTCGTTGACTGTGGAAGAGAAGAGGGTGGGAGCTCCTTTTGCAGCTATGCTGCGTAAGCATCAATCTCATGCCAATGACACTAACGATTGCATGCTCCAAGTGGTGCTTGTTCTACTTTCATCAGGTTCTGCAGTTACACATATCAAATATTTATCAATCATCTTGCAGGTAAAAAAGAAATATGCTGTATTCTTTTGTATTTTTTTTTCCCTTTGCATTTTTCTTTCGACCCTGTTTATCACCAATATGGTTTAGTTTTCTGAACATCATATTTTTGCAGCCACTTGATTTGAATCTGGATGAGGAAACCCTCATGGGAATTGTTCCGTTTTGGAGGAAATCACTTAGCGACCCAAATGCTCCAAGTCGGCAGTATTATTTTGATCATTTTGAGATTCACCCTATAAAGGTTAATGTTCTTCAAAGCTAATTTCTATTAGTGACCGGTCAACTTCTGAAAACTGTATGATCACAAGGTCGGTGCAGGCTTTTACAAATTGACATAGATGTCTTTATGAGTTAATATACTCATGTTTGTCTTGTTACAGATAGTGGCAAGCTTTCTTCCAGTGGACATGTACTCCAGTTACACCTCCACACAGGAGATGCTAAGATCCCTGCTTCATAGTGTTATTAAGGTCTACTCTAAAATATTTTTTACTTTTTGTTCTCTGGTTTTTATGTCGCATTTAGTGTATTCCTGTTTTAATCAATTCCCTTCCCTCATAGCAGAAACTGATTCTGTGATCCTCTTCTTGAACAATATTTGGCGGCAGATTCCTACCATAAAGAATAAGACCATGGAGCTCAATGGAGTACTTGTCACGCATGCTTTAATAACCTTGCGTGAATTATCAATTAAATGTGCTCAACATTACTCGTGGTATACACCTTATTTTCTCTCGTCTTTTGCCCTTGGTGTACCACGCTTGATTATTTGTGAGAATTACTTGGTTTTTCCAGGTACACTCTGAGGGCAATATACATTGCAAAGGGAAGCCCCCTGCTTCCACCTTCTTTTGCATCTATGTTCGATGACTTCTCTTCATCGTCTCTCGATGTGTTTTTTGATCCTTCAAGTGGCATGATCAATCTTCCTGGTCTTACTATGGGTATCTCTCTCTCTCTCTCTCTCTCTCTCTCTCTCTCTCTCTCTCTCTCTCTCTCACACACACACACACACACACACATGTGCATGTCAAAGTGAGCAGACTATGTAGTTTTTCAACTCCTGTTCACTTTTCTTCTGCAAGAAATTGTGTATTTCTTACATCTGCCATGTTCTCCCAAGATCATTCTCATACATTTCTTTCTTTTGGTGATAAATATCACAAATTTTCTCTTCCAATAAAAATATGTGTGTTGACCATGCACGATGGCAACATATGATAGTAGCAGACCTCACATAGTGGGATAAAGACTTCTTGTTGTTTTTAGTTTTTTTATTTTGTCCCTTTTCTTCTCTCTTCATAAATCTGTTATCATCAATGTCCGTCTTCTTTTTTGTAATGTCCATTGAGGCTTCTAGATGATCGCAGGTTTCTGATGCCATATAGTTTGTGGAGGGTGTTGAGGAAATTTCTTTGTTGCATTACCTTTCATTTATTATTTAATGGAGCCTCTATTGTTTGTTTATAATAAAACAGGCACATTGAGATGGCTAAGTTTACTTTATTTCCGTTACTGCAACGTCACCCTAAAACATTTTTCTGCTTATTTCTATAACTGCTTGCTGTTCTTTCTATGCCACAGTAGTGATAGTTCCTTTATGCACCGAAAAGTTTCGAACGTCAGATCCATTTTTATTCTCTATAATATGGTTCTAAACTAGCACACTATCTAGTCGGTGAAACGCATATATAGAACTGTGTGCCATGTACCATTTAGTTACTTGGGTTGAACCCACTTTGATATGCTACGCAACATGCTAAAATTGTTCAAATATAGGTACATTTAAATTTATCAAGAAATGCATTGATGCTAAAGGGTTCTCTGGAACAAAGCGTTATTTTGGTGATCTGGAGAAAACAGTAAGATTTATTACTTTCAGATTTTGATTCAAATGAGTACATAATTTGCAAAAAGTATCTTACTGAATTATCTTCTGCGTAGTTACAAAAGGCGGGATCGAATATATTATTTGCAGCCGTCACAGAAGTATCAGACTCAGTCTTAAAGGGAGCTGAAACAAATGGTTTCAATGGAATGGTAGGAATCTGATTTTACTGATTGTGATGTTCATTATTGTTCCCTTAATCTTATGACCTTGTCTTTCGATAGATGCGTGGATTTCGCCAAGGAATTTTGAACCTAGCAATGGAGCCATCCTTGCTGGGAAGTGCACTTATGGAAGGTGGGCCGGATCGGAAAATTTTGCTTGATCGAGCCCCTGGTGTTGATGAGGTAACCTGTTAGGATAATCTTTTTAATGTTACCAAAGATAAGTACTTTTGCTAGAAATGCCACCTAACCAACTACAAACTTGATTTTTCAACTTCAAGATGTCTCGAGGGTCATAAATGTAATTTGTGCAATGGTTCCATGGTTTGAAGCATTTTTTTTTAAAGGTACTTGTACAATTGCTGTGTTGCTATTACTGATAACAGTAACTAGCTACACCAGCCATGCATTTGATGATGATAATGCACAAGTTAGTTTCTTTGTTAACTCTATTGTCTTTACTGATTGATTGATATGCAGTTATATATCGAAGGTTACTTGCAAGCTTTATTGGACGCGTTATATAAACAAGAATATCTCCGAGTGCGAGTCATTGACAACCAGGTATCTTGATCAAATGTTCGGGTTTTCTGATCGTTTTAGTAGGTCAGAGACAGTGCTAACATTTTTATTGCCTGATATACCATATTAATTATATGGCACGTGATCAAGGTGAACTAATTTATTGCGTTTGCATCATGCATGCATAAATACCCTTGCGAAGCGGGGATCCTTACGGCACTGCAGATTGTTTTTTATTATGGTTTTGAACTACTCTTTTGCTGAATTGCAGGTTATACTAAAGAACCTTCCTCCAAATAGCTCACTTATAAATGAAATTGTAGAACGTGTAAAAGGATTTCTTGTGAGCCGGGCGTTGTTAAAGGGAGATTCAACAACTGCTCATTCTTTTCGCCGCATTCGAGGGGAAAACGTAAGACCTTTTGTGTTCTGTAGATGATTGCAACTCAGCGTTATCTTGGAGCTTTAGTCTGATTAAAGCCTGTAGGCTGAAACAAAAGTCCATCCAAAATAAGATCCATTTAGGGAACTAATAGGGCTACAAGCCTACATCCTTTGGCTACAATACATGTCTAAAAGCATTTGTTGTGTGCAATATTTGTGTGAAAGGTTTTCGGGGTTTATGCTTTAATGGCTAGTGAGTGGCTATGTGGCTCTAGGCTTAAATTGACTTCTAGAGCACTGGTCAAAAAAAAAAAAAGGACTTCTAGAGCAGGTTTAAAATTACTGTTCAAATTACATGACCTTTTTTTTTTTTTTGGCTTTTATCAGGAATGGAGAATTGGACCAACGGTGCTTACCCTGTTTGAACACCTATTTGTAAGTTTTGCAATTCGTATATTAAGAAAGCAAGCTGGAAGGGTCATGGCGAGAGTAAATTTGAAAGAGAAATCAGGGTCTGAAAATCAGAAATCTATTGTTCCTATGTTCAGTGGTGTGGAGCAGAAACTGAATCTTGTTTGGAGATTTGGGATTGGGAAGTTCATTTTGTCAGGTATAGTAGCTTATATTGATGGGCGCTTATGTCGTAGTATTCCGAATCCCATTGCACGAAGGGTGGTAAGTGGATTTTTGTTGAGTTTCCTTGACAAAGATGAAAAGGAATAGATTTATTTTCTGATTAACTTGATGTAAGTTGAACGCAGCCAAAGAACCATTTTACTGACCTAGGAATTTTGAGGACAGTTGTGCCATGTACATAGAAGTCTCAGAAGTAATTTTTGTAATCACTGTGCATATTAGAAATAAAATTACTATACATTAATATTATATCTCAAAGAGCTTTTTCATCTTCTTCCCTGTACTGAACTGTGCGACAGACTAGTGAAATAGCTTAGGGACAGATGTAGTGAAAAATACGCGCCTTTTGTCCTAAAATTACGGTCTTGATTTTTTGAATTCAAAAAACATTACTCTTCCACTAATTGAATTCTACTTTGGAAAGTAGTAATTCCTTATGGTATATATCTCCTATTTGGCTGGATGTGAGATAATTTCCAGTTTTAGTTGTTTTATCCTTCTATTTATGTGTCGGTTCAATGATTTTTTGTATGCGCTTAGTTCTCAAGCATTTTGAGTTTACTTTTGCGACAAGACATTGTCACTTATTTTAATCAGCATCAGACAGGGTTAACACCTTGTCAATCGCTGGATCACATTTGACAAAATCGCCAGAATTAGAAGGGCATGGAGTTCAAACTCAGTTTGGAATCTAATAATGCACTTTGTTTAATTAGGAAGGTTTCTTTTAAAAAGGAATTAGGAATACAATATTTGCACATCAGCACAATATCCGTGCCTCATTTTAAGATTATATAAAATGAACGCTGTAACCTTAGACCTTGGTCATGTTTTGTCCTTGCCTATACGGTAAAATATAGGATTGCGACCTGAGATCAGCTTCATCATAATCTAACACAAAATCAATGCGATGGAAATCAGCAAGGAAAAACTGCATCCTTTCCTTTCGTGTCAAGTACAGAACAATATGCAGAGATTATACTCTTTTTGGAGCTTGGCAACACTATGAGGCATTGAAAACTGCTTGTCTACTTTAGTAAAATAAAAAAATGTATCATTCATCACTTAAAGTAGGGATTGACAGATTAAGTGTTGTCAATTCTACACATACCCTTTATAACTACAGAATACAAACACCAGTAAGACCAAATGAAAATCTGCGCAAATAAGACAATGAAAGCATTGGCAAACAGCTGCAGGTTATCTAACTCTTCTATACCGAGAATGGTGAAAATTGGTATTACAATAAAGTGAATTACATTTCACAAAGAACACAGATCCAAGAAGATCATTGATTTCCAGTTGAAGCAAGCTAACTTTAACTTGTCACCTCTTAGATAGTAAGCCAGAAGTAGAAATAAGCCGTAGCGCTTGACCTGAATTGTTCAAAACGGCCGAGGATCTGGAAACTTGCATTTTTCGTTTCTTAAGAAAATCCAACGAACTCTGTAAGCATTGAGGTGGGGGTATCTCCTCAAGAATTACAGGTTCTAACCTGCCGACCATAATGTAAATGAGAAAAGTTAGATGTTCCCGTCTTATTTATTCACTTTGATTGGAAATCCTTAGGTTTAAATTGATCTTTTCAGCAAATAGAAAATAAGCAGCCCCATACCCTGTTCTTTTTGTTCTTTTCTTCAGTGATGAAGGCTTCTTTGTGGGTTGATCTTCTTCTAATTCCGATGAGAAAACTTTCCTGTAGGCAAGGCTCATAAGAAAAACCAGTAAGAACCTGCAATGGACAAAGGAATGTCTATTTCAAAATCAGGACAAGGAAGTAGCATATAGGTCATACTTCTCACGGGCTGCAAGCTGTTTAACTATTTCATCAGGCAGCATCCCTATTCTACCAAAGGACTCTGTTCCTGTTTCATCTTCCTTAACATCCTCAATGCTCTCCTTCACATCTTCAATGCTCTCCCCCTCTCGTGATGATTGTGGAATCAACTTTTGAGCCCATCGTCTCCGTCGCTCCTTTCCCTCACGAGCAACTCTACAACAAGTGAATCAAACATTTGCACAACAGTATGAGATCAAATGACATGACATTAAATGATAATTAAGATATAAGACAAGCCACATATAACAGCAAAGTTCTTATTACACTTTCCCAAAACATCTTATTAATATCCATCAGTCCTCCACTCCTCCTTAAAGCATAGCCAGAGGGCAGTATAGCTCCTAGATTAGTTATACATCCCTTAATAATGCAAATATATCATCAATTCCTAAATATGAGCCAAGGACTTAAAGTATATTCACTCATGAGATAAGCTTTTACAAGGGTTCAGAAATTCCAAAACACTCCGACAATTGCACAATTCAGAAAAAAGCATTAATATCTTCTTAGGGGAAAAAACAAACAAAAAAAACAAAAACATAATTATCAACTCAATATACAAAATTATCAAAAGAATGCACTCAAGCTGACTGGAGCAGTGACATGAAAAATGAAATACAACCAAAAAGTGTCATTAACTAATTCCTAATTTTGAGCTTCCCAGGTGCCAAATCAATCTATTACCGAAAAGACTGGATTTCAACAGATCATAATTTGGACAAAAAAAAAAGAAAAAAGAAAAAATTATATATATCGAGGAGGATGAAGAATCAATCTATAAGTATTAAAAAACTTTTGTCATGGTTCTATGGAAAATGTAGAATAGCTATACCTGGCCTTTTCTTCACTTTGAACTCTTGACAATTGTTGGTGTTGCTCAATCCCCTGCAGAGTTCATTGAGTACAGTTAAATGGATGCGATTATAAATAATTGAAGTAAGTCTATGCTAAAGCTTAATCTGATAGAATCAAGGACCTGCTGGGAAGTGAATTCCTCCGGCGCATCGGAATCACTTTCTTCTTCTCTTCCGGACATCTCTAACCAAAGCTGAGCAAAAATCTGACGAAGCTTTTGTATCAGGGGGGGTTTAAGGATTTGATGGAGTTAGGGTTTTGGGCAAATGCTTCTTTTTATGAATCGGTAATCACGGGATTCATCTTCGGAATGTGGAATTCCGGGCTTTGTTTTGAGTACAGACGTTCAGATTCGGAATTGGGCTGATACCCAAATCGTAATGTGGGCTGGAATTGACCTTTTCTTGTCCATTTTATTATATTTTCTTTTTCTTCGTATTTTCATTTTCTGTACAGTTTTTTTTTTTCTTTTCAATATCAAAGACTTTCAGATGTGGAAGAATCTAGGTCTACGTAAGTCAACGAGACCCAAATATGAATGATTGTTTGTCCAAAGCCCCCTTCCCCCACGGCAACATAAATCTCTTTCCACTTTTTTCAAGCTTGAGAAGGGAATTCTGAATGTGAAATATACTTTATTTGTCCCAAAATTATTATCCAATTTGTATTTTTACTTTTGATTTAAATTTATAGTAAAACTGAAATTCCAAATTGGACAATAATTTTGGAACAGAAAGAGTATACTTTTACAATATATATATGTTTTGCACTAGGTTCTTACTTCACCTAATTAGCTACATTTGTTTCGTCATCTGGAAACGAAAAGTGTTTAATTTGGTACCGGATGTCGATTTAACTGACGCAACTTGGTAAAAAATAAAGTCGTCCTTCTCTCTACAATTCTAGTGAGAAAATGTACTGTTTCCTTCTCTCCAAGATTTTCAATCTAGCCTTTTATTCCTTCCTTTAACTAGATTTTCCTTGACACCTTTCTTGATCCCGCCCTTGGTTTTGGAACAAATCACTCTCTAATCCCACTATCCTTGGTTTCCCTAATTAAAAAGAACCCCCTCAACTTTTCTAGCTATGCTCTCGATCTGCACTTAGTTGCCATTTGGACGCCATGCATTTCCTAGTCTTGTCATACAATTTTTTAAATCCGTATAGGTTAAGCATTCACATAATTTTCTCCAGTGGCTTTAGCCTTTATAAGTCAGGTTGTTTATCAGAATTTGCACCTTTTTTTCTTGAGCCCCCCACATCCTTTTCACCTTCCAAAGATTTGATTTCCTAGATCCATGCCATAAAGGCTTCCGCCTTTTATTTTTTTTCCTTTCCTTTTCACACTACAGCACTAAATCACTGCTATGAAGTAGCTTTGGACTCTTGTCCATTAATCTAATACTGCAAACATTCTCTGTCCCTCCTAATTCTTCCATTTTGTTGTGTTCTGGTTTTCGTTATTTCCTCCTTTTACTTTACTTTCCTTCCATACTTTCTTTGCCATGCCATATGTTGTCCTATTCACAATGAATTATCAACATGCAATGGATGAAAATTCGGTCACTGCTATGTCGCTTCAAGGATCTAACTTTTCGGAAGAAACGCATGACCTTCGTACTCATATCGATCCAGATCCAAGGCAAATCTCTCGCCCTTTCCTCCGATCGAGCAACATGCAACTGACGGATTTCCATACCCAGCTATCTCGCGATAATTTGCAGTTATCACTGTTAGGTTATCTGATTGAGGACTTTGAGGTAGATGACAGAGTCATGCAAGACTATATGGTAGCAAATTGGCCAGTCATAGCTCGTGTCCTGCATTATGACCACAACTTCTTCATCTTGAAGTTTATGAATAGAGCTGAAATGATGGCTATTCTGGATAATGGTCCATATGCTGTCAATGAGCATCTAGGTCTGCCTGCATGGTGTGCCTATCACTTCCATGAATTATCGCTCCTTAGAAAATCTAGCAAGAAGGTTTGGTGATGTGGAAGTTATCAAACAAGACTGTGTGTCTCTGCGCAAAATCACGAATGTCAGAGCAAAGGTATGGATAAAACTTGGTGACCCTCTGGTTCCTTCTTTTTATTTCACAAAACGGAATGGTAAAATGGCCAAAATCATATGTAAGTTCGAGCAGATGCATAAGTTTTGTCAAAGATGTGGTCGATTGGGTCATCCACTCACACGCTATTATTTCATGGAGGATGATGCTCTGACCACTTTTCTCAACAATTTTTTTGCTGCCAGAGCAGCTTAGTTTGACTCTCCCCTGTTAGTGGATGTTAATAAGCCACTGTATTCTGGAGCAATTTGGGGCATACGCTCATAAACAGAAGCGTAGTACTCGCCTGCCTGATTACAAAGTGGCGGCAATGCTTGATTTCTATGACTCTGTGCCGGATACCTTTATTCAGGATGGCTTCACTATATCAGAGACTGATGAGGAAACTCCAGTTCCTTGGTACCCTTGGTCCCCGCATAATCCTGATGATCATCAATCGGATGATGCTGATGAGAAGGACGATGGTAATCAATCGGATGATGTGGATCAAGATGACATTAATCCTGACAATAATGATAATGATGATGATTTCTCATCTGGGGGATCTGATCAGTTCATGGATGAAATCAATGCTGATAACTTTGTTGATGATGATGGCCCCCCAATCCCGGTGGAGGGTAGAACCAGTCTTTATGCAGGAGTGGAGGTTGATTATTCTAGAAGTGCAGCTCCTGCGGCAGGGGAAGACACAAATTCTTCATTTTCTACTGACCAAAGTGAAAGTTTTCATTCTTTCTCCTCTTACTCTTCTGAGTTTTATCAACATTCTGTTCATTCCTTCCCTGATGATGCTAGTGAATTCTGTATGCCAAATTCGTTTTATGAGATTCTGGATGTTCCTCCTTCTGATGCTATGATGGAAAATCCTTCTTATGTCCCGGATTTTATCATTCCTACTGGATCTGACTATCCACCACATCGAGACATTTCTCTAGTTTCTTGTTTTTCTGGTTTTCAATTTAGTGATGATTCTCATGATGCTACAACTGATGAAGCTGCTAGTGATTCTGTTTATGTGAATTCTGGAGTTCGGATGAATCTAAGACTTAGTACCAGGTACTCTGCTGGGGGTGGAGGGTTCCAACAACATAGGCGGATCCCTGTTAATGCTAAAGGGCGAGGTAATTTTAAGAAGAAAGATTCTCGTGGAAGTTCCTCCTCTGATTCGGCTCTACCTTCTTTGTTGGATGAATTCTCCCAAACTGACAGTGATCCCGGGGAGTTTTTCATGAAGGCTAGGATGGCGGTTTCTGACTCAGACCTACCTGATTCCGTGCATACTGTTCAACAAAGCTCTCCCAACAGGCCTGCTGCACCTGGCTGGCGTATGAAGATTGTCGATGAGGATTTTGATGAATCTATTGGCTTTGGCACCTCATTGAACTCCACATGTAGCAAAAAAAGACACTCTGAGGATTCTCTTCCCGACTTGGAACATTCAGAGAAGAGAAGGTCCAACACTGTGATGCATGAGGAGGTGCAAAATCTCTTCAAGGATTTGGAGATGGCGTGGGAGGAAGGAAAACAACATGCAACGGCACCAACCCATCTGAATGGTTTTGCGGGGATTGAACCAGATCAATCCCCTCTGTCTTAATGAGTATCGTCTGTTGGAATTGTAGAGGCATGAATAATGTCTCGTCCAAAAGTATGTTAAGTAGGCTTAGTAAAAAACTATAAACCTAGTATTTTGTTTGTGATAGAGACTAAAGCTGCAAACTCTACTATATTAGCTTGGCTCCAGTCATCTGTTTTTCAAAATTGTTGCATTGTAGACCCAATTGGCAGTAGTGGGGGTCTGGGTCTCTTTTGGCTAGCTAATCTTAAACTAGTAGTAGTCTACCAAGATGCTAATGTGATTGTTACTCAGGTCGCCAAAGCAACTGGTTTAATCTGGATGGCCATTTTTGTGTATGGTCCTCCTGCTAGGCAGGAGAAAACATCTTTTGGTCTAGCTTGAATGGAATCATCCAAGGTTATCGTTATCCTAGTATTATATTAGGTGATTTTAATTAGGTTACCGAACAGGAGGACAAACATGGTGGTCGTCCTGTCCGCATTTAGGAAACCAGATCCATTCAACACTTCCTTTCTGCGAATGATTTGGAAGAGCTCAAGCATCTTGGTTGCTGGTACACCTGGACTAACAAACGCCAAGGTTCCGATGCTATTTTTGAACGTTTGGATAGAGCCTTTGTTAATAAACTATGGTTTCAAACTTTTAGGAATGCCATTATCCGAAACCTCCCTTTTGTGAGTTCAGGCCATGGTCCTATGCTGGTAGATATTCATCAGAAGCATAGGCCAAGAAGAAAACCTAAATTTGAACAATTCTGGACAACTTGTCCGAGTTCAGTTCCACAGGTCACACAAGCTTGGTCCTCACCCCCTCTTTCTATTCCTGACTCGCAAGCTACCCTCTCTTATGAACTCCATAAAACCCTAACCCAACTTCATCAGTGGAGCAAATCCAAGTTCGGCCATCTGGACTCTTTAGTTCACAAATTAACTGAACAACTCAGTCAAGCTCAAACCCAGTGGGAGGCGGACAAGACTAACTCACACCTGATCATTGCTTTAGACACCAAACGGATTGCTCTAGAAGAAGCGCTTTTCCTTCAACAACAGTACTGGCAACAGAGGGCTAAGATTAATTGGTCACAACTGGGAGATAAAAACACAAAGTTTTTCCACAATTGGGTAGCTAGACGAAAAGGTAACAAATGGGTCACGGAACTGTGTGATGATCAAGGGGCTTGGTGTCAGGAATATGGACATATAGCTTCTCTGCTTCAAACACATTTTTCAGCCATTTATATGTCACAATCTTCAGCTTCCCAATCCCCTTTGGACCCCTCTTTCTTTATCTCTTTCTTAAGTAATGTCGAGGAATCCCTTACCTCAAATCAGATTGCTCTTTTGGATGCTCCATTCACACCTAAGGAAGTATGGCATGCAATCCATCAGATGGCACCATGGAAATCTCCAGGACCTGATGGCATACTGGATGGATTTTACTAACATTATAAAGCGATCATTGGCCAGGAGGTAGAATCATCAATACTGCAGGCTTTTATCACAGGCACCTTTCCTCAGGAGTGGAACCAAACAAACTTAGCTTTGATACCTAAACATGCCTCTCCCACGACTCCGAATGATTTTCGCCCCATCAGCCTTTGTAATGTTAAATATAAAGTCATTACTAAAATGATCACCAACCGGTTGAAACAGGTGCTGCATTCTCTCATTGATGATCATCAGAACGGTTTTGTTCCTGGCCGGAATATAAGTGAGAATATTTTGATGACTCACGAAGTTTTTGAGACGATACGCCACAAAAAAGGTGATTCTGGATTAGCAGCCATTAAGCTTAACATGAGCAAAGCTTATGACCGTGTTGCTTGGCCTTTCCTTGAAGTTGTTCTTACTAAAGCTGGAATTCTTCCCCGCCTGCTAACTTTGATAATGCGTGTCACATCGGTGTCTTACTCCATTCTTTTCAATAGTGAAAATCTCCCTCCTTTTCAACCAAATAAGGGTCTAAGACAAGGGTGCCCCCTTTCACCTTATCTTTTCATCCTGTGCCAACAAGTTCTTTCATCTTCTCTTCGTGCTGAAATTCAGTCCTTTCCTGGTTTGGGTGTCAAGATCAATCGTGAAGCTCCAAGATTAAGCCACCTTATATATGCCGATGATAGTCTTTGCTTCATTGAGTGTACTCCTTCGGCGATTCAAGCACTTGCTGGTCTGTTGGAAAATTATACAACTTACTCGGGTCAGAAGATAAATCTTCAGAAATCTTCACTCCTGATAAGTGCAAATACTCCAGCGGCGATGCAAGATTTGATTCATGATACACTCAATATCCCCCGGAGATCTTTTCACAGCAAATACCTTGGTATGTCTTTGGATTTCTCACAGCATAAGACCACCATTTTCCAGGATTTCACCACCAGGCTTAGCAACAAATTTGCGTCTTGGAAGACCAAGTTACTTTCTCTATCAGGATGTGTCACGCTTGCTAAATCTACACTCTCCTCTATGCTCGTGTATCCCATGGGTGTCTTTCGACTTCCACAGCACACTCTGGCCAAAGCGAACAAGATTATTGCTAACTTTATCTGGAAAGGTGACACACATGATCACAAGATTCACTGGCGTGCCTGGAAAAAGATTACCAAGTCACAATTCCATGGTGGATTGGGTCTGAAGGCTACCAAAGAATTCAACCAGGCTCTGTTAGCCAAACATGCCTGGAAAATGATGATGGAACCATATTCACTATTAGCTAGATTCTTCACTACAAAGTATTGCCCAGGTGATACTTTCCCTCCCCTGCATACGACAAAAAAACTCTCTTGGGGCTTTCGAAGCATTCTTTGGGGTGCAGAATTATTACAAGGCAATTTGAGGTGGAAGATTATATCTGCAAGGATACTATGCTTTCTTCAAATTGGATTCCTGAAATTTCTAATCCGATTAGCAATCAATCTGTTTTAACAACAGCAAATATCCGAGTCAAGCGGTTTATTTCTCCAACAGGTCAATGGCGCGTCAATGCTCTAAGGAATTTTTTCCCAGACTACATTATATCCATCATCAATGGTATTTTTTATTGATCCAGCAAGGCATGAAGAACAAGATTGCTTAGAATGGATCCATACGGATCATGGACGTTATACAATCAGAGAAACTAGCTTGGATGAAGCTATGGAATTCGAAAGTACAACCCAAGCAAAAATTCCTTTTCTGGAGAGCTTGTTTAAATGCTCTGGCCACTCGTTCTGAGCTTAGCAAAAGAGGAGTCCCAATAACAACTAGTTGCCCACGGTGCTTTCAAACAGAAAAAGATAGTACACACTTGTGAGATGTCACAAGCACTTTGGGCACTTGCTTTCCCTCTATTCGGTTCCATCTTCAATTCTTCCTATCACTCTCTGTTCCAATGGTTCACTGCGTGGTATCGAACACAGCCATCTAAACAGGATGTTGATCTCCTACTCTTCATTATGTGGCGAATTTGGCTTGACCGCAATGACAAAGTCTGGAGAAATCAAGTTCAGGATCCCACCACTTGGAGTCTAATTCAGTCGGATTTTCGGTCCCTTCTTAGTCTCCAACAACGGATCAATCCAACATCCTCCTCTACTAATTATTTGCCTACTCAGGGACCATCATTTCGGATACCTAATACTGCTTTGATTATTTTTTATGGTTCATTTAGTCATCAAACACGCCAGCCGGAGCATGGAAAATTATATCCCCAAATCGCATGGTAATGCAAGTCTCAACCACAGGGATTAATGCCCTTACACCGCTCCAAACCGAAGCTACCACATGTCTTCTAGCTTTACAGCAAGCGGCAACTCTTGGTCTTACTCGGATTCATGTTTTCACGGATTGTGAAGTTCTATCGCAAGGGTTTGCAATCCCCTCGATGCCATCCGATTCCCGAGAAATCCTTTCATTATTAAATACTTTAATTTCGTCATTTACTTTTTGTACAATCACTAAAGTAAGTAGATGGGATGTACGAGATATGCATAATTTAGCTTTCAATCGTATGCAATGTAATAGATTAGTACCTTTATCATAATAAAACAGATACTTTTTTCTAAAAAAAACTTGGTAGAAAATACGTACACCGAGTATAATTATGCATGCTCAAGAATGTTAAAAGAGACCTTCTTCCTTGTTGATCATAATGAAGTATCATGACTCACGAGTACTGAACTCTCTTCAGTCTCCCTTTTGATTTTCTTTTTTTTTTTTTTTGGTCCCAGATGCCATAAGCCTGTTTTTAACGTTTCATTCACGAACCAAAATGTACATACTCAAAACTGTGTGATGAACTTCATGCATGATTCATTGGATATATGTACATATATTCCTTCCAGAATTTCATCCTTGTATCACAAGCCAACAAATAAAACCCTATGTTGAAACCAAAAAAGAGTATCACTTTGAATTTAATGATTATCGAGTCACTCCGGGAGTTTAGTTCGCAAACAAGAGACACAGTAATCATCTAGAATATTGTAGAAATGAAAGCGATGGTCTAAGGCATAAATATTATTATTATTATTGTTTTTCCCAGTCATGATATACTGATACTGCTATCTCCCAATGCACAACGGGAGGGAGAAATCAAAATCAGTTATCTTAATTCGATGTTGAAATACACATGGATTGAAGACTTTTTGTTACAAGTGATTGAAGATGTGTATCAGGCGCGGAACACAATTTGATGTATTATTAATCGTTTCAGATAATGCACAAATTAAGATGGATGGGGACATGGGTTAAAGATTAAAACCCGGTCAAAACCTGATAATTAACTTTCATTTGATATCAACTGATGGAGAGGACTAAGTCTTTAATTAATCAATTACTCATTCGTTAGGATATTTTCATTAGGATTACAAATCATCCTGCACCCTGTTACTCTTTTTTTTTGTTTTTTTCATTTCATTTTGACTGCATTCCAAGTTTGAAATCCATCATCAACTTCATAATTTCAGTGGATTTGATCAATGTAAGAAATCTCAATTGAATTTAGTGGCAAATTATTTAACTTTTTGAACATTTACTAATTAATAGCTAGAGAGAGTTCTATATTATTATGTATAAAAGTCATCACCAACATTTATGACAATGTAATTAGAACACAACTTGATTCCCAAATCGCTCATTCCATAGGCCATGTATTAGGATGTGACAATATATATAAAGCAAAAATAAGTTGAGACATGCAAAAGAAGCGAGGCACATGAATAGTTTAACTAATAAAGGAAAACCGCGTCTAACGTAAGAAAAAAAAAAAGAAGAATTTCCCATCACTTGGGATGAGAAGTCGTCGAAGCAGCAGAAATGTTGGAATCATGGGATTTTTAATGAATACAGCACCACTCAATTTCAATAATTATCTATAACTCGTATTTCATTTTTTTAAGCTTTCTTTGTTTGGAGGTATTTATTTAATTTCCATATGTTATTTGCATGTGAAAGGGGCAAAAAAATAAAGAAAAAATAAATAAAATACAGATGTCAACAAAATAAGTACTACAAGATAATTAAAGAAAAAAAGGTAGAAGGCCCTTTTGGGTCGCACTATTCCATTCGATTGGTAGAGAAAAATCTCCATTTAAAAGAGCCTAATCTGATGAACATTAAAAAAGTCAACGACTTATTGGCCGTAATGATTATTCAATCATTTCTTCTAATCAGGTAATTTATTGAGCATTAACTTGGTATTTTGAGACTTGAATTTGGATTTTCCTCGTCATAATTTACGAGATCACCTCACTTTCTATCAGTGGCACAATTTAAAAAGAGAAGGAGAAGAAGATAGAGAAAATATCTCAGTATGCATCCTTAATTTCGCACTTTTCAATTATTATTATTTGAATGCATTTTGTTTATTAAAAAAAACTTCTGACATTTCCCCCCTACGGAAAAGACAACAATGACCGAAATTACGAGGAATAAATCTGAGTCAAAATCAATAAAATAGTAAGAAGTATATCAGTACAGTAAGATATTAAAACCCTAGAATGGTTCCACGTTAGATAAGATGCATCAATCTTTTATTCTTTCATGTCATTTATAAGTCCTCGCTGACCAACAAAAACTGAATTCGTTAGTAAAAATTGTAGTATAAACGCATAGAATAGAGAAATTTCCAAACTCAACGTACACGCCGGCCTTTACTCACTTCGCAAGGCATGCAATACTCAGCTATCAAACAATTTTTGTTATTGTCTGTCACATTTGCACTCGGCAGTTGAGACTACTTAGGATAGAAAACTTGAAATGTAATCATACAACCAGTGTCTAACAGACAAACAAGAGCAGAAAAAAAAGTGTAATGAAAAGCGGTGGACACGCAAATATTCCTCATCTATTCCCTTTCTGTTTATTATATACTATATGTATCTAATATTCGAAATTATTGTTCTGATCAGTTCAATTCTAAATCACGTAAGAACTCTAGATGCATTCGTAAGTATATTTGACGATAATACAGAGTAATTATTATCTACAAATAGTATTTAGTATAATAAATTAATATAACGTAAAAAAAAATGACGACAATAATAAGATTCCGACCTATGTAATTTTTCTATATTGCTACGTTCATGTATCATACGTGATATCGGGAATGTTATCTCTGTATTTTTCTATATAAACTTTCGTCATTAAATTATTCAGAGATGCTAAACCCTAATTCGAAACGTATACATCGTAACCCTAATAAAAAAAAAATTATTTTATTACATACTCTAAGTAGACACCGTCTGCCCATTTCGTGATGCATGTTTCTTTTTTAAGCATTAAGAGATATTTTTATAGAATTTATTACTCATAATTTACATATTCAACCATTTCGTGAAATTAGTTCACCGGACTAGTTAGATCAGCAAAGTAAGAGCTGAAATTTAAAGTAACTGTATAAAACATACGGACCATTACAGAGATGAACCTCCCCAAAGGCACCTCTAATTTATCGTATTAAGAAAGATTACCATGAAAAATTGTTTTAGAATAAAGAAAGTATCATAATAATAATAATAATAATAATAATAATAATAATAATAATGTGTGGGAGGAGTAGGAATAGGAGATTTGGTAGTATAAAAGTATGGAATAATTACGCACTCGTACATACGACTAGGGAGCGCACCCCCACGATCGCAAATTCGCAGGTGCACCCACTCCCTTGCGAACACACGGAATCACTGCGGGACCCACCAATATGACCAGATACAACCTTGGAGGAGATGGAGCCCCCACGAAGCCCACGCCACGTCACGTAAACACAGTCCCTTTTTCTTTCTTTTTTTTTTTCCGATTCGCGCCAAAGGCTCCCATGGTGGTAGTTCCTCTACACGTTGAATATGGACCAGTCAAAAGTCAAACCTATTTTCTATCCCTTTTCTTTCTTTTCAATTATGCTCTTTTTTTTTCTTCTTTTTGGGATTTCATTTAATAATAATAATAATAGTAATAAATTACCTAACGTTTTACTACTACTATTCCACATCCGGAACTTTTTTAGATACTCTCCATCGGAAAAAATTAAAAAAGGAATTCGTTAAGCTAAGCCATAGAACCCGTCTCCCTCATTATCCAAAAAATATCCATGATATGGTCAATAGTGCATTTATACTACTATTTTTAAAAATCTTTAATTCAATGAATGGCACCTTTTTTTTTTTTTTTGATGAATATGACATTCATCAAAGCAGTGTAGGGTATTTATAATTTAGGTCCTTTTTTGATATAACGAGTAAAAAATAAACTTTTTTTTTAATCTTCTTTTGTTGCACTAATTAATATAGAGTTTTTTTTTTTAAAAAAAAAAATCCATTACAATAGACTCCACTTACAATCCCTGATGGGAATTGAACCCTGGTGTATTAACAGGAATGACAACCTAGTGATTAGGTTGTTGTCGTTCCTTGTAATAGATTAGGGTTCGATTATCTAAATAATATAGAGTTTAGCATCTATTAATATGCAAATGAATAATAGAATGTGAGAAGACACTTGTCTCAATTAGTATCTATCTTTGATTATCAATATAATGTGAACCATATTTAACGATATTTTACATATCGAGTAAGAAAATGGTACGTTCACTCTGCTTATATATAAAATATCAAAATTGAACTAATTGATTTAAGTTTTCTGAATATGATCGGAAGGAATTTTATAAGGAAGAAAACAAGAAAATAAGCAAGCCCTTTAGCACGAGGTCAGAGCTGAAATTTCAAAGAGAGATGGCTTATGAATGGTACTTGTTATGCGAGAATCATTTCGTATTATTTCCTTTTTGTTTTTTCTTCTCTTTCTCTCACTCTATCTCTCTCTCAAATCTCATCCATCGAAACTTCTTCATTCCACTCCTTTCCTTGTCTCTGTTTCTCCCTGTCTAATTTTTGTCTGTTTTAGTTGGTTATAATATTCGGTTTTGATTCATGGAAACTGAAAGTGTTGTACTAGTAGGAGTAGTAGTAGTACTTTTGTAGGTAAGCACTAAATCGCCCACCAAACCAAACCAACAGAAATCTCCGCACCATAATTCACAGCTCTGCATTAACAGAGTTGGGCAGTTGGGGAGGTGGGAAGCCAGGCCATTTTAAAAAAAAAATATCATCTTTCACAAAACCAGCAGCAGCAATTAATCCCCCTTCCTTTATGACTGCGTGACTGTGTGTGTGTGTGTGTGTTTTAATTGATCTTCTTCTGCATGTAAATTTTTGAAAGATGGAAAAAACTTAAATCACTGCATTTATGAACGCGCAAGAACTTCCCACCAACATCAACTGCCTCACACCTTGATTTTCTCTTCCCACCATTAAATTTCTTTCATTAAATGGTCTTCCCAGGTCAACCCTCTCACCTCCTGTTTCCAGTTTTCCATCCCTGATGATTGCTTCGGTTCCCTTTTTCCATTTTCCAGATCCTTAATCCCTTCTCTTTTTCTTCCTTTTTTTTTTTGGGTTAATCCCGGAGGAAGGACTAATATATATTCGAACATGATTAAGGTTCTTCTCCGGTTATTTTCACTTCTGTTGCCAATTCTGGCTGTATTGGGTTCGAATACAGTTTATGGTACAATTACGTCACCGGCCACAACAACTGAGGCACCGCCGCCGCGTTGTAAACGGACTTATCTTGGTGAGAATCAGAAATTGGCCGCCGTCCAGTATCCGTTTGGATTCTCCCGTGGTTGTGAAATTCAACTGAATCTCAGCGACGCAGGAACGATTAAAGTTAGGGACTTTGAGGTTCTGAACGTGACATCGGACAACATACTGGTTAATCTTCCGGCGAGTTGCAACCGTTCGATTGAAGAGCTCAGGCAACTGAATGGGCCTAATTTCTACATCACCTGGCGAAACGGGCTGTTATTGGATAACTGTAGAAGCCCAGTGAATGGTTGTGCTCTGCCGATCAGTCTGCTCAAATCCCACGTGGGGAGGAAAACTTGTCACGGCGGCGGCGGTGCCAATAGTATGAGCTGTTATTCCGATGCCCTCTTAAATGACACCTTCTTGGAGGTAGACGACATCGAGAAAACTAATTGTAAGGTGGTTTTTTCTTCGATCGCGATGGGTCTGGACCGGAGCTTTCAGTCTCTCGGAAACTCCCAGGACGGCGACGGCGGCAACCTAACGAATTCCACCACCACTTCGTTGCTGTTGAATTTTCAAACGTTGGAATTAGGTTGGTGGTTGGACGGGGAATGTAATTGTAGTGAATTTGCCACGTGCACTAACTTCACGGTGCCTACCGGAGGTCAAGGGTATCGCTGCAAGTGTAATCCGGGATACGTCGGAGATGGTTTCACCGGCGGAGATGATAGTCAAGGTTGCCGACCGAGTAAGTTGTTGCAACTGTCCAAACCCTTTTCTTATCTCTTTCAATTACGGGCTATCATTTGACTTTTTTTCCCATTTTTCCTGTTTAATTAACTTTGGGTGTTTTTCAAGATTGTATACTTAAGAAATGAAAAAAAAAGAAATTGCATAGTAAAGTATACCTAGAATGGTAATTAGTTTGGTCTAAAGTATTTTCTTTTGACTTGGCAATGTCTATGTGAAATAATCTTTTTTGTACTTATTTGACCGGGAGCAACCATACTTTGAGGTGCGGGCTGGTCTTTAAACTAATGATTTGAATAGCTTAATCACTACTTTCGTCCTAAAATAAGAGTTGTGTTTTTATATTCTTTTCTTTTGGGACGGAGGTAGCAGTTGATTAAGTGAAAACCAGTTAATTTGTCATTTGCATTTTGTATTTGGAGCATGATTGCAATGAATTACCATCATCAAGGAAGTTCTACTTTTACTTAAAGACGAAGCAAAATGGAAAATCTCATGATTTGGGCTTCAAAATGGAGGCACATGTTTCCCTTTTAATTGGTTTTCTGACCAAATGATAAATTGTGGACTCGGCTTCTATTTGGTCCATGTTTTATTGGGATTCCGATCAACTTCTTTATTTGCTTTTCTAAATGTGCAAGATTTGACCTATATTGATGAGATTGAGGTCAAAATATTCAAAAGAGAAAAGTTGGTAGAACCCATCAATTAGAATGGTTAAAAATCATGGGTTTTTTAAAAGAAGTTTTTGCCGCGCAAGCTTGTTGCCCCGTTTGCTTATTATGTTAAACCCAGTTGTGACTTGTGAGGACAAGAAACAGTACTACTATTCGTTAACAATGCGACATTGGCCATGGTTTTGGTTTCCCATGTGCATTTCCCTTATTGGGTGATAGTTTTATTGATGGTATGGTATTAGAAGTCAAAGGCTAAATGATGCAGTTATTCAACACATATATAATGTGGAAGAAGCACATGATTTTTGGAGAATTTGTCAGGAGTAGAAGACTCTGTCACTCTAGAATGATAGTGCACTAGTGCTAGATCTCATGATCTTAACCTCGAAAATGGCGGAAGGATTTAGTCTCTTCTGCTTGCTCAGTCTTATTGGGGTTGTCGGGTTGACAACTTATGTCAAAAGGGCTTTTATTTATTTATTTTTCCCTAACTTTGCTGTCTATCTAAAGGACAAACAAGCATTAACAATTCAGTGGCATTACCAAAAGGAAAGCTTCGATGAACTCACGCAAGGCCAGTGCTGAACAATAAGTGTGTAGGCCCTTCTAATCCTGGTTCGAAGGAGGATTCCACTTTTTCCTCTCTTTGCTCAATTGAAACACTGCCAAAGCTTTCGAATGGGGATGTGGTAGAGCTAGCCCACCTCCCCCACCTAAATAGGAGACTGAAGGAAATGGATATACAGATGGGTTTAAGAACTCTCAATGGTGTTGTCTAAACAGATTAAGAATTGCATCAAATTCACTATGGCATTTATGACTCGTGCGGACTAAGAACATTTAAACTGGATGTGTAGATTTTTTTGCCACCCGTGATCTTGATATTTGCAGTTAGATTTTTTAGCTGCCTTTTATATTTAGGAGTGTAGTTCAACTTAATAAGCAATAGCTGATTTTTTTGTTCTGTTGGTCTTACCAGTTCCGCATTGCAAGGATAGAGGACACGTCTTTGGCCGATGTGGCAGCAGAAAAGTTGGTGTTCTTATTGGAGGTAATCTAAAAGTCCTTACTGTCCTTCATTTCATGTAGTCGGTGCAGTATGCAAAATGGCTTCTGAACTCTGAATTTGCTGTGATATCTGATGGATAAGAGTTCTCAAGTTCATTGTAAAATCCTTTTCTTGTCTCTAGTGGCTGAGACATTGTTTCTGGAACTTTTATTTATCTCTTTATTTAGGGCTTTTTTCCTCCTTTTTCTTTCTGTCCTGCAACTTTCATTGAGAACTGCAAAGTGTCCTTGTTGGTAAAGATCTTAAATTATGATGTTCAATGGATGTTTGCAGTTTCTGATTGTGGTCATGCTGCAAATGAACTGACGAGGAATCACATTCCTTTATACACTTCCACTTTTGACACTCCTGTTCTCCATTTTGTAGGGATAATGGCTGGAGCATCTTTAACGGTTGTTCTTGCTCTTTTCTACTACTGCATCCGCAAAAGGTCTAAATTGCTAAGAAACCGAATGAGTGCTAAGCGTCTTCTGAGTGAGGCTGCTGGCAACTCCACTATACCTTTCTTTTCCTATAAGGACATTGAGAGAGCCACATTTGGCTTTTCCGAGAAACAAAGGTTGGGAACAGGTGCTTATGGTACAGTTTATGTAGGAAAACTCCGTGACGATGAGTCTGTTGCAATTAAAAAAATTAAACATAGTGATCATGAGAGCATCGAACAAGTGATGAATGAGATCAAGCTTCTGTCTTCGGTGAGTCATCCTAATCTAGTACGCCTGTTAGGTTTCTGTATAGAGAATGGCGAGCAAATCCTTGTTTATGAATTCATGCCCAATGGAACTTTAGCCCAGCATTTGCAGAGATTAAAAGGTTCTGTGCTACCGTGGACGATACGCCTCACTATCGCCACGGAGACTGCTAATGCCATTGCCCACCTTCACTCAGCAATGAATCCGCCTATATACCATAGGGATATTAAGTCTAGCAATATACTTTTAGATTACAACTACAAGTCAAAAGTAGCAGATTTTGGTCTTTCAAGATTTGGTATGATGGATGACTCTCACATTTCCACCGCTCCACAGGGAACCCCTGGCTATCTTGATCCTCAGTATCATCAGAACTTTCATCTTTCTGATAAAAGTGATGTTTATAGTTTTGGTGTTGTGCTAGTAGAGATCATTACAGCAATGAAAGTGGTCGACTTCTCACGACCTCACAGTGAGATCAATTTGGCTGCACTTGCAATTGATAAGATCGGAAAAGGTCGTCTGGATGAGATAATTGATCCATTCCTAGAGCCTCACAGGGATGCTTGGACACTGTCCTCCGTTCATAAAGTAGCCGAGCTGGCTTTTAGATGCCTCGCTTTTCATCGAGATATGAGGCCAACTATGATGGAAGTGGCAGAAGAGCTTGAGCAGATCAGGCTAAGTAGTTGGGCTCCGCTCGAGGAAAATAACTATGTTGCATCATCAGTGGCATCCACTTGTTCATCTCCATTTGGTGGAAGCGAGAAATCTTTTAATAGTAGATCTGCGAAAAAGAGTGGAATAGGGAGTAGGCGATTGGCTGTTTCGCAGAGAGGAGGGGATCGTGATCCGCTATCTACAATGGAAGAATCAAAAGACAGTTCCCCGGTCTCAGTGCAGGATCCTTGGTTTAGTGAGCAGAGCTCACCATCAACAAACAGTTTATTGAATAATGTTGTTCAGTGATGGAAAAAAATTTAAGTACATCTTCTTGGATATATTGTTTGTGGATATTAGATTGGCCCTGGGATAGAGAATTAGCTATAAAGCATATCACCGTATCATAATCATACTGTCCATTCCATATAGGCAAAACTTTTGATGCAAGACATCAAGATATATAGTCTAGTAGTGATACAATTGGCAGTTTTCTCCTTTGTCCACACCATTCTACTGTGTGCTTTCAAAGTCGTTTATGGCTTCCCAAGCAGAAATGAGTACGACAATTCTTGTGCCTATGGCTTTGCTCGAGGACAATCTAGTGATACCAGTGGATATATCATAGAAGTGATTTGACTACAGCCTGACTAATTGTTGCAAGCTACTGAAAATTCAAGCCTTCGGGTGTAAAGTCCATAACAGTATCATCAATACTGGAAACCGGAGTTTTTAACAACTTGCAACGCAGCATATGATAGTTTTAAAAAAAAATCTCTTGTTTCCTGGTATAAATTAGGATTCTCTTTCAAATCTTGTTCCTTACCATCTCAAAAGGGATGAATCAAATCACCCAAATGCAGAGGAGAGACGAGCAAAATTTTACTGACGTAAACCCTAAACCCGTGTATTATGCATGACTTCATTAATGCACATTCAAATGTACAAGTATAGAACAGGTTAGTCCACTGTAGTATGTGGGATGTTTCACTGTACAATGAAAAATATCATGTATGTTCCAAGATTGAACTATACTCCCGAAACTTCAATGAAACTGGTTTCTTTCTAGACTACAAACCGTAATGTTTGTTACACAAGAATCTAACCATGACTCCTTGGATCAGCTACTTGATGCACCTTCCTGGATTCAGCACTTGAAAATTGACCGACAACACGAGCATGAGGTATTGATGCATCGCCACGTGCGAGGGCTTCTACATTCTCAAGCAGATACTGCTTTGGTAGCCGCCCTACAACATTGCCTTCCTCATTTCCCTGGTTATCCAGGAATGCAAAATGAGGAATGCCCTCGACACCAAACTCATCAAGCTCTTGTTCCCACTTTGTATTATCAACGTTCAGCATCACAAAATTTACTCGATCCCTGGAAAATTTAGCAAAATAATTCAGCCAAGTTATCCAAAAACCAAAAAACCTGGCGATGCATTCATCCAATGTGAATGAGATTAGCAATGAAAGATTTTTCTATGGTAAGTTTACAAGAATGACATCCACAGCAACTGAATCTAAAATGAGTTGTCCAGGTAGATTCTAATAATGCATACTTGTATTGTTGCTCCACTTTGTAAACATCAGGAGCTAATTCTCGACACACTTCACACCAATCCGCATAAAACTCAACAACAGTTGGCTTCCCATTGGAAAGGGCCTGCATTAAAGAGTAACAATGATGTTCGGGAATCGCAAAAATGAAAAATGGGATCATATTAATCCAAAGAAACACAACAGGAACCCACATAATTCAGCTTTCAGATGTACTTGGCACAAACTTACGCGAAGGTTATGGCAGACCAGTAGTAGATGCAGGAGCGATTTCAAGATAACTTTTCTTCACCTTTTTGTTTTTTTTTTACTGAAAAAATGGTGTCTAAATAATTGTCTCCAAAGATATGGGTGCATGCCTAAAGGCTTCAATCATTTTGAAACTATTAATTCAAAGTAAATTAAACAACCACACAGCAACAGTAACGCTATCAAACCTAGGTAACATTCATTGGAAAGATCCTTACTTTCTCAATGGCAAAGTATCTGTCAGGAAATAACGGATATAAATACTTGCTGAAAGAACCACAAGCCATATTTGGATAGTAATTACATATTGACTTAAAGGAAGCTGGACAATGGAAATGAAGCAGCCAAAAGAAGGCAAATGCATTAATCCAGATTGCAACTTTTAGAATGTAAACAGCAAAACAAACGGCAGAATCAAGCATCATCTAACAAAAATAAACCGGAAAATCTTGAGCTAGATTGGGGGAAAGATTACACATTTACTCTAGTAATCTTATGAATCATCCCTGTCAAACACCAGTAAAAAGGAGAAGAATAATGAATGTGCAAAAACCTCTTCATATGGTAAAGCCACCGCAGAGAGGTCCTTCAAAGAAACACCAAAATCGAGTCTTGTAGACAGGAAAAGTCCCACTGCAGCAACCACAGAAGCTATTGCAATCCTTTTGTTGAAGCTTTTGTCCGGATAATCCGGAAGCCCAACAACATTAATCCCACCGGAGGAACCAGCCGCCTCCTCCGCCAGAGGGGAGCTATTGGTACTCCCATTTTCCGATACAGATGGCTCTGCAACAACTTTTTCCTGAAACTCACAACACGAACAGAATCAGAAACAATTTTAAAAAAGACAACAAAGTGTGATAGTAGAAGAGATTGGAGAAGGTGAAATATACCGAGGTTTGGGATGAAGAAACATCAGTGGGATTAGGTCTGGTTTGGCAACAACTTATTGTTTGATAAGAGGGATATCTGGGAGGGCGGAGGACAAAGGGTTTTACAAGGTGGGGAAGGTGGCCGGATCGGAGTGGGTGTGTCGGAAGTCTGTGGAGACCGATGGTGCTGGATGCTACACGCGCCATTGGAGGAAGAAGGATGGCACGCAAAATGTGTGTGGTTAATTAATTCGTATATCAATCTTTCCCACCAGATATTTTCCACCGTTAATCTCACTCAACTGAATTGCTTGCTGATTGGGCTGTTTGGAATTTGGACCTATATGGGTTTGGTCCAAAACACGAAAATAGTCAAATATTACTACAACTATCAATCAAAATTGATTTTCCCATTGCTGAACAAAGTATATTTTCAGTCTAATAAAATGAGACCAGATAATCGATCTACATCAGCTTCAATGCTACTACAGTTGAGTAATTCCATTTAATGACCATTCAACTTATTATAAATAGTAAATCCATGGTCACAGGTTTGATTAGTTGACAACATTTTCTTCTTTAAAAGTGCAGATTGAGTCTTAGAGATTCAAATAATGTCTGCTAATACACCTAATAATAATTGTCTCATCCCGACATAATTTTTTACATTTTAAATACATCTTTTTACGTTCTTAATACAAAAAACACCTAAAAACATACATTTAAAAAACGAAACAAACATAAGCTTTTAACTTTGAAATCCAAAATTGCCGCAAGTGAAGCGCATTATACTTGTAAGCAAGAATAGCCACGTTAGTAAATGTGGGTTTATCCATTTTGCATACGTAGGCAAATTTAGGCAACCAGATCACACGTTGATGTTGTTTTCAATTTGCCTCAGTTGAGTTCCTGAAGCAAATTCTGTGAATTATCTAAAAAAAAAAACACAAATATGATCAAAAAGGCTTAGAAGAACACGATTAACACGAGATCAACAATTGGTAAGAATTCAATTATATGAATACATAATGCAAAACAAATATAACAAATCAGTGTTTGGATTTGTCAAGATTTCTGAGCTTCCGGCCCTAAAATCCCATTCACAATGGAAGTGGCAACCAGAACCCCTACGAATTCAGCTCCGGCCACCGCTCCCGCCTGAGCAAGCGCTCCAAAACTCACCGTCTCTTCAATCTCTTTCTCCGCCGCCTCTAATCCTTTCTCGGCCGTCTCCAACCCTTTCTCCGCCGCTTCGATTCCTTTCCCCGCAGCTTCGATTCCCTTATCAGCCGCCTCGAAACTCTCCTTGACTAGTTCCTCAGCCTGTTCCTCCGCCTTCTTCAGCTTCTTCCTCAGTCCGAACAGTCCAATGTCGTCCGCTCTAGACGGCAATTCCACGGCCTTGAACGCCGTCGTCGCCGTCGTGAGCAACAGAAGTTGCCTCCTTCCCGGAATTACCGCCGGCGAGAGCTTGGTAAGTTGAGAGTTCGGCGGAGAAGGGTGGTCACGGCGCGCACAGTGGAGGGTGAAAGTGCGTCCGACCACAGAGCTTGTGGAAGCCATTGATTTCGTTTCTCTCAACACGATGCCCACTCCTCCACATGTTTAATACCCCGAATCTTTTTTCTCCTTCACCTGTCAGATGACCAAACTAACCCTCTCCCTATTTTCTTTTCCACATTTTGATTTTCCTTTTAGAAATCAAAACTCTCCTCCTTAAAAAAAACTTTAGTCCACCATGAATTTGTACACTAGTTTTTTTTTTTTTTTGATAACAATGTAGGCACAAACTTGTCATGATAATATTTCTTTTTCTTTGATTTTTACATACTATAATTATTCTTTTACTATATTTGTCCAAACAAAAAAAAAATAGTTTACCGTGAGTTTTGAGATATGCACTAAAATTTAGTACTCCATCTGTCCCAAAGTTATTGTATATTTTGAATTTTAATTTTTATTTCAATTTGTACTGAAATGAAAAATACAAACCGGACAACTGATTGTCATGTGCACTTATTTTATCATGGAGCCAAGTTTAAGAGTTAATAAATAGTTGCATTTGCATACAACATAAATAGTCAACATTACCAATCGATTAAGTTTTTCCCTGACTACATTAACTCTTTGTATGTTTAAGCTACTGATGATACAGGACTAAAAGTGGTACAATTAGTGAAATGTACATAGAAAATAATGTGTTTGTCCATAATAGTTATTAATTAATATGTCGTTTATAAAATTAAAATTTAAATAATTTTGTCATTTACTTATTCAATACAATCTCATCTTGTAAATAAATCTTCACCGTCTCCATTTTATCTTATGGAAGGTAGTTTGTTGAGTAAAATTGTTCAGTTAATAACATTGGGGACTAAAAGTGATCACTAAACAAACACGGAGACTACAAATGGGAATATTTTCTTCTTTGTCAGCTAGCAAATTGTCATAAAACGTTGCGTTTCAAGTGGTGAAATATGTTTTTGCGCCAGAAATCGAAAGGTTTTTCATTTGAAGTGGAGAGAGGGGGAAATAGAGCGGAGCTAGGGTTTTACATTCTCGTTCTTTTTCTACTGGAATTAATGGCAGAAGAAACTCCCAGTTCAGGAATTGAAGGTTCTAACATGGAGCAAAACCAGAATTCTGTTGAAGCCACCATCGAATCGGAGGTTCTAGGCGGCGCGGCGGAATCTACGTGCAACAATGCTGAGAGCTCGGCAGGGGCGTCCGGCGAAAAGAACGAAAACTCCCTGGAAAAAGCCGAAGATTTGATGGACCGTGGTTCAAAAGCGGCGAAGGAGAACGATTACGCCACCGCCACCGATTTGTACAGTCGTGCACTGGAAATACGGTTCGTCTATTATCAATTTTTCTTTTCCTTCTTTGGGTTTTAAGCTACGAGAAATTTGATCCATTGTATATTCAGCTATTAGAAATTTAATCTGTTTTTATATGTTTGTCTTGTTACCTAACAAATTTATGGTAGGGTGGCGCTTTTTGGTGAACTCGCACCGGAATGTGTCCACGCCTATTACAAATACGGGTGCGCGCTCCTTTACAAAGCTCAAGATGAGGCTGATCCTTTGGGTACTGTTCCGAAGAAGGAAGGTGAAGTGAAGGGTGATTCTGATAAAGAAGGATCTGTTAAGAGCGTTACTGGTGAATCGTCCACAACTACTACTGTTGCCAACAACACAGAAGGAGGTAGGTTACTTATGTTTGGTTTTTTTTTAGTGTGTGTTTTTTGGTGTTTTTTGTATTGGGAATGTAAAAAGGTGCATTGGAAATGTAAAAAGGTATGATGGGATGAGACAGATAATAATAATGAAATATGAAAAAACCATAAAAAAACCAACCAAACAAAGTTGGCTAATTCTGCATACTGCTACAATTGTGGAGTGCTTCCCTTCTGTACATTGTTTGTTTATTGATGTCCTCTGACTCAGTAGCTAGTTTTCTCCAGCATAAACAATTAGTACACTCTTAACTGATGCGATCATGTTTGAGTTCATTTAGTGGTTGCTTAGTTTTTGCTTACAGTTTGTGTGCTGTGAAACTTCTGCATGATTGCTGGATTCTGAACTGTTTTCTAAGTTGTATCAAAATGATATCTTCATCCTAGCCAATGCAAAAAGGGTCTGAAAGCATATTGGAGAGAACCTTGTATAAGCAATCAAGTGTGTCAAAATCATTTTAAATATCTATCCCCAGGGTTTTTGGGGGAACAGCTGCCGGTGTTATCAAAGATAAGGAGTGGTTCAAATATGTTAGAAGCACCTTTTGTGGCTGCCTGTAAGATTTGCCTTGAAGGGAATTCAAGGATTTCTTGTTTATCAGCTTTTTAGTTGTCTCAGAATGATTATGTGTGTTTTATAAACACTTTAAAATATGGTTAGCGATGATATCATTTTCATGGGGGCATGTGAAATGGATCATGTTTTTTTCCTCTATGCCAGAAACTGCTGATGAGGGAAAAGATCAGGAAGAAGATGATGAGGAGAGCGATGGTGAAGATGTGGCTGAAGGTGATGAGGATGAATCAGACTTGGATTTGGCCTGGAAAATGCTGGATGTTGCGAGGGCAATCGTTGAAAAACATTCAGGGGATACCATGGAAAAGGTAGACATATTATCAGCTTTAGCTGAAGTTGCTTTAGAAAGAGGTATGTTCTCTTTGTCATTAGCTGAAGACTCTTTCACTTATGTTACGTGTTAGTTTATATGTCTATCAAATTTACTCATCAAGCTTCTTTAAAACTGCTTAGAGGACATTGAAACTTCACTCAGTGATTATCTGAAAGCATTGTCCATCTTAGAGCGTCTTGTTGAACCAGACAGTCGTCATCTGGCTGAACTGTATCCTTTGAAATTGGATCTCTTTACCATTCTAAGCTGATAATTGTAATTTAATTGACTAGTTGCTTATAAAATGCATAGCAGCTGAATGAAGAAGTTTTACTGGACTTCTCTTTGCTACTTAACAAATGATTTCCTTAATTGGGAATTCCAGAAACTTCAGGATATGCCTGTGCTTAGAAATTGGTTCTAAACCCGAGGAAGCCATTCCATTTTGCCAGAAGGCTATTTCTATTTGTAAGTCTAGAGTAGAGAGGCTTAAAAATGAGGCTAATGATCTGGTCACCTCAACCTCAAAAGTAAACGAATCCGAATCTGGCCAAACCCTTCAACAGTCATCCAGTACTACCCAATCTGCTATTTCGGCTGCTGATAAAGAATCAGAGATTGAAACACTCACTGGTCTCTCAGTTGAACTGGAAAAGAAGGTCTGGATAACCCTGTCACTTTCTTTGTTGAATTTTGTTTGAATATATCTGCCTTGCTTAATGATAATTATTGCTGGAATTGCAGCTTGAGGATTTACAACAGCTTGTTTCCAACCCAAAGTCTTTTCTTTCTGATATCTTGGGGATGATGTCTGCAAAGGCTAAAGAAGCTAGTAACACTGATGCTGCTCCTGGAACAAGCTCCTCACGGATGGCTGTCGCTGGCAGTAATGGAAGTTTCGACTCTCCAACAGTGTCGACTGCTCACACAAACGGTGCCGCTGGAGTAACACATCTTGGTGTAGTGGGGAGAGGAGTGAAGCGAGTGCTGATGAATTCTGCTGGTTCTGAATCCGTGAAAAAACCATCCGTAGAGCCTGGACAAAGTAATAGCGATAGCAACGCTCCATGAGAGCTGTAGCGTGTTGGATCTCCTTTATCAAGTTATTCTATTTTGAGATTTAGAAGTCAGTAGTGAGGAAATGGTGCAAGTTCTATTTGCTGCTAGTATTGCTTTGGATGAGACCAGCGGTGAAACATTTACGACTTTGGAATATCTATGTGTAGAATGATAGGTATCATCCTTGTGAAAACCTACTTTATTTCTAATTATTAAATCTGATATTCGACTCTTATGTTGCTTCTGACCACATGATACTTACCATGGAAAGTGAAGTTAGTATAATGCGCTTATTGGTAAATGGTAGCCTTTGCTCAGCTTTAGTAATTTCAGGTTCAGTTATAAAAAAAAAATGCAGGCATTTGTCGCAAATTGCGGATTTTATGCCGTCAAATTTGCGTTAGGACGTACGTTTCTTGAGGTCCGTTATGCTTCATTTTACTTGTTCACATGTCTGTACTCCGCAGCTTTTGGTGTCCAGTGAACAAGATATACTGTACTGTAAACTTATGGTCTAAAATATTCCCCTTCCCGCGGGCCATTGAAGAAAGCGGGTCGGGGCAGGTAGTTGATCAGTTTACTTAGATGTTTTGCTTTATTCCATCCATCTCAAAATTATAATTTTGTTTGTTGTATTGTTTCCGTTCAACAAATATGATTTTTATTTAAGGATGAAAAACAAAATTTCATGTGATACGGACAATGTGGAGAAATAGTTAGCTTTGCCTACACAGACTACCACAGCACACTGATGTTGTCCCTTCTGATTGTTAGCTATATCGTCACAAGAATATTCATACAGTGAAGGAACGTTATCAAGTGTAGAAAATTAGCTGGAAGGAAATTGCATGCTTAGTAATCGAAAAAGTCCCAATTTAAGTAAACATATATAGTGTACTTAGTTGCGGAGTGCCAAATGCGTGTTTACAATGTATAGCAAAGCTTCCTTGTTCTTGGTAAACTAAAGCGATAACCTCAACAATAAAGGCATAATGCACTTGACAAATTCTCGTGGTGGCTACCACATAAAAATAAGGACAAAATTAGACGATCCAATCAAAGTGAGCGTCTTCCCCTATTTATACACAGCCAATCTGAAGACAGGAAATTAAAAGTGGTATCAAAATTCAGAAACCATTACCTACTTACTCAAATCAAACGTGATTAGCAAAAATCATCATCGTTATCGGAAGACAGGATGTGTTACCGAGTTGTGTGCAAGGAGTGTGGGAAGTTCTCCTGGGGAGGATGTGGGAAGCATTTGGCCGGCATTTATGCCAACATTGAAAAGGGCAAGCACTGCACTTGTCGACCTTGGCCTGGTGTCAAAATTTCGCCCGAGTCCTCTGATCACGACCAAGGCTCGAGCTCAACAACCACAAGCTCGGGTATAGAATAATTTTACCTTGTCTTACATATTATATGTATAGCAATATTCGTTCTAAAGCATGAAAATATTCATGATGATGAGTTTGAGGACTCGAGGAAGGGACAACAGACATCGTTTTCCATAACAATAATCGTTTAATTAGTTCGTTTGATAATATTGTGTTTTTTCATTTGCTTCCATTTATGCTTATATTATGCAGACAAGTGAGTGATTAAAGAATGCTTGGGTCGGCTAATGTCATATCTGGTCATCATGCTCGCAATAAACAAATGGATCAGTACTTAGCTCCAAGCCTTTCCAACCGCAGCTTTCTCTTTTTTCTTCTTCTTCTTCTTCTACTTCTCGGCTTCCCTTCTTCCTTTTTCCCCCTATTTCCTACAATATTGTGTGGCCGTTTCCTAGGAAAAAAAAAAAGAGAATAATTTTAGTAAATTTATTCGGTGAAATGAAACACTAATAAGTGGAGATGAATTTATGTATGCTTCTCTTCTTATAGTTGTATTATTTTACCGAATAAATTTACCGCAAAGTATGTAATTTTCTGGTTTTGCGTAGTACTAGCTAGTGTTCTTCTGGCTAGAGGGAGCTAGGTCAATTAGAATTTTGACCAAAGCCCTTTTTTTTTTTTCTTATTACCGTTGTATGCTTTGAACAAATAACATTATCAGTTGATATGACTCTTACATTAGTTGTTTCTTTTTCATTAAACCTTGTGCAGGGTGCCTCGAATTTTTCTTTTTTAATCGGCTTTAAAGAATAAAAGAAACTCCCTTTGTTATCGTGAAGCTGGTGATACTTGCGCTTCTCTTCTTTCCTCTAACTTTTAAGCTGTGAATTTGACCACATTTTCTAGCATGAACACTAATCACCCATGTACTGTTGGAAGTTGGGAACAAACCTTATTTTATTTTGAGCTTACAAAAAGAAGGAAAGGAAAAAGAAATTTAATCGAAGCCGAGATTATTGTGGCACAGTTTTTATTATCATCAAATCGGGAACAGAAACGTAGAACACTTTAAACCCCACACCAAAAGACAGGCTCTAACTTTGGCTCCTTTGAGGAAATGACCCACATACCCAAAATCATGAGTGCTTAATCAGGAACACAAAATTACTCCAATATCCTTAATTTGTCATAATAAAACAAAATACTAATTGTCATGAATACAAGTTCTTGCGAGCGTAATTTGCTTTGGCAAATCAAGATAAAAATTACTTTAAAATTTCTCTAGCGAATCAGGCGGTTCACAGTTATCAGATGCGTCAACGGTTAACACCATATTATTATGCAAACCGAGGAGGAGATCAAATCAGAGGCGGGCAGTCAACCAATCTCATTCTTGGACGACGAAGAAGATGAGGATGACGAACACTATATCACCTTATTACTCTTTTCTAAAATCACTTATATTCTGAACAGGAAGGTTTGCACCCCTACTATTACTGCTAAATGTATCGTAGTGTGGTTTATTTTGCTGAACTTGCACCGGAATGTGTCTACGCCATATTACTAAGCACCAGACGAGGCTGATGTTTTCGTGATGTTCATGATGAAGTGAAGTGTGATTATCATTTGGAGAAGGATGATCTTCTATTAATTAAAACTAAAAAGCATCACGGGTGAGGAAGAAGTTATGGCAAATGGTGAAAAATAGATTTGTCGTATCATTTTATTTGATGGATTTGCGGGATGGGGTAACCCTATTTATTTGATACTTGTACGCATCCCCGATACGTCGGATGTCAAGTTTGATCCATAAATATACAGCATTATCTGTCGATAACTCTTAAAAATAAATTTATTTGCAGTTTCTTTTAAATTGAAAAGATGTGAGATGTTGCGTTAGATTTGTAATGTAAGTGAGGATTTTCATTGAAATGGGTTTCCTCTCATCCTTGTATTGTAAACTTGTAATATAGTCTAAACCTTAGATTGCTGTGAACTCAATTCCTTGGGATTATGGTTGGTATCATACCAACAAAAATAAAGTTGATTTATTAATTATGAAGTGGATTGGAGTTGGAGGGATAAATTTCGTCGGTCAAAGAGGTAGGTTAATGGAGCTGGCCACCAACGTTGTTCTGAACTGCAAAGGGAGAGAGGAGAGAAAGGAGGCCACTGTGCTTCCTGGTTCTATTCCATTCTTTAGAGTTTCGATCTATTTATTCTATGACTAATTAAGCTCTTATGGTTGCATCCATGAGTGGCTAAGTTTTTATTTTCAATTCAAGAGATTTAATCCAATTATTTCATATGCGAGATTTTGGTTTTAATTTAATCTTGTCTATGGTTTGAGTTATTTGTTTATTCTTGTTTAAATTTATAAGAGTGAGTATAAACTGAATTGACAACTTAGTTTCTATTTACTTTTTAATACTATCCTTATAGTTGTATATTACGTAATTGACACAAACCTTCGGAGTTTAGTAGCAACTAGGCATTATTTGTGCATTTGTGACACCTAGGGTGTTATTGAATGCTTAGTGGTAGAATAAATAAATCATAATTTAATTTATTGTATCTATCTCAATAATTTTAGATTGTGTTTCAAGTATATTTCTTTAGTTTTATTGCTATCGTTGATTTTTTTGGAATGCTATCGTGCCCAACGTTTAATGATAAGTGTTAATCAAATGCTAGGTTTGGTTAGTTAATTTAGAGGAATTTTAGGTTTACTACGGCTATACTTGTATGCTTAAACTTGAATGCTCAAACCGCAAGAATAGTTTTAGATACTGATGATCTGTGAGATAATTAGATGATCCGTCCATTGAGTTCATAAGTTTTCTCGTTAGATTTATTTTCTTTTATTTATTTTATGTTATTTGAGTTTTCAATATCCCTTTTACTCTATTAAAGTAGAATACATGATGTTGATGTGGCAGATTCTTATTAAAAATTTTTGGCTCCAAATGCACCATATTGTATTAATCATTCTGCCATATGTCATTCCTTTTTAAAAGAAAAAAAAAATTCTTATCCGGAAAAACAAAATCTACTTTACAAAAATAGCTACACAATTTTAACTCATAAGATTTATCATTTATCAATCAAATTAAAATAGCATTTAAATTTGCCCATAAACTTATCCCCTTTATTAATTCACATTATTTTGTATGATTTCTGTATCGTTGTACTTTTCAATATTTTTTCTCCTTTGGTAGATGATTTTTTTATTTTTATTTTTATTTTTGGCTAAAAAAGGGGAAAAAAACCAAATGTGTAGCTATTTTATTTTTTCCAAATAAAAAATTCATTTATTTATTAACACAAAATTAAAGTAGAGGGGCCTCCGGGCATCTGCCCGGGCCAAGCATCTAGTTATAGGTTAGAACAACAACCAAAAATCCATCTTTGCATTAGTTTAAAGGAAACAATCCATCGTTCCATGAAGAGACGACCTTACTTCTCTATACTACGTAGCTTGAAGTAGGTTCTTTTATTTGTGTGGATTGATACTCCATCAATGATCGACGTAGAACTTATATTTGACAAGAGGTGATGGTGATTGAGGGTAACTCGGTTGTTTATGTTGCTTGAGGCTAGCTTTGAGTGAATCTAAGAAAGAAGACCCAGGCAATAACGATGGAACTTAGGACTGTGCGTTCGATTCAGAATTGGGGTTTGAGTCCAATATTGGTAATAACAACGAGGATGAGAAGTAATGCAATGAGGCTCGGTAATGAATTTTGGTGGTGGCCGTGGTGGTAATAGGGAGCAACTTCAGCGAGAACTGGGTAATCTTGGTGGTTGTCGCCATGGACGGTGGCGGAGCTTTTGACGGAGTTTTACAGAAGAAAAAGAAACCTATGAGCTTCTTGTTTTTAATCCTAATTTGTTTGAGATATCCAAGGACAAGTGTCATAGATGTAAATAAAAGAGTGATGGTTTATTTCTTGAAAGGAAACAAAAAAACAACAAAAGTAGGACGGAACCTGCTCTTATCCCGAGT